GGGGGGGGGGGAAGGGGATGGAGGTTAAAACGGTACTGACTAAATATGTTCTAATTCAGGGGGGCTTGTGAATATATATTGAGAATCTTGGTCTCGGTGGTGTGGTAGCATCTGAACCGCCCTGGATAAACGTACAGTACGCGAGCTACGTGACCATATTATTTACTCCGCGATTTTGGCTGGACGCAATTCTTTGCACGTTTTCATTATTCTTCCTTGGCTTGAAAATGCGGTAATTCTTGGATAGTTCGTAAATTTCGAAGGCATACAGCAACAAAAAAGAAAGACCAAGTAAAGGCGCAGTATTTCAGCCATGTCCGCTTCAAAGGAAACTATCGGTTAAATTATTGGCCATTCTACACTTTCGCTGCCACCACTCTCCTCTAATCACTGACCTGCAATTATACAAGAACACTCATGAGGGAACAATAGAACCTCTTACCCATTCTTTGCAAAATAGATTGGCATGATGTTAATTTGATGGTTTCTGTAGTCTGCATCTGTTCCAAAACCCAACTTTAACATATGCACGAACTTAGAGAAAACCACGAATTGAGTTTCTTCCCCCCTTCCCCACCGCTCTCCACTTACTAACTCAATAATACGTGGTTTCTTATAGTTGGTATACTAATTTTGGAGGTGACAGGAAATACAGTTCTCGATAAGCGCTTGGAGCACTTATAAAATGAAACGCTCTTGTACCAAGGAGCTAATTGCACATATTGGAGATATTAGGAAAGAGCAAGTTATCATCACCTTTCATTAGCTGAAAAGACCAAAAGCCACTTTTGCCCTTGTTTCCGGTCCATTTCTGGGAAGCAAGGCCAAATCATATGCCGGCATGTTTTGGAATCTTCCAAGAAAGTTCAGTAATCGTCCAATGGACTTTCACACAAGATTAAATAATGATGGTTCTGAGGAAGTTGAATTCATTGTATGAAGACTCGAGGAATATGGAATCGCTAAGATTTTCCCTGATTGATTGTTCATCTTATGTTCTCCCCAAGTAATGCAGCGTTCCTAATCTCCTCGCACACAACAATCCCAGAAGACGTGTTGGTCATTAATCTCTTCTGATGATCCGTTTGCTATGACCTAACTACCTTTCTACAGTATCCCATATCCAAATGAAGACCAAACCCTCGCTCAATTCACTATTCCCAATCAAAAGACCGATTACCGTTCATTAGTAAACTGCCAGATAGTACCGTGAAACCATTAAAGTTATCTCCTAGGCACTCACATTTCTGTATCCCAAACAAGCATACTCAGTGACAACCCCACTATGTAGCTGGCGGCCGGGCGGACCGTTGAAAGGGTCGTGTACGGGATGTGAGCCTGGTGGATTGAATTGTAGTTCCTTATCACTTCCGGCCATTTCTTCAAGACTCTTTTGACAATATTCGGTGACGATGCATCCGTGAGAGACAAAGGTAACCCTCTTGAGGTCGGGAAAACGTTGTAGATGCAAATCCAGGTCGTAGTATCCAATGGCGCAGCTAATTGTTGAGACGGGGAGAGAAACAGCGCTATCGAGGGCTAATCGAGTGACTCCAGCAAAAAAAGAGCTACTGGGATCGTTCTCTGCAGGGAATGACAACTTACGGGATCTGTTCAAGAGAGTCAAAGCTCGTCGTTCCCAGACCTTTCGTCCCTCGATTCCGCAAAATAGTAGTGTGTCCGTAGGTTGGAAACATATCTTGTGGCTCAATCCTAGTCCCTCTTGCTTGAGAGACTTGGCCTCTCTCATGTATGCTTCCTTTGCCTCCTTGTTGACGAGGACCATAGGTGGAGTTGTGCCTTTGAGAGCTAAACGTGTAGAGGCAGGCGCGGTAGGATAAATTGGGTTTGCTCTACGTACAATCCGAAGTGTCACTTTGACGATTCGGGGGTCTCTGACGGCGATCTTCCAGATTTCATCACGAAGCTCCGGGGGGAGCTTCGAGAATTGATGAAATTGCGCCTCCTGGCAAGCGGGATCAGTGATCAGTTAAGAGGGTGAGAGGAATGCAAATGAAGCGAGTACTGACCATCGCTGAATTAACTAGACGCGCCGGCTTCAAAGAACAGCTGGGGAGTCTCACGGCCTCCTCGGCAAAAGGATCAGAAATATAGCGGATCAAAGCTTGAAGAATGGATAGAAAAACTCAGCAGGGAAATAGCTCGCAGTATGCCGAAGTAGCGTTGTTGCGTTGTGTAGACTCGTCAGTGGTAGAGGCACGTATTCAATTGCATTGAAAGGAGTCTAGTTTGTTGCCTCATGAGCAACAAATATGTGCCGTTGTGCAGTTGGTTCGCAACTACGCAATAACTCAGCAACGCTGCAGCAACCATGTAGAATAATACTGTTTCCTTAAATCCAAGTTCACTCAGCTCAGACTAGAGCTATATGTTTCTCCCAACCGTCTTCCTAAACCTCTCAGAGTCTTCTTTCTCTTGATACTATGAGGTCTGCTTGTGATATAGCCCCCCTATAGAAGCGAGAATAAGCGAGATTTTGACAGACTCAATTGGCGAACCACACAGAGCAAATAAACAACTTTAGAGTAAAGGGTGAATTTTGTAGAGGTGCATAGATGGTTTTGTCCTAAGATCTGGAAACAAGACAAATCAAAGTGTCACCTACAAGTCTCTTGCTTCAGTTCATTTATCGTGATATCCACAAGAGATTCAAGTTGGGACAGAGCTAGATGAACCACTTCTCACTCACGGTGACTCACCAGCCTTTCTTTGATGCGACCAGATACGCAACAATACCCTTTCTCAATGACCAATCACAGACCTTCCTCTGTTGTGAAAAGTGAAAAGGACGATGTAACCATGCACTCAAAAAGCCATCGGCTTATCTTGGCAACAAGGCTTGATCTTCGACTTCGAGGTTGGAATGTAATTCTCTATAACGGGAATATTTAAAAATTATAATCTGTGAGCATTTCCCTTGATGATCATGGATACCCTACCACCACTACTGTAACGGACAAAACTTCTGCTAATCTAGATTCTTTTGCCAAATTGAAGATCCCAGCGTCCTAAGAATCTCCTGCAACCAGTATAGCAAAATTCTCACGTGTATTGGCCGTGAAACTAGTGTCTCTGTACCAATAGACCAATGCCCAGGAAAATCCTTCTCGTTCCCAGTGAACCCCGAAAATAACGGCTAGCATGGTTGTTCAACAGCAAAGATTAGTAGCTTCCGACGATAAATTTACCATAGTGGGATCCTGGGCAATGAATGGATTTTGAAACCATATGCATCACATCATGATTGCACACAGGACATGTGTAATTTTAGTATGATAGATTCTCAAAATTAGTACACTTTGTAACGGTACGTTCCCAAGCTTCTCTTTGAAAGATAATGGGCCTGACAGTAAAAAACAGAGGGGAAGAAGGCTGGTAAAAGATTCTGGCAGATGACCCGTTTAGGTTGTCACAGCAACTTTCTCCTCATTGGTAGCTTATGCCCCTCGAACGTCACTCAACTTGTCCCAGACAGTATTCATCAAGGAATTCAATATATGGCATTAATAACTAATGCTAAAGAAATTGAGCAGCGCCTGATCAGGCATTTGGATCAGGTAGCGTACCATTAGCAAATGGTGGCAACTTTTCTCCAGCACTCATACCGATATTGATCGATTTAGAGAACGGCAGCATGAACTTGTTACATCTCTGCCTCTGGTTCTGATCCGCAATTATAATTTCTCCAACACCTGCCCCAGTCGTTTCCATTGTTGCATTGGAAGTATCAAGCAACACCCGTACTGGCGTAGCCATGGTCCATTTCTCCCAAACGGGTGCAGAGGCATCTCTGAACTTGTTAGGATCTAATGATCGGACGAACGACATCCAATAGCTTTGAGTGATCTTTGCCCCCTCAAGACAGCCGCCTTGAGCAAAGGGGATATCGAGACATTTTGGATCTCCTCCGTCGGTGTTGTTTTTGCCGAAGACTGCGTAAATTTCGTTGACATGCGGAGTGAAGAGTCCTTGATCTGCGAGCCCACCTGGTGTACTGTCAAGAACGTTGTAGCGATAATGGTAACTTTCTGTGTTTCCGTGTAGGGAGTGCATATCGGAGAAGAATCCGGCGACACAAGCAAGTTTCAATTCGGTAGTGATAGTGGCATCTTGTTGCCATTTAATGCCACTTCCCTTACGAAGAGTTGCATTTTTGACGGAAACATCACGGCCGAAAAAGTCCTTCTGGTTAAGAGAGTCGGGATAAAGCTGAAGAAGCTTCTGTAGGTCGGCGTCGGTTGCAATTGGAACATTGTTCTTGAACTTCCTAATTAAGTCTTCGTCTGTCGTTGCAGATTGATTTGAGATGAAATCTGGGGTGCCTTCGTTACTGGTCCCTGTGATTGTGAGCATTGTACACGGGCAAGTCTGAGGATCTGCTTACATCCATAAATGATAGGAATCTTCATAAATTTCCCTTGCTCCATCAATTGATATTGTGGGGCCGTAAACAATTTTCCATCAACAGTTGGTCCCCATCCATTCTTTAATGTCTTGTTTTGGAAATCAGCAATTGGCAACAGTCGCATGCAGTTTATTGGGTCTGGGTCATTCAAGCAGCCTGTTGAGTTGATGTTTTTTTGGAGATCGGCATCACGAGTAATAACGTTGGGCATACTTCCCCATCCGGTACTTTCTGATATAGCACCTACGAAAAGACCGGGGAAGCCAGTTCCGTTGTTTGCAGTAACTAGGAGATCGATTGCGTTTCCACCTGCACTGACACCAGTGACTACTATGTGTTTTGGATCTCCACCAAACTACGTGGGAAAAGGTTAGTCCAAACCAGCAAACGATGAATCAGAATATTACCTTGGTTGCAAATTGCTGTGTCCATTTCAGCGCAGCAACAACTGCTTGAAGTTAGCTGTTGTAGTGGTGCGATTTGTGGAGCCAACTTACTATCGTTCATACCGTTGTTCGACACTGCACCGTTCTTGTCATTCTCAATTAATGTTCCAGAGACGAATCCTAGCATTCCAACTCGATAATTGGCTCGCACGACAATCATGTTTCCTCCAGAAGCTTCAACTAAGCCAGTGCCGTTGAAATTTCCATTGGAATTGGAATTGAAACCACCACCTGAAATGAAAAACATGATGGGCAGATTTGAGGTCTCTGTCGCATTCTTAGGCGAGTAGACTGCAACAAATAAACAATCTTCAGCCATCGGTTGCCTTGCCGACCCAAATTGTAATCCTTCCTGGTTGTTTGCCGAGACACAGAGAGCTCCTTCCTGTTGATTGTTAGCCAAATAATCTTAGATTGGCCATGAATCTCGATTGACTGACCTTAGTCGAGTCTTGAACCACGGTCTCTGGGAGAGGGGCCTGAGGGGCTGCAAATCGATTTTTGCCAATTACAGGTGCTGCAAATCGCATGCTCAACCATTGATTGACTCCATTTTGTAAAGTTTGACCTTGATATTTGGCATATCCCAGGTCCACTGGATGCGATTAGCACTATACTAGGAGGATAAAATTCCACACATACCCAAGGGATCAACAGCTACCGCTACGGAGGCAAGCCCCAAGAATAGCGAAAAACGCATAATAGCTATAATATACAAAAGAATGTAGAGTTGTGAAAGAGCGTGTCGCTAGAAAATAGCTGTTTGTATAAAATAATGAATGCTCTAGCCGCCGGGGCAATTATACAAATATCCAGTCGACCAAATTAGTATCGATAATATCTTTAAGGAAGGGATGCTGCAGATTAAGTAGTCAAGAATTAAACGCAATCCAAGGCATCAACCTCGATAAAGTGCGGGAGGTTTAAGCAAATTATCGAAGCGGAAAGCCTCTTTGGAAACAGCAAACGTCGTCCGGAGTTCAGACAACCTTGAAACGTCAAAAAGCCTTGACACAGAATTCCCCGAAGCCGGAACATCTTTTCATGAAAGTCTATACTTGCCAGGGTCTGGCATGACTAACAACCCAAATACTCTGTTGCTTTTGGTAGAATTACCAACACCGACAACATCGTTATACCTGGGAGTTGTATTTTGGACAGATAAGAGCATCGATTCTACTTGTACAAGTATCGCGCGCTAGTACTGCCACCCACGGCGGATCTCATTCTCAAATCGTGTCAGGAACTGGGTTTGACCCCAGATTATACGATCTCCACCTGGATCGCTTCGGTCGCTTCGGTAAAGATCCGTCCAGACTCCAGCTACTGACAGTCCTTGGCACATTATAGAAGGAAACGCTTTGAAATGGGTGTAAATTGCCGCAGTAACATGTTAAATACGTTCTTTCAACCGACTGTTGAAGTTACAAAAAGCTACGTACTGGGTAATTAAATCAAGCGCGAAATTAAAACTTCAGAAGTACAGTACTTACTGTATCAGCTTTTGATTAGTATCTCACATTCGGACGATATTCCTTCCGTCGCCGCTTATGTATGGAGACATCTGATAATCTAAGTTTATAGTATCCAATCTTAGTCTTGGTAGTTGCGCTTGCTTCCAGTGCTATACAAGTAGCTCGGAGTAAGTCGTCCCGGGCCTCGTAGCGCACCTGGGCATCATTCCGACCGGTCCGACCACCCGGGTTTGAATGAACCGCTATACCGAACCCCACATTTGTCATTTTACGAAGTGGTACGGGTATACTTGTATAAATGCTTGTTCTCGGGAATTATGGTCAAATAAGAAGTCGCAAACTTCAAATATGAAATGTAATGCACGTGGGTTGGTTCGGAAACCGAGGGTGGGATATACTTTTTATGAAGGTCAATTACAAAATACCAACTGGCATACCCCTGGACTTTTAACAAAGTTATCTGGCACGAAAAGGGGTTCCAAACCACCTTGATCGTTTTTTCTGCGCAGAAGATTCAGGGATAAAGAAGGGTGTCAACGGTGAAGAAAAGTTTGAACCATGAGATTAATTAAGAGACAGAACGGTCGAATTTGGGCCAAAAAGCCGAGGGATCCGAAAGATTGACATGATGTCCAAAACCGGGAATCTGGTTCACGCCTGTCAGTATGCATATGCATCTCAAGGCGTGTTAGAACGGTTTGGAAATGCTGCGTTGAAGGAAACTGCAAGGGGATGTCTGGGACATTGGTGGCTTTACTCGAGTAGGGGCTCTAGGTATCAACGCCCCAGTATAAAACTCTATACCGAATGTTTTCCGAGTCGCATTTTTGTGACTGGTTTCCAACGTGGTCGACAGTACTCGTTCTCACGTGATTAGTATCACTTAGGAGTACTCGTACTTCCAGGTACAAGCTGTAGTTAGAGCCATTTTTGCTCCTTAAGAGGGTCAAATAAAAATTAGGGAGATCGGTAGATCTTCGTGCGACGACAGCCTCCTATACCGTCTCGAAAATCTTGAAGAACTCGCTTGAAACAAAAGTCATCAGCACCTGTAGTGTGGTATTTGGTGGAAGGCTAGTTGTTAGCGTGATTTTACTTTGAGAAATAATGAGTTAGAAGGCTTGGAAGAGTCCACTTGCTCCGTAAATGCCTCAAGCTTAGGTTAGGTATCGGTTTTGACTGGGTATCCGCAGAACAATGGGAAGAACTTATATACTTAGGCTATCTGTAAAGGAAAATCGCAATATCTCATTGTATTAGCAAGGCGGTAGCAAGCTTGAAGCTTTCTATTGACCAACATACCATATTGGATCTTAGTGATGAATAAACTTATGAATTTCTTCATTTCAACAACTACACACATCGACCAATAGCCAACAAAACCCCCAAAAACTCTCCATCCACCTCCATCAAACATATTTAAAACCACCGGTCCGACTCCTCAACATTCCATCAGGATCATACCTTCTCTGGATCGCCCTCAATCTCTCGTAGCTCTCTTTCCCATAACTCTCCAAAGGTCTCTGATCACTCATAGCATCATTAAAATACACAAACTCATTCCCCGCCCCCTTCTCCCCACCTCCAATCTCATTCGTACTCTTCACACCAGGATAGGTCTCCTCCACAAACGCTTCCAAGCTCTCTGTCAGGTGTTGGGAGATAGTAGTGGCGGTACTATCGCTGATATTCGCTAACCAGGAGATGGTGAAACCTATCCACATTTTGTCCCCGTCTGCAGCGGAGAGGTTCATGGGATTGCCGTGAGGGTTTACGATCTGTGATTGGAAGGGGATTTGGTGTGGGAATGGCTGGAAGGAAATTGAGAAGACAAAGCCGAGTTGAAAGAGCCTATCCAAACCTTGTGATATGAGATAGTTTCGGTAAAGGTTGTAGGCTGAGACGTAGAGATCCGTTCCATTTTGACCTGGCAAGTTGGGAATTGTTGCAGCCTGTGAGACGAATTTCATTAGCTGCGAGACCTTCTCAAGTTGGAATAGAATAACTTACCCGAAGAATAAATCGAAACCCGTAAATACTCGCCAACTCATTGTTCGCGAGAAGCTATTTTATGCAGTATCAGCATCAACTTTACGAAAGTTTGGTGTACATTAACCCACTAAATCACTATAAGATCTCGTCTTCGTGTCATCAGTAATCGCAGGGATGATATCAAACTTGTCAAACACCCCTGGTGGTGGAATAGGCCCATCATAGAAGAAATAAACCACAAATATATCAACAACATTATCTGCGGCAACATTACCCGTAACGATGACGCTTCCTTTAGGATCGGGTAAGTTTCCGGTCCCTAGGAATCAGGTGATCAGTCATGAGATCTCCTATCCGAGAGAAGAGCTGGAATGGAACAAGGAGAATAAAGCGTCCATTACTTACAGTCCGACGTTGCGGCGAGTAACTTATCCGCATTAAGAAACGAATAAGTACGTACACCCCCCCAAGTCTGACTGATGGGGAATGTTTTCATCGTGTATTTCGTTATAATACCTACAACCATCAGCACGTCCCTTCCTTCCCCATTTTCCATCCAAAGACTGGAGTACATACCAAACTGATTCCCGCCACCTTTCAATGCCCAGAATAAATCAGAGTTCTCATTCTCATTCGCATTAACAATCGTCGAATTTGCAAGAACAACCTCATAATTCACACCAGAATCACAAGCTAATCCATACTGGGTACTCAGAAAACTTAATCCGCCACCAAGAAGTAATCCTACCCCGACATCTCCTACACTCGGTTAGCAAATTGTGATTTCCTTACTCTCCACAAGAAAGTGAACCCACCAATCCGGCCCCCAACAACGGCGCGTCCTCTGTCTTCTAGATCACTGATGACATTTTCCCACTACGCAAGATATCAAAATCAGCATTTCTAGGCTTTTAAACCCAATCAAAAAATTCAAGCTCATAGTAAAAAGAAACCCTCTAAAAAACTCACCCTCGCCCCAGGACTAACATCCGCCAAACCCCCATCCCCCTTCAGAACACTCTTATTCCAATCCTTGAAACTAATCAGAACAGCTCCATCTGTACTACTAAACCCCTTGTTAGGATTATGTCCCCCAGATTTAACCGCAAACCCCACATCAGGGAACGCATCCAAAACCCTCAAAATGCCCGAGACATGTTCAGCAGCAGTGGGGAAAACAACACAAGCAGGCGTGTTATCAGCGTTGGTCGCTGAGTAGTAGTGTGTTTTGGCGTACACGTATTCAGGTGCAAGGGAGGACACGGGGAGGCTGTAAACGGGGATGTTTACGCTGGAGGATATAGAGGAGCAGGCGGAGAGGGCGGAGGCTGAGGGGGCAAAGAGAATGGGTTGTAGTATTGACATTTTGACGGTGTGGGGGGGGATGAAGGAGTGGAATATAATAGATGAAGTCAAAGGGATATCTTTATATATACTTCACAAAGGAAAACTAGCACGAAAGTGAAAAAGATTACCTACGTAGTAGTGCTCTTCAAAAATTTGGATATTCTAAAGAGAGAAAACCATGAAGAAGGGAAAGATCGTCATAGTGCAGATTCCCGTGTATTGGAAAACTCATATTCCTGAAGACGCAAAACGTACTGGTGGCCGTACTATTGGGCACGTCGCTTTGAGAATGCAACCATATCGAAGAATTTGAGTCTCTTGCCTAGGTCCGAGAGCCTTGGATCCCATCACTCCGGATAAGAATAAGCTGCATAAAAATCCCGGGATGCGTCTTACTCTCGCAGCGTGTCCAAGACAAATACGAATTTGAGGGTTGCATTGTGATGTGGCTGCTGTACCTCTCTGAGTGTGTGTTGAGCCTATTCAAATATACGTCGGTACCAAGTGATACAATGAATAAGCTCCGCTCTTGGCCAGAATAAGCATAATATGAAGGCGTCAAATGGAAGTGATGGGATTTTGAATATCGTAACACATACCTGACCGTCGGGATTCAATGATCGTCAGATCTACAAATGCAATCAGAACAACGCGAAAGGAATTGAAGAAATGGTATCCCCGCAGTTCTGTACAACACAAAAACGCAAGGAGTCCCAGCCCTCCAGCCTGAAATATGCAAAGGTCGCCACTTGGAATATGCGAGGTCGTGGAAGTGTCTGCGCCGTAGAGAGTGAGATTCGGGCTCGGATAAAACAGATATGAGGAGTTTACTGTACCAATTGACAAGCCACTACCAGTACCCAGCTTCAATAACAGCACGGCATACTAAATCCTCAAGCTAAAAATATCAGGCAATAATCCGAAAGAGATGCATCAGAGATCTGATGACGTGAATGGCGCCGTAAAACCAGCAGGACTCGGCCAAGGTACCGGGAATCCTTCTGCTCTTTTAGGCAGCAGATTTCGCCAAATATTGATTTTGTACGGCTGTTTCTGTCTCGTGGAGGAAAGAACGCAATACCTTCACTTTTCTTCAAGTAATGAGCTCTGGATGCACCCCATGCGGTTATAGTTATCGTCGTATTGATGCCAGTATAATGCGGGGTACAAATGACATGGAACGGCACCACTGGTAGCGATGAGAAGCTGGTAGTTTCATTATTGCTCTTCAAAGTAAAAGTTGAGAAGGCTCTGGGACTCTGGTTCGGTGGACACTCGCCTTTTGGACGCGGGAAATCCAATAGACTTAACCTAAGAAGAAATTAGCAGTAGTCGATATGAGTAACTTTTGATATGTCGTGGCAGACGGCATGAGTTTATTTCAATTTTTCGTAACCATTGTCACACGACCTTTCATTTCTCTAGGCTGTTTGTAACCCTTGCTGATACCAAAGTAAATGAATGACGTTATTGCTTATTCCAACAGATATACAAGGCTAATGTGCCTCCATTTCACTTCGAGATTTCTGGTCCTTTGAGCCCTACGGCCGCAAGAAAAGAGTAGTGGTAAGTACACTGTACAAGGATTTTGCGGAGATTCTGATGATCCGGGTATCAAATGGTTTTAGTATTAGTCCTTTACTCATAAAGATTCCGTTCTTGTGACGCCTCTGCCTCTATTAACCTGCACCATTTTATCTTCTCCGGCACTGACAATACCAACGTCTTTATCCCAAGTCACGCCGAAAACTTTGATGCCTTCTCCGCCAACAGGACGCTTTGCGCCTCCTTTTTGACTGTCTCTTTCTACAACGTACACAGCTTCTCCGACAAGCCCATTGCCCTCATCTTTCGTCCCTTGTCTAGAGCTTCTCAGATCCCAAACTCTGCACGTGCCGTCGTGACTTCCGGATATCAAGCCATAATTACTTTCTGGGTCTGGCGACAACGAGACAATTTTGTTTGTATGGCCACGTAAAGTCATCACCTGAGTGGAGGAAGCAGAGATACGGGGATCGAGAAGGGTGATATGTCGTGCACTAGTCCCTGCAGCTAGTAACTGTGACGTTATACCCGGTAGAGCGGCCAGGGATAGAAGTGGATGAGATGTCGTGCGCGTATCTACAACTTCCAGCGTTGTAAGATCAAGAGTTTTTATCGTGTGGTCTTGGGAAGCTGAGTAGGCTACAGTTGAGTCGCTAGGATTGAATATTGCTGCGGTGACGGGTGCGGTATGGGAAGAGATAAGGGAAAGAGGACCTCGCTGCGGGGTAGAAGTTGAAGTCGTAAGCTTCCTCCGTTTTGCCAGAGGACCAGATGTGAGCAGAGAAGATGACGCGGCGGGTGCAGAAGACTTCTGTGTCGTCCAGAGACCAACGGTGCCATCGATCGAGGCCGAGAGAATACGATCAGAGGGGCCATGCACATCAATAGAGTCGATTGCGCCAGTATGACCATAAAATTCCAAAGTTGGCTTGAGGTCGCCCGAGAACCCATCCTGTGCTTCCGCATATTTCCATATTCTGATTGTACGGTCTAGGCCTGCGGATGCAATTTGGGTGGGAGATATGAACCTGGCGGATTTGATGCTAGAAGTATGCCCACCTGCGCTCGACGACGTCGAAGTCGCAATCGTCTGCCCTGATTTATTCCAGATTCGCAACAACCCATCGTAAGATCCGGAGAGAATACGTTCTTGCCCAGGAGTTATTTGCTGGCCATTCCAGGTTCCAGCAGCAGAGCTCCCAGAGAGTACATCTACACAACTAACCCAATCGTCATGCTCAAAGCTGGCCTCGTATAGCGGCGGGATCAAACTGCGCACGTATTGCAAGTTCAAAGTCGTCTCTGCGGATAGACCGTTTGCGACCAAGTATTCGTCGATCGTGGTGCGGAGGAAGGTACCATTGATCAGAAAATCGAAGGGAATGGGAGAGGAAGTGTCCAGCATCGACTCTGAATTGAGGATTTGAGAGAGGCCATATCGGCGGACATCTGGAGTTTCTATTAGCACAGGCGCATTAATCGGGCTCATCAATCCTAATCTCCTACATACCAGTAGGCACGCGCAATTGTCTTTTTTCTTCTGGCAGTTCTATATCCTCGGAATTCGTCGTGAAATACACCTGAACTTGGCCGGGAGAATTCGATGGCGCCACAATCTCCTCCATGGTGGTATCCATTATTTAATCGTGCTTCTTTTGCAATAGACAAGGAGTCGCAAAGTCCGAGAGTGTTGATGTTGGGGCGCAGAGAAGCTGTGAGAGCTACCGTATCGCGCTGGAAAAATGCGGGCAGAAAATAAATTTATCTCAGCCAATTCGGGGCCGACCACCCCCGAAATCCGATAACCGATAATCGCCCGACTACAGTAATGCACCAGTAAAGGCATTAGGATTATTGTCTCCAAGCATACCAATCTCTCAGGATAATTTGAGTGTGGAAAATGCTTTGAATCTATTGTTATGGTCTAGTTCAATAAATATTTTGACTGTGATTGATTGGATTCATGGCATAGGCACAACAAAGGGATAAATTGGACTTAATCCATCTATAACTGATCATACAGAAAGTTGACTTGTAAATTTCGAAATCAACAGCTTGACTTCAAGTACGATTCTAATCAATCTGGGTATGTAGAATATGGCCTCAAATCGATGGAGAGGTTCAGTAGGAGGCTCTATTAGAAGACTACATGCACTGTCCTAGGAATTTGTGATCATAATTCAGAGAGTGAAGACCCATGATAATGACAAATATATTTGCAAACTTGTCATAAGGTGTTCAAACCCTATAGAGCTCTAAGGTAAATGACTGGTTTGATTTTAGAAAGTGACTGTATATAATCATGCTTGGCATTAGCCTCATATTACAAATATCAAACTTGGTAATCAATCGCCATAAAGTAAACAACCAAAAGAACACAGCATTCTGGAAAGGAACACAATAAATTTGAACAACAAATACCTTGCATACTAATAAAGTCCTCGTTCCACTGTAGGTCAAATCATAGAAGAAAAGTTCCACTCTACGTCATCTGTTTCTCTGGCATTTTCTTGCGTTAGGGGATGTTTTTATATCACGTGATGACAGACGAACAACTGACAAGAGCTGGGGGGAGTTTGTGGGGTTTAATGAGGGTCTTGGGGGGTGGATTGAGAGTGGGGCGCCGAATGCGAGAACTTGAAGTGAGAAGTTTCTGTTAGCGGCCGGGGCAGGAACCTTCAATAACTTCACATATCCTGCCCTTGGAGCAGGATGTGTACGTCAGAGCCCTAGGGCTCTCTTTTTCACGTTCTCATTACTTCACTTCTCTTGGCTCTATTCTTTTTACTCTCCTAACTAGCTAAGTGCTCTAGTTCTTACTAAGTGTTAATTGCTCACCTGCGTTTGCTTATAGGAGCGATGCGATTCTATTATACAATATAATACGATTCTTTGGTACACGTACTACCCCTTCCCAACCTATGCGACGCTCCTTGTACTCCTACTCAGGTCCAGAGGAAACACAATCTTGTCCCTACAATTCAAAGAGTCAGAGAGGCGGGCATTACTCTGTACACCACACCTGAGTTATAAGAATATTATCTCAAAGACCTCACACAACTAAATCAATTGTACGAATAGTTTAGAACAATTAATACTTTTCACTCCTTATTATTCTAGATAAAATAGGACAATCAATTAAGTTGTACTAGACTTCTGGCATAATGACTTTTGATGACGTGTATAGAGCAATGACCAGGTTTCTTACAGGGGGTGGCCAGCTGGTCTAGGAGGAGGGAGGAGTGAGGAGCGATACTATTGCAACTTCGAACTTTCGACATCTACAACTTTGCTAGGCAAAGAGGGCCCTCTGTGTATAGTTTTGGCCCACAGGGTTTTCCATGCTCGTCACACAAATGTAGGAGAGGCGGATATTTGCAGGGAAGGCGGTGTTTATCGTGCTCTCTCTACAGAGTTCCGCCCCTCCATACCCACACACATATATGAAACCAGCACTCGCCTTGCGAAGCCGCTCACTAACCTCTCACCTACTCACTCACTTGCGGCTCCCAAGGCTCTTACTGGCACCCTAGGGCTCTCCAAACCCTAAGTGCTGGTCCCATATATGTGTTCCCTTCTCCCTCATGAGCACTCAGCAGGACGAACGTGATTATAAAACTCATGTTATAGATAACAAACTGTCGTCGCTCACTCTAACGACTGGTTTCCACTGTGTGGAACAGGTGCATGGAACAGGAACAAACAGATGTACTCAGTAGGACTCTAGTGAGTACTGTAACAAAGGATGAGCTTATTATAGGGCGATACAACCCTAGCTGCCGCCCAAAGTAGTTAGCTAGTCAGCCATCGGCGTACAACTCTCTTTCCAGTCATCCTGGCAATCTTAGTACTCCACACACACACATACACCCTTCAACACCAAGTAATGTAGTACTCAGGTATCGTGACCTTTTTGAAATATACACCCTTGAGTCTGTACATCTCTCTTTGCCCTCTATTTCGTGTAGAATTGCAATTCCTTAGGTAGATGTGGCGTGTGATGAATGCCATTTATTTTGAAGAACTGATTTCCGTATCCGCAATTTCAAGATTCTTTTCTTTCTTTGGATCAGAAACATGAGCAAACCTATGATATGTTCATTTGAAACTTGCTACATCAAGACATCAGTATTATGCTAGAGCAACACAGGTTATCATCGTTTCAAAGATGCCAGAGGAATATTTGGAAGCTCAGACTCTTTGCTAACCAGCTGAAATCCTCTATTGTAATTCACTATTGCTACTTATCTACCCTACAAGTCCCCACTCATTTCTTAACTTGACATTGCCCCACAAAGTTTTACATCATGAAGTCTTCCCTCTGTGGGTTGCCAACTTCCTCCACAACACTACCAAAGAGCATCAGCAGAACATAAGCGAACAGCCACCACTCAAGATGTCTTTCCTGCCTCAAAGCAGCTCATCAGATACACCTCATCCCAAGGATATGAAGTTTCCTCCTCAAGAGCACAAGACACCTCCCATTGCGACAATACCTCCGCGCCGCAGAACTCGACACCGCAGAACACGAACCAGAAACAAGAAGAAAACCCCCAATGAGCCTCCTCAACCAGAATTTCCAACCAACCTCTCCGAGTCATCGGTAAACTTCAACGACGACATCCTCTCAAAAATCTGGCATCATGCGCTTCCCAAGAACAACAATGTGGTCATCATCGCTTACATCCACAACCACAGCGAGGGCCGATACCGCTTCAAAAGCCCAAACAAGCCTTCTCCACTACTCCAAGTATGCCGTGCATCTCGTGACATCGCTCTGTCTCACTATACTGCATCAATTGGAAGTCGCGGAAGCAAGCGAAGAATTAGGTTCAACAGCGCACAAGACAAGGTCCTATTTCAAGTGGAGGGCGACAACAGGTTTATTGATCTACTGGTGGATTCAATTGCAGAAGAAAGTGCATTCATCCAGGATTTTTTCAACATCAGGGACCCATCCATTGAGGAGATTGGGTTCGCAACAATTCAAAGTCTTCTTGTCGAGGAGGATCTTGTACGGCAATTACACTGGCCGGAAGAGATCCGAGCATTCTTCCGAATCTTTTGCTCGTTGAAAGATCTAGGCATGGCGATTGAGGGAAATATTTATATGACCAAGAAAAAGCCAGAAGCAGAAGATGAGGGTCGTGCGTTTGCGGTCAATACACCGTATGGCAGAGTTCTAAACAAATTGATGAACGTCAACACACCAAGCCGACTAAACGCATTCCAGGTGTTGAGAGCCGTTTTGAGCGAAGTTCTTTCCATCTCATCAAGACCGGTTTTGAATTTGGTGCGCGTCTCGCTGACTGCGAAGAGACCTTTTGGAGTGGGACGCATCAGTGCTGGTACTCGAGAATATGACGGCATCTCCCAGGATATGACAGACAATACGAATGATTATGAAATGCTCTTTGGTATCAAATAGGAGGAATAGGACACCTATTATTCGTGTTCCTGGATGCCTATAGGAATAGTTAATGTGACGAGTTGAGCCCGGAGCATAAAACCTATCCGAATTTCAACGTGTTTCGTGACATTGATCTGTCTCTAGGACGAATGAAAACCCAATTGAGGAATTCCAAGTACCAAATGGCAGAGGAAAAGTAATGCATACGAATGCAAGGGTCTCTCGCCGTAGCAAGGCGATATTCAAAGATCTATTCCAAGGTCTTTCAAGCATCTCGGGAGAAAGTTCAAGGGCGAAAATAAAATATTCATTATAAAGAGGCAAGCCCAAATCCCTGCGAAAACAAATTTATCCTCACTAATATGGTGAGATGTCCACAGAGACGCTCTAAATTCCATTGATGTGTTTGCTAACTCGGAAAAAACATTAGAAAAAAGTCTAAATGACTACCAAAATAAGTTTTTGCCCAACCACGTAACGTGGTAGGATGCCTAAAGTGGGGGGCTCAAAATTCCTTCAAAAAAACAAAAGAAAAGAAGGGTAAAGACTAATAATAGTAGAGGTAACCAAATTTCTCCTCAGACCTAGGAGTACAAGGTGCTACACATAGAGGTGCTGTAAACAGCTGATTGAATTAGTTAGTAGTCTATCCGCAAAATAGAAGAAAGAAAGGCCTAAAGGACTATATAGTAGAAGAAAACCTAATAAAATCACCCCTCTAATTGTCTAATACTAGGCTAGCGCTCTAAAGGGAGTTAATACGCTAGGGGAGAAGAAACCACACAGTTAATTAAATAAACCTGTTTGTTGTTATTATAGAACTAATTAAAGGGTTGGAAATTCGCGAGGGGGATATTTCGGCTAAAAAAGGGGGGCTGGTAATAACAAAGTCACGTGCGCGCAGTAATATCTAAAATTCTCTAGCAAATTTTATTAACTAGAGTGATTTTAGAACTTCTACTAAGAAACTTTAAGAACATACAGTATTTTCTAATCTATATTAATTCTTCTGAGTATAGTTTACTTAATTAAGTAGACTAATAGTATTAAAATTAAATAATAAGAATAGTACTATAATATAATATAGAATAAAAATTCTAGAATCAAAGGTAGTAGTTATAGAATAGAAGCAAATATATTTTCTATTTAGTAAAATATTATTTAAATAATCCTTTAAAGATCAACATTAAATTTTCATATTGCCAATAAATATTAACAGAAAGAATTTATATTAATCTTTTAAATTAATAGTAAAAGAAATATATAAACGAATATAATAGTAAATAAAAGGTAATTAAATTCCTATACTCTTAAAACTAAGTATTCTAGCTAGTTAAGCTAATATTATTATAGGCTATTCTTTATAATTAATATATAATAAAATATTATTCAATAGTTCTAGTCTCTAATTTAATATTTTGAATTGTTTATTAATATAAAAATAATTCTAGATTAAGACTTAATAGAATTATAGCTTAGTATTTCTTCTATTAACAGTATTTTATAAAATATTTATATTATAGAATACTTTTAGTCTTTTAATAGAAAAAATATATTATCTTTATTATAAAGTAATTAGTTTAGAAATACTCTAGATATTTCTTTTTCTTTATTTTTGTTAATTATACTATAAATTACGTAATATAATATTTAGATAACTAGTAAGCGTACTATATATAACCTTATTATAAAGCTTTTTTTTTATAATAGTACTTACTAAAATACTTATATAATAATTATAACAAATCGAGGCTTAAGTACTTAGATACCTAGCCTAGTTAGCTAAACAACGTTAGCGAGGATAAGGAGTACTAATTGGTCAGGATTAGAGTAGGAAGGAGAGCTCTCTAATTTGTACGGATAGGAACGGAGATTCCGGTGGAAAGGAGTGGCGGGGAGAAGTTTGGAGGGGAGATACCATACACTGGCCCCCACGTATATTACACGTGCTAACTATATATCTCCACTCTCGTAAGTCTTGTAGTAATCCCTCCGGCTAACAAATACCCCCTATACCTTCTCGCTGTCGCAAAGTGCTGTCTTGTCTAAAGAGAAGAGGAAGTAGGAGCGAGAGCGAGAACTGGTAAGAAGCAAATCCATTAATAGTGTAACACGTGCTAACCTAGCCTCTTTAGGAAGGTCGTATTAGGGGCTAGGAATAAGTAGCATGTACAACTAAGATACTTTCCCCGCATCCCCCTCCCTCTTTTTTAAACAACATACTAGGGTACAAATCCTATAAGATAGCGAGTGTACGCGATAGTAAGGATACAACAGTAACTGACGGTGGGCGACAGATAGTGAGGGTGCGACAATAGGGGTATACACGTGAAAGTAGCTTGGCACGTGAAGTCTGAGGGTGGGGCTGTGGGGATATAGGCATAGTAAATATAGTAAATATAGCTTTTGCGATTTAATCACTTGGGTTAGTTAGTATGACAGGATGCCGTAGTACATCTTGCCTATTTTAGAAAAATCTAGTTATTATTTCCTAGATCTGATTCAAGGTTCTAGAGAACCCCCCTCCGATATCTCGGACTATCTTACATTTGCTGTAAAGCTTTGTTGTAGCGTTTGATACTTAAGCACCGCTTCCTTAAACCGTTGTATCGGATGTAGCTGATTCGAGAATTGCACTCTGTCGTCCTACATTAATCTCTTATTTAAACCCTTCAAACCTGATCGGAATCTGCTTGCGAAAAGCCTCGACTTGCTCCGCAAACCAACAGAAAACCGACAGGAATCTGCCCTCCCAAACGCCCTTCGACTGAGCCAGCAGACACCCTCCCCCCTTTCTCATCATGGCATTTAGATCGGACGATAGGGAGGACATAGAGCGTGAACACTTTGATATCATAAATCGAGATTCTTCAACTATCCCTACCACACTCGGCATATGAAACAGACAAAAGAAAACGTGCACTCGAAGTGGATATAAGCGGACGAAATAAATGGGTCGAATTGAGGCTCAAATAATTGGATACAGCGCCTGGTTGTCCAAACGGTCCTGTTTTATAAAAGAACCTTGTCAAAGCCGGCACCTTCAATCCACTTCGAGTACATAATTTTCTATCATGCTGAGTGTGGAAGGGATGAAACAAAAGAGCTAATCTAGAAGACGAATAGATGAATTAGCAAATTCTAGAGCACCTGTTAAACAGTAATTGATAAGAAGATAAGCCCCAGACGATCTAGGACTCTAAGAACAAGTGTCAGGTACAATAGATAAATGAAATTCAGAACCTACAGTACCGGGCGGTAAGTCTAAGCCATTTAGCCAAAGAACGCCCAAATACGACGATTTGCCTAGCTTTTAATAGCCTATAACTTTACCTTTTATTAATAAAAGCTTTATCCCTCTTGTATACTCTTAGTTAAGTGTATTACTAGTGCTCCTATATAGGTGCATTAAGTTATAAAGCAAGTCTTTATTAGTATATATTCTAATGTTCTCGAGTTATGTATTTTAGTACCGAAATCGGGCCGAACTTGGTGTAGAATGCGTAATTTGTAAAAATAGACTACTTTAGACCTAATTTACTTAATACTATATATTATCTAATAAAATCGGAAGAGACAGAAAGGAAGGAAACGTTAAGATAAAGAGATTTTATAAAGGACTTTATAATTGTAAATAGTCTTTTATGTTTTATCTATAAGTGATTATGCCGAGTTTTGGTGCAAAAAGGGCAAATGGCTCAGACTTTCCGTCTAGTACTGTAATAGGTTGTTGTGAGATAAGAAGGGGAGAACTCTTTATTTTACATATTTGTAAAATAAGGTACAGGTGGGTATTAAATACCCAGGTTTGAGGCTAGTGCTACTAGTGCGTAGTGATTGAATATCAAATATCCTACAACATAGGTTGACTAGCAAAATCAAACAGCTGTTAGACAGCTTAAAGGAGAAATAAGTTCAACAATAGAAACGGTAACAAAGTATATGAACATAAAACCAAGTTAAATTAAAACAAGTTAGCTAGATTGAACAAAAGAAGACATACTACCCTTGTGCACCATACTGTCTTTTGCCCCGTAAAATATACAGTTCTTTAGAACCTCCTACTAGCCTGAAGGCATAGTACCAAGCCAAGACAACTCTCACTTTCTGACACTTCTCAATTTCAAACCAACCAGAGTACCAATCACCCCTTTTTTCATTAGGCGACCATGATATCATAGGTAGTATAATGATAAGTATACACTCGAATATTCGAACAGAAAAGGCTTTGGATTTCACTTTCTAGATCCCGGAGGGACAACAAGAACACGTTGAGAAATAGACTTGCTTCGGACTTATTTGTTAGCAAGTATAAGCCATAAGGCATATAAGGATAAGGAACCGAGTTGTTATTTTTCGGAGTAGGATATATCGCATTACTTTAGAATTTAGACGGATATATGTATAGAGATACCTCGATACTCTAAAAGGGATAACGTGCATGTATAGCGAACCGGCCAGACAAGCGAACCGGCCAGACAAGCGAACCGGCCAGACAAGCGAACCGGCCAGACAAGCGAACCGGCCAAAACCCGGCGACCCCACCACACCTCCACGAAATATTAAATTTCTCTACAACGAAGGATGCCTCTGAAAAATGGCGAAAGCCGGTTAGTCTTAGCTATCCAAGCTATGCAAAAAGACCCAAATTTACGTGCTCGAGCTGCTGCCAGGACCTATCTGTAGACCACCGGAAGCTAGGTCGACGTTTGCTTGGTATACCTTCACGACGCGATATTTTAGCTAATTCACGGAAAATGACCGAGCTAGAGGAATCAGTACTTGTTCAACATATCCTCGACCTAGCTACAAAAGGATTTCCTCCGCGGATATCTGTAGTTGAAGATATAGCAAATCGACTTCTTGAAGCACGCGACGCGCCACGCGTCGGGACGCGTTGGGCTTATAACTTTGTTAAGCGCCGCCCAGAACTCCAGACACGCTTCCAACGAAAATACGACTATCAGAGAGCTAAGTGCGAAGATCCAGAAGTCATTCGTGGCTGGTTTGAGCGAATGAGGCTGGTTTGAGCTTGTACGAAACACAATAGCGAAGTACGGAATCTACGATGCAGATATCTACAACTTTGACGAGACTGGGTTTATGATGGGCGTTATCTCAACTGCAATGGTTATTACAAGCTCAGAAGGACGTGTAAAAGCAAAAAGAGTACAGCCTGGTAATCGGGAATGGGTTACAGTAATCCAGGGGGTTAATGCCCAAGGCTGGTGTGTTCCACCGTTTGTGATTGTTGCCGCAAAAAATCACCTCGCTTCTTGGTACCAAAACAGTGGATTTCCACCTAACTGGGTGATTGCTATTACTGAAAATGGTTGGACAACAAATGAGAAAGGCATGGATTGGATTCGACATTTTGAGAAGCATACAAAGTCCCAATCTATTGGTGGTTATCGTCTATTAGTCCTCGACGGCCATGAAAGCCACCACTCCGACGAATTTGAGGAATATTGCAAGGAAAACAACATTATCACTCTTTGTATGCCTGCTCATTCTTCTCATATACTCCAGCCACTCGACGTTGGCTGTTTTAGCCCTTTGAAAAGGGCATATGGTCAGCAAATTGAAGATATGATGCGGGCTCAGATCATCCATATTACTAAGGATGATTTCTTTCCTGCCTTCCACGCCGCATTTAATATTGCAATGACAGAAAGCAATATCCGAGGAGGGTTCCGAGGGGCTGGGCTTCTTCCATTTGACCCAGAAAGTGTAATTTCTACACTTGATCTTAAGCTAAAGACGCCAACGCCTCCAAACTCCCCCCCGTATTCCGCTCAGCCTTGGGTTTCCCAGACACCAAATAACCCTACTGAAGCCTTATCACAGACTGCATTTATTAAAGATCGAATTTTACGCCACCAAAGTAGCTCTCCAACCCCTATTTACGAGGCCATTGACCAGTTTACGAAGGGTGCATCAAAAGTAATGCACCAGATAGTACTATTGAAAGCTGAGAACCAGAGACTTCGACAAGCAAATGAAGTACTAAGTAAGCGCCGTAGAGCTAAAAAAACACGCCTACAGCAAGGAGGATCACTTAGTCAACAGGAAGCGCAGGACCTACAGGATGATAGAGACGTTGGTGAGCAGGTAATGCAGGAAATAAAGAGAAGTAGTGGTCGGAAGCCGAGGGAAGAATCACGTGCACGGCGCTGTGGCAACTGCGGAGAGACTGGTCATAATACGCGCACCTGTAATATTATAGAGGAAGTATCTGAGGAAGAAATTTCTGAATAGTGTTTTTTAATTAGAGGCGTTGTGGTAGAGTTCTTACAATTTCAATCGCGAGTGTAGAAAATTTTGGCCGGTTCGCTTGTTTGGCCGGTTCGCTATACATGCACGTTAGAGGACTTTATTAATAACTTCAAGTCCATTTAGGACAAGCAATTCTACTAAAGCCCGAGTGAATTAACTTCCCACTTCTTCTTTTGTACTCTTACCATCTACAATTTCTAGGGTTATGAGTGTTTTACAAGCTATGTCTAATTTGGTTTATTTGTGAATTCGATTCAAACGGGTTTGTTATAGCGTGCAAATACGCCGTTTCTAATGAAAAATATTTAACTCAATAATTACCAGCTTCCTCGCCAAGACGTATGCCTCAGTTTGACTCAGTCATACCAGGCTATTGGATTCACTTTGCGTGCGCATTTTTTCCGAGTACCTCTCATATCTGGAAGGGATAATACTCTTGGCCTCTAACTCAACGGATTAGAAAGAACGAGCTGTCCAGTAGAGGATTCCCCGCTGGATGAACTTAATCATAACCAGTCTTCCCTCAAGGATGGAAGTCAATAATCCTTGTCCGGGCGTCGTGAACCCTGGAGCTTACGCCCCGGGCTCATAACCTGTTGAAGGGAATTTAGAATGCCGAAATGGCCAGGGTGACTGGAAAGAGAGTTGTATACAAATTACTGGCAAGCCAGCTAATTTGGTCAGAGTGAGGGGTTTATACCCACAGTATAAACTTATCCGTTGTTGTAGTACAGTACTTGCTACGACACTGTTGGATGGGTCAAAAATAAGTTGATTTAGTATTATATGGAGGATATCGCATATGTGTTGTAGGAGTGGAGAAGTGTTCTCAGTTCGAGTACATACTCCGCCCGTCTATCAGAGCTCATTGCGAATAGCTGCTAGTCCGTCTTAGTTGTAAACTGCCAAGTGATATCTCCTGCTCGCTAGTGGCTGTTAAAAAACTTGCACCAACATTGGTATTCTATGAGGACCAACACTACTTACCCAACACCAACAGATATCACAACACCAACAAAATCACCATAGAAACCCAACAGGTATCCGACACTCGATAGAATAAAGAATTAAGAGTTTAAATTCTCTCTCGGTGCTAGTGAAATATGGAGTCTTCAATTTTTTCTTCTCTCGGTAGAGGTTATTCTGGATGTCCACGCTAATATGTCGACTACACGACCCAACGAGTCCGTTCTTTCAATTATATCTAGCTGTATCTTTTCATGCTTTACGCGCGATACCGAGAGCCATGTCGCGCCAAGCAACCCACAGAACCATGGCCATGCTACGAAAGGACAGACCCATCCTACAGAGAAACTGGTAGATCCTATGAACGTAAAGGCGATTGAACTTGTTAATGAGATCAGACTTTGAAAGGGAACGGCAGCATCTATACTGGAGAACGCAAAGATTGATCGCCAAAAGTTTATGATCGAATTTGAGCCCGCGCTCAAAGCTAATGTCACTGCATCAGCATTGCTTATAAAGAATCCACGATTGCAAGCTGGGGAAAAGTCAATGAACAAGATGTATGAGGAATTGATGTCAGGACATATGGAGTTGGAGGCTCTGGAAATACGTAAAAAGGTATGGACGATACGGAAGGAGAAGCTCAGGAATGGAAACAAGGAAGGCGTTAACACTTAATAAGAGGACAAATATTCTTTTATTGTTATACAAATCTTGAAGCTCCTCTGATTTTCCATAGTTTCATAACTCTTCGTTCTACCAACTTGAAAAATCTATTATCTGAAAGAGCATAGACATCGTAGAGTCAACGGCAGAATAATGTGTTAGGTGACTACTGGTGTAAGTAAGTGGCATCTCTATATTTCTCAGGTAAAAAAGATAAACGTTGATAGTTGTGCTAAACGAAATTTACTCGAGTTTGGAAGTTATATAAGCATAGAGTTATCTGTATACATACTCTTTTCACAGATCACGAATAGCTGCACCAGATGGCACCGCCGTTCGGATTACCTGAATACGCATGTAGAGATAGATTCGCAGATAAATCTCAGCTTTAGGGTTGGATTACTCCTCTCAGATTATTACCCTTAACTTCCTCACCCCCTAATAATCACATAACCAAACAGCCACCCTCGCTTAACCCCCCTCCCTCAGCCCTCGCACTATTCGCAGCAGTCCTACAGATATCCTCCACAACCTCCTGTACCAACTCCCCCGTAAACGCAGAACACTCCATATACTTATCACATCTCATTTCCTGGGCGATGCGATATGCTTCTTGGGGATAGATGATGCCATTTGGATCAGTTTCCGATCGGAGATCGCGCTTAAGACCTAGGAGGAGAACGGGGACCGTGGCGAGGAGGGAGGGCGTGAAGGGTTGGGAGAGGAGGGGGGACCACTTTTTGTGGTGGAGGAGAAGTTAGGAATTTATTATCTGAGCTTGGAATGAGGGTAATGAGGAGGATGGAGTGGGGGAGATGAAGGGAGATAGAACATACGAGCCTTTGGACATCAATGAGACTTATACGGGATGAGATGTCATAACACAGTATTATGACACTTGGCGTCAATAGTTTCCAACTATTTGGTGAAGCAGTATCATAGAATTCAAATCGGAATGGTTTATTGCCGAATTTGATCTCGAATACGAATGGCTGGTTTTCATCTCGGAGAAGCGGGATGGGTGATTTATTCGCTGTGATGTTGGGGTTTAGCTTTGGACCTATGGGAGACCCTTGGCTTATCCTTCTGTATTGGTTGTTAGTCCTGTCCTGTTCTGATATATATGAATGGTACATCTCGTAAAGCGGGGTCAATGAGGTGATAGATGGCGGTTTGACGAGAGACCTGCAGGGGTCGAAAGGGGGAAGAACTCACGAAAGAAATGTTGATTTCCCACAGTCTGCATCACCTAGCAGAAGAATCTGGATCTCAGGGGATTCATTGTCCGTCATCCTATCTACATGGTGAAATTTCTGGAGGAAGAAATCAAAAGCCTCACCATTCGAGATTATGAAGTAGTCCAAAAAGCAATGAAACGCGGCACGTGGTGATAAGATAAGGGCGGGGGATTTCTCTTTCTGCCAATGAAAACAATTCCACTCGAGGACTCGATGAGTCAAACCTTCCCGTCATAAGAGAATCGATGCAGTTATTTTTAATACCACAGCATGCTTGCAGAAGGATTCAATTGAGCAAGATCTCCAAGTCTCGTTTTCATGAATCTACCACCTCTCGTTGGAGGAGACCAAAACACATTGCAAAAACCACTGGTGCGCGACAGCGATACATCGAGGCCAAGATGGAGGAGCAGACTGACTATAGCGCTTGGAGTAACGAGAGATTGATTGAGAGGGTTACACAATTAGAGAAGGAGCTTAAGAGCAAGAATCAGAGGTGGAGCTCTCCCTCTGAAATATTGAACTTGACTGACATCAAACTAGTTTACTCCCACCTGGAAAGGGAAATGCGCCAGAGAAGAAATCATGGAAGAAACCACGCACAGAGCGAGTTTTCGATCCTGCGAAATATAATACGCGACTCATTGCGCTGAAGCTAGCATATTTGGGCAAGAAGTACCATGGTTTCGAGCATCATCCAGGACAAGGCAAATCCATGCCCACGATCGAGGAGGAGTTATGGAAGGCCTTGAACAAAGCGCGTCTTATTTTCCCACAAGCAACACATCCGCTGGACCCTGGGGTTGTCAATTGGGAAGGAACCGAGTATAGCAAGTGTGGGAGAACGGATAAGGGTGTCAGCGCATTTGGACAAGTCATTGGGATCAGAGTCAGGAGCAATCGCCCTTTGGTGAAGAGAAAGAAGAACGTGGAAAGAGAAATCAATGTGGAAGATGGGGTGGATAATATGTTCAATATGCATCCTAGAGAGGACGGAGTCGAACTTGGGAGTCCAGCACTGCGACCGTCACGTCTGCCACCTTCAGATCAGCAGCCATGGCATCATATCGACATCAACGACCCAGAACTTCAGGAGTCTCTAAATTTCGACCCAATCGCAGACGAAATCCCTTATTGCGCTCTTTTAAACCATCTTCTCCCTCCCGAAATTAGAATTCTAGCATGGTGTCCTGCTCCACCAATCGATTTCTCAGCACGTTTTTCATGTCGCGAGAGGAGATACAAATATTTCTTCACCAATCCAGCATTTGCCCCAGTACCACATAACCTAGAAGGCCCGGGTCCAGACGGGAAGGTAAAAACCACTAAAATGAAGGATGGATATCTAGACATAGAAGCAATGCGCGAAGCAGCAAAAATGTTTGAAGGCACCCATGATTTCAGGAATTTCTGTAAAGTCGATCCAGGGAAGCAAATTACAAATTTCGAAAGAATGATATTTCACACGGAAATCAAGGATGAAAATGATACGAATTTAAAACTTATTTACACAGCTTCGGAAGATTTTAGCCCCGGTCAAGAGGAAAAGACGGGAATGACCCCTAGTGTGTGGTCTTTCAATCTTCATGGATCGGCATTTTTGTGGCACCAAGTTCGTTGCATGGTTGCTGTTTTGTTCTTGGTAGGCCAGGGATTGGAAAAGCCATCGATTGTGGCAGAATTATTGGATACAAAGAAGAATCCCCGAAGACCTACTTATGAGATGGCCACTGATACTCCTCTGGTTCTATGGGAATGCATTTTCCCTCGCGAGGACGATCCAGAAAGAAAAGATGCTATGCAATGGATTTATGTTGGCGATGGCCTCGGAAAGGGGGATGATAAGTATGCTCCAGGAGGACTTGTGGAAGACTTATGGGGTGTGTGGAGGGAGGCCAAGATTGATGAGATGTTGGCTGGTACTCTGCTGGAGATGGTGCAGAGTAAAGGTGATCCGGTGAAAGAACTTACATTGAAGAAAAAGAGAGGCAATACCAGCCAGAAGGTGTTTGATGGTGGGGAGACACCGAGGCCACAGGGAATATATACACCTGTGATGAAGAAGCCTCTGATGGAGCTTGTGCATATTCAAAATGAGAACTATGCCATAAGGAAGGGGTTCAAGGATTCGGCTGATATGAAGGCCCAAGGATATCGTAGGACTAATAAGGTTCTTGCTCTGGAAAACCAAGAAACCACAGCGGATGAAGTTGAAAAAGCAATTTAGTTGACTGAACTCGAGGAATGAAGAAATACCCATCTCAATTCAAGTCCAATTCACAAACGTTTGAAAATGTCCAAATTCATATATTCATTATTAGCCCCCAGCCATCCTACCCCTTCCCCACCTCCCCCTTCTCCCACAAACACCCCCTCACCCCCCTCCAAACCGTCTCCACCATCTTCCGTCGCGGCAACAACCTCGGAAACACAACCACCACCTCCTTCTCCCCCTCCACCACCACAACCAAATAATACCTAACCTCGAACCCCCGAAACGCCTCGTTCACCAAGAAATCCTGCACCTTCTCCGTAGGAATGAACCGCGTTGTCGCAGACGACAAATACGACGCCGATGACGTCGACGTCTGGATCCCCAGCCCCCGTAATACGAGGAGTGACTCGGTAGTATGCGGACGCTGCAGGATGATATGGATGAGTAGGAAGGAGGTGGGTAGGAGGAGGGTGTAGGGCGTTATGGAGGCGAGACGCGTGCAGAGGGTGCCGAGGCGGGAGTGCGTGATGAGGGTGAGGATGTAGAAGATTGTTGCTGTTGAGAAGGTCTCGGGGGGACCAATTGGGTGGGTAGCGGGCGCGAATGCGCTGAGGAGGTACTTTGTGTATAGCAGGAGGAGGACTGTCAGTCCAATTATTATTCGGAGGATTGAGGTGGTGAGTTGGAGGAGCCGGAGTGGGAGTGTGGGGGAGGGACTGGTGGAGACGGTGTATTCGACGGTTGTTGGGGATGGTCGCCGGGTGCGGAGGTGTGGGTGGGTTGTTAGCATTGCATTTGGATGTTGGGTTGTGATGTTTTTGGTGGTGGTGGAGGTGTTGTTCTGCGGGCGAGGCTGAATTGGTATAGAATGAGAAGGCTGAGGTTGAATTCAGTACAGTACACATTTGGTGTCATTCTACTTGGCACGCGAGGCACGCGAGGCACGCTTGGGAGGACCAGGGATGCAGCATGCGACGTACCCCCGCTCGAGCCCCGGCATTAGGGTCTCCACAGGTAACCTGATTGCCGGGACGTACCCCCTCTCTTACAATACCGTCGCATACAGTCCCCCGCTGAAATCACAGAAGTTGGTTTCTGTTAGTGGGACACGATTTTCCCTCTACTGGAACATTATTCGCTGGGGTGGTTTCGCACCAAGTGTCGTATTGTGCGGGTACTGCCGCAATCTGATCCATTAATCAAAGGCGCAATCACGATGAAAATAGTTGAGAACTGCATGATGAAGAAATGTGTTTTGACTGTGTGACTGTGACTAGATGGGACACGATGTGAGAGAACGTTGATGGATTTGATTGATTGAGCAAGTAAGACTTACTTTACCCATTGTTATAGCTCAGATGCCTATGATGAACTAGTTAAACTTTAACCATAGAAATAACTTCCTTTATTAGCTAATTACTATAGGCGTAGCGACTACCAATGATATTAAAGGCCTAAAGCCGGAAGTATATAGTCAGATACCTAGCTAACAATCTATATATACTACACAAAAAGTTATTATACTAAACTCTTAGCACAAATGAAATAATTGTCTTAGTACACATAGGCCCGTAACGAGTTGACGGTAATAATAATTCTTGCTCTTTATATATCTAATCTACTTGTATAAGACCTCCAGAATAATATCATTCTAAGACAGGTGTATAAAGAGTGACGACCGCTTTCCTTGAAAGCTTTCAGTCTTCTCTGGTATCACGTCCCAGGAGCTAGAGAACGGAGTACGGGCGCAAATGCTAGCGGAAGCGACCAGCACACCGATGTTGGAGCGGCATATAAGAATGCTGATGGGGTACGAGTTAGGAAGACAGCATATATAAGTTGATGCTGAGGCTGGGTATAATTAGAAAGCAATATTTACTTGGTTTCATCAGGGGCTAAGCGAGCTGTGTGGGGGGTCTTGAGGAGCACAGAATAGTAATTATGATACAAACCCAAAAGCTAAAGGCAATAAGAAAACTCGAAATTTGAAATTCTCCGTAGGACGGATAGGTTTCCTATCTGGTTGTACAATAGTCAATTCCTGCTAATGATTCTAAGGAGTCCCGTAGTCCCAGTTTTGCCAGTACTGTGATCAATTCTGGGCTATCGTTTGTGCTATCGGTAGATTACCCACCGATCGATTACTTCGCTTGTGCTATTTATTTGCTACAACTTTCATATGCCGCTGCTCATTCTATTTCCTCTTTCTAGACGGGCCTGGCGGTTCATCCGCAAAGAGGCTACCCCAACCTCCTGGGCCCCCTTCTCTAGCTTCTTGCGATTCTCTCCACCTTTCGAGTTCGCCCGAGTTATTCAGGGCCAGGTCCGCATCCTCACACACCCTTTTCGCATCGCGACAGATCTTCAATAGTTCTCGTGATGTAATCCGGTCGCGCTTCTTATCGGCTAGCATTCGCACGACCGTAGATCGTAGGGTAACGCTGTAGGGAGAATCGGGGAGCGCTTCGAAAAGTGTGGCAGTTGTTGTTATGTTGCGGTATCGCCGCGTCAATGGTTGTTGGTTTTTTGAGCTGGGGCGCAGGGGGACTTTGTAGCGGGGTATCATGTCTTTCTGTAGAAGGAATGCGTTAGAGTTTTTATTGCCATCCTTGAAGAACGGGCTTGCTTTAAGGAGATAGGAGGGAATACTTACATATCCAATAATCAGTGGAACATAAAGTTCTCCAGTTCTCCTAGGGGATTGATTTTCATTAGTCTGCCTGTACTTATCCATACCTAGAACCGTAACTACAAACGATGAGGGAATCCCCTCGTACTTTTACCAGGACTGACGCCAGAGCCGTCTATGACCAGTAAAAATTTACCAAAGAAGCTCAAACCGGAGAAACTGGATGCTTTGGCTGGCCAGAAACTGTCCTGGTATCAATCCTGGAGAAAGCACGGAGTAAAAATCGAAAAGTTTCTAACCATAGATCTTCTCCGCTGTCATCAAATGCAACAAACTCATCTTCGTCATTGCCATTATTATCAACTTCAGCAAATCTCGACAGCCCAAAATCTGCGAAGTATGAATTTGCGCAGAAGCGTTAGTTTTGTCTACAGGCTGTTCTTTGCCAATTGAAAGGGGGCTCGGTTACGAACCTTGAGCACGGGGGTATATTGATGGTCGTAGTCTTTACTGCCAACTAGTACTATCCAATCACTTTATTAGACTTGTAAATTTTGTTAGATAGAAATGCTAACTTACTATTTTCTCCACCGACTAAAGACAATTTCGATGTCAGCATTATAGAAAGCTAACAAGGTGAATAGTTAAAGCTACTCCATGCCACGCAGATCATATGTAAGAAAAGTCTATATAGCCCAGGTTCAAACCTCTGATTCGCTGCTCTTGCCAAAACTTGGGCCGAAGCGGTGATATAGACAGTTTGGCAAGGGATTTCGAGCTGTGCACCCTCCGTAGATTGGATATGGGATGTCTCATGAAGAAATAACGTCGCGATCCTCATGAAACCCATCGAAATAAGGTATGATGACTTGGAGAATAGGTACATACTATCATTATGAACTATTTTTGGAGACCAAGAAGGGCCGGCCAACTTTTCATTCCCATGTTCCATTGTCGCCAGACCACCTGCTAAACATTCTAGCATACCCCTGCAGGAATATATTAGTAAAAGTCTGCAATAAAACCAGGCAAACAAGAAACTCACCAGTGATATATCTCATCCAGCGGTTCATTCCTCCTACACTATGTCAGACAAATCTACCAAAAGAAAGAAAGTGCAATTTTCTCTGAATTCAATGGGAATGATAAAAATAAAGAGGGTGGACAACTCGGGTCGCCAGCCCTCGTCAACTTTTGATATACCTCCACATGGAGCGGGCAACCCAATTATATAGGAAGCCAGTATTGTGGAGTTATGCGCTTCCTTTTGTACTTCGTTTGCAGAAGGGTGGCGACGCAAGCTGTCAAGTCCTTGGACGTACGCGTAAATTATGTTCATAATCTTCTCAAAAGTCCCCCCCTCACAAAACTCCATAAAATACCTTCGTTTCGGTGCATCGATAGCGCCAACCATCGAAAGAAAACCCCTTACTACTGGCGGCTGGTTTAAACCTTTCAGAAAACTTTTCTCCTGCTCGTTGGTCCTATATAATGCCACAATATGCTTACTCCCAGTTTCAGTTAATTTAAATTGGTATTCCGACTCCTTCGTAGGTTCCAGAGGGTCCTGCTCTTTTACAGCTACTTTGTTTACTCCTTTTGGGAGGCTATATAGTTCGTTCTGATCTTCTTCTCCGGCTATAGAATTTCAAAGGGGTTTAGAGTTAGTGTGCCTCTCCTTCCAGCAGATTTTACCTTAAAAGCCTAAGTACTAACCTTTTAAGGGCTCCCTCTGCCACAACCCTACAACCCCAAATCCCCCTCTCCCAAGATACTTGACCCCCTTCCAAACATTTTTCCCGCCTAACCTCGGCTTCCAACCAGGCTCGCCACTCTTCAGCCAATTCTTAACCATCTTCGCATCCCCCTTTCCATAAGTGCTGATAAAGGCCTCCTCATTCGCAATTAACCCATCTTTACCATTCCCTGCCCTCCCCGGTCCTTTATCCTTCTTTACAAAGGGATCTTCTCTTCCCTTCCTTTCCCTGTCCTTTAGTGAAATTTCTATCTTCTCGTCCTTTGTGGAACCGGGGAGTGTGTAGAGACCTAGCCTCCGATCTACGATTGCGGAACGGAGTTCTCTCGGGCGGACGCGGGCTTTTTGCCCTTCGGCTATAAAACGGACATCATTTTTATAAAATTGGCGACGTGAGGAGGTGGTCGACGGTTGTGGGTAGGGTGGTATGGGCCATGCATTGGACTTGAAGTGTTTCTGAGGCGGCTGGAGACTCGGATCTCCATGTTGTCTCTTGGAACCGGCCATCTGATGAGACTTCTAGTGTTTGGGCTGATACAATAATGTTGAAAACTGACAATTTCGTTTGGTTTTCGTGTGATGGAAGAAGCATTGTGGCTTTGTACAACAAGGCTGCAATTGATGTTTTCGGTTAGCTTGGGACAAAAGACAAAGAGAACTAATCCAATGTGCATTAAAGAAAGAATGCAATTAAGCGAGCAAAAGAAAAAGGGGTTTCCTCACCTACCAGTACAAGGCGACTTCGTGACACTCAGTATTTGAGCATAATTAGGGGGCCCAGCTCATGCCTTTGCGAAGTGTCGAAGAGCCGTTTAACGCCCAGGTAAGCCCTCTCCAGCGATAAGTTTCGCAAATTGACACACTTGTCCGTGTAATATTGCCTGCAGAGTTCTGGCTCAGTTCTCGTTGTTGAGCCAAGCATCAATCAAGATAAGAGCCTTTGAAAAGTCACGCAATAGAGGGTCTGCTTTGAAGAGTTGAGTCTAGAAAAATAGCAGCAACGGAGTCATACCAAAACGCGACGCCGTGCTCCAAAAACGAAAGAAATCGGGTGTTCTCAACCATATTCCAGTGGATTTACATCGTATGACATCTTAAGCAGGTTTGCTGTGTGAGCTGAGAGATCCTTTACAAATTTCTTCGATTGCAGGTTGCACAACGCACATCAGGATGGCCGTCAAACTCTCTGGACTCGACATTCGAACTTCTTCGAGACACGCCACTGAATTGTCAAATCATCCACATTTCTTTCGATTACGACTGCAATTGAAAGTATGCCCAGCGCTGATCACAGTTCCAGTCACATGTAATCTACATCTTCATCTTCTCAAACACCATGACAATTTCAATCAACACTCGTAACTTCGCTTCAACTTCCCGCTCTCTACTCTCGGCAGACTGCAAGGCATCGGTGACAGCTATACCATGAACTCTACTCGTCTCCACAATAATGGCGTCTATTTCAAATTCTTCCTTCCTGTGCTTCATCAACTTTCTCGTTAAATCTTTCAGCCTCCTTGGTGGGATCTATTGCGCCGTCTATGACTTCGAGATAGACGTTGGCGTGAGAGGAAATGGGGAAAACCGCACAGTCAGGGGGAGTGGTTTCTTCAGCGTTCATCACAACAATCTTTACGGGTGTCTTTCCACTGAGTGCTTCAATTGCAGAGAGTTGTGCTGCCACGGTTTCAAATGACTCTTGATCAGAAGTTGCAATATAACTCACGCCTTTATCCTTGATGGCATAATCAGCTAAGAGGGAACGGATGCCTCTCGAGCAGTCAAGTACAAGTGTATAGGCCAACTCGGATTCCGCATCATCAAAAGACGGGTCGTATTCAGGACAATCAGCGATCGTGATTGATTGGGTGCTGTCGCCTGGTCTACGTGGAAGACGCTGCCAAAGCTCCTCGCCCAAGAATGGCATAAATGGAGAAATCTGTTTTAATCCAGATTCAAGTGTAGTGTAGAGTGTGTCCTTGACCGAACGAGTTTCTTCGGGCGTGCCATCCAGGATCGACTTCGAGTTCTCAATAAAGATATGAGATAGCTCGTCATACAAATAACGATGAATGATTTGAGTTGACCGTGAAAATTCGCGATCTTCGAGAGCCTGATTGATATGTTTTGCGGCAGTGTTCATCTTTGTCAATATCCATCTCTCTGGCAGACTCTCTCTTCCGGCCAAGGCGCCGCTCCTGCGCGGAACAAAATCCTTCCCAAGCTTTCCAAGAACGAACTTCGCGACCTGATATATTTTGTTGCAGAATTTTCGATAGCCTTGCATTGTCTTTATATCAAAGTTGATATCGCTGCCAGATGACTGAGTGTAGTTGATGAGCGAAAACCGTAAAGCATCAGCCCCGATCTCAGGGATACCTTGTGGAAATGATTTTCTTTGATATCTTTCGGCATTTTTGATCTCGGTCTATGTTAGGTTACCATGTAGCAATTTTTCATGTAAATCGGAGAGGCTGATGCCATCTATTATACCCGTAGGGTCAATAACGTTTCCAAGTGATTTTGACATTTTCCGACCATCACTATCTCGTATCAACCCGTGACAAAAGACATCCGTAAATGATGCTTTGCCGGTCAACTTCAGCGAGAACATTATCATGCGGCTGACCCAGAATGGTAGGATATCCCAACCTGTCTCTAGAGTTGTATTTGGAAAGTAGTTTTCGAGATCAGACGTTTTGTCTGGCCATCCAAGAGTACTAAATGGCCAGAGTGCAGAGCTGAACCAAGTATCAAGCACATCCTCGTCTTGTTTTATGGTCACTTTCTTGCCAGGGAATTTTCGTTCTGCGGTTTCTTGAGCCTCCTGCTGAGTTTTGCCACATACCCAATAATCATCATTATCATCATTCTCCCCGCTTTCGCCCTCAATACTGATGTGATAAGCCGGTATCTGATGACCCCACCAAAGTTGTCTCGACAAGCACCAGTCTTGATGGTTTCTCATCCACTGGAGATACTGTCGCTTTTGTAGGTCTGGTCGAATGACAAGCTCGCCACTTTCAACCACTGCTATCGCAGGCTTCGCTAATGGTTCCATTCTCATCCACCATTGGGGCTTTAAAAGCGGCTCAATAAAATCACCAGATCGGCTGCATATAGGAACAACCATCTTGTTCGGCTCTTGTTTCGTATACAAATGGAGCCTTTTAAGTTCCTCGATGACTCGGTATCTCGCGTTGAACCTCTTCTCTCCTGCATAGGATCCGGCGTTGGCATTGAGAGTACCGTCCTCGTTCAAAATATTGATGAACTCGAGGTCGTGTTTTTTGCCTAGCTTAGAATCGTTATGATCATGAGCAGGAGTTAGCTTAACCGCACCGGTACCGAAACTTCTGTCAACAGAATCGTCGGCAACAATCTTCAGCTGTCTATCCGAGACGATGGGGTGCTGTGCTATCTTGCCAATAAAATCCTTATATCGATCGTCATTAGGATACGCCGCTATTCCAGTATCGCCCAGCATAGTCTCTGGTCGTGTTGTTGCAACTTCGATATGCTCCTCCGAACCCTGGATTGGATATTTAAAGAACGTCAGTGTTCCAAACTCAATTTTCTTGTCATAGCCTGGCACATCGAGCTTCGTCGGCCCTTCAAGCACTTTCTGGTCAACCTCAATTGTTGATAAAGCCGTAGAGAGGCGACACGACCAGTGCACAAGCCTGTTAGCTCGGTAGATAAGCCCTTCCGAGTGCAGCTGCACAAATGTCTGCGTGACCGCTTTGGACAACTGCGGGCTCATTGTAAACCCTTCTCGATCCCAATCAACAGAAACTCCGAGTCTGTGTGTGATCTTATTGATCGCTTTATGGTGATCCTCTTTCCAATTCTGGCACAACTGAACGAACTCCGCCCGACTGTAATCCTGCCTTTTAGACCTTCCATCTCTCGGATGTTTAGCAAGCTGCGTCTCAACCACTGCTTGAGTGGCAATTCCCGCATGATCACAGCCAGGGATATAGAGTGTTGAGAATTGTCGCATACGGTGCCATCGGATTAAAGTGTCTTCCAAGGAGAGTGCCAGAGCATGTCCAACGTGCAGTTTGCCTGTCACCTGTGACTGGCATTAGAATAAAGCTGTGCAACCATGGAAAATTGCACCTACATTTGGCGGTGGGATAGCAATGACATATTTCCCTTTCGGTTTGAGAGTGCCGTTCGTCTCTGTTTGTGGTTTGAATAGTCCTCGATTCTCCCAGAAGCTGTACCAGGCAGATTCGACGACCCCTGGTATGTAAGATTTGTGGAAGTAATCTTCCAATGGTTTTAGAATCTTTTATTGTCCCATTGGCATTTCTTCAGACCAATCTTTCAGATCCAATGCAGCAACATCTTGCTTTTTCGAATTCTTTTCTGTTGACGCCCCGCTCTGTGTCTGCAGCGTTTGTCGTTGCTTCTGTTTATTCTTGACGAACTTCTCAAGCTTCAGTCGCCGCTTCTCGCTGATGGGTTTCACGGAGATGTGAGGCTGCTGGGATGACATTCTCAATGAGCACAAACACAGGAACTCCTATGATAACCGAAGGGATGATAGAAGGCGACTCCGAGGTATGTGAAAATATTGCGTGGCACAAATACGCGTCAACAAATTATGGAAATTTCTACTGGTTTGAATGGCGTAAATTGTTCATCATAGTTGAGAGAAATGCACGGTAAGGCTCTTTGTTTGTTTTGCTTCAGATCAAGCGCAACTATGGATCACGTGAAAATTCGTTGGTCAGGTGAAAATTGTCATACTATTCATCGAGAGTTCTCAAGAAAAGATGTCTTGAAATGTGAAATTGTATTTGGCTGAAGCATATGTATGTATCACTGCGCGAGGCACAATTTATCTCGAAGCGACTAGTAGCCGACGAGATCTCATTCACCACACTGGGCTCGAGACTAGGGCAACCTCCACTTTTATTGCAAAGTGACTCGCATACTATTAGCATATTGAAAAACTAAAAGAATCACGATATTATAATACTACTTCCCTAGAATACTACGGCATCCCGAATCTACTGCTAAACCAGATGACTTAATCGTAAATCGCAAAAGTCATATATACTACTACCGTGCTAGAGTGCCTATACCCCCACACCCCACGTACTTAATAAAAGGGCCTGATTATATAAACTCGCCACCTACTGTCGCACCCTTACTATCGTATGCTTACTATCGTATCCTTACTAACCGTCGTATCCTTACTATTATACCCTTACTACCCTCGCTGTCGCCTACCCTCGCTGTCGGATAGGGTTGTGCCCTAGTATTTTGTATGAGAGAGAGAGAGAGAGAGAGCGACAGAAGCGGGGAAATATTTTAGTTGTATGTCGCTTATTCCTAGCCCCGGATACTACCTTCCTAAAACGGCTAGGCTAGCACGTGTTACGCTAACAATTGTTTACTACCTACCTTTCCTCGTTCTCTCCCTCCTACTTTCTCTTCTCTTTCTTTGCGACAACCCTTTGCGACAACCCTTTACCACTAATAAAGCTATAGACATAGTAATAATAAGAAGGGATAGGGGGTATTTGTTTGCCGGGGGGTACAAGATATAGGCGGAGGGTTATAACGAAACCTACGAAAGGGCAGGGGGGGTAGAAGGGAGGGGGGAGAGAAAAGGGGCGTTCGAGTCATATCTAAGCTTATTTACTTATATCGAGTGGTTTTACCTTTAATTTCAGCGCTAGTATAACCTAAGCTAGTTTACGATTTACGACTTGCGATTTCCTATAAAATAACCTTGAAATAGAGTATTTACGATTTACGATTTACGATTAAGTCATCTGGTTTAGTAGTAGATTCGGGATGCCGTAAATACACAAAGTAATATTTGTTGTAACTAGAACAGGATAACTTAAATTAGGTAAGAAAGAATTCTCTTTGGGAATCAAAGACCGTTTCCCTAAGAGGAACAGTATAACAAAAGACTATCTTTTGATTCTCCCTCAGGGGAGGGGAGAAGGGATGGATATAGCAGTGATTCTCGTCTCATCCAAAGGCTTTACCAACTCGGTTCTCATTTTCGATTCACGGCATTTGGGTATAACCACTACGACAGTGTAGAGTTCTAAAGTAGGCTCTTGTAAAAAAGCAAAACTACGTAACTCCAGGTAAAATGGTTACTCTCTTCTTACTTCGTAGATCAACGAGGATGCAATTAACGTGACAAGATATATCTGGAAAGTAATAACATTTATTACTCTAGTGCCAAGTATAAATAATATGTTGTTGCGATATATCCACCATTTATCACGTGGATATCTAAAAGTTTAGCCTGTACGAGTACTTAAACCTAGTACTCGACCTTTGATTCAACATCAACTAATTAACTATTATACTAACTTTTAAATGTACTTGTTATTACTGTTTTGTACCATTATTTACGAGTATCTCTCGTACCAACATATGTAGTACTTGGGGTAAATCTCAGAATATTTTTCAAGTAGCGTGTTAGAGGTACACGTAAGTCGAAGAAAGTGGAAAAGCCCAAGCTTCCCGATCGGAGTCTAGACACAGCTTTAATACCCCTGGAGGCTGGAAGAAAGTACTTCAACCGTGGTTGCCGTTCAAAAGCCTTCACAGAAAAATACTTTGTGTCATATCGAGTACAGCAAGTAGTGCATAAAGAGGATGGTCACGTTGGCTCGTACTTTACTTCTAATTCATATTTACTTGGTATATCGTACTTCGGCAAAAGCCAACGAGGTCTAAATTTGGCTGATTTAGACTTTTCGAATATTACCTACTATAAGCCGTTGTATTCGCCCTCTTTACCTACGGCAAATAGAATACTTTAGAGCTTTGATGGAACCTGAAGTCTTAACGAAATAGTTTGTCATCTGTCGTACACGTTCATACTTCTAGAAGTGTTTTCTGGATAGTCATGTTACGCTGTAAGAGAGGCGAGCATTGCTCTGTACACGCTATCAAAAGTCATTGTGTTAAAACTCTGGCACAAGTAACTCAATTGTCCTATTTCACCTAGAACAATAAGATTTGAAAAGTAGTAATTGTTCTAAACTATTCGTATAATTAATTTAGTTGTGTGAGGTCTTTAGGATAATATTTCATAACTCAGGTGTGTACAGAGTATAATGCCCGCCTCTCTTACCGGGAATTACGGTTCACGAGGACCTCCCGGCTCTTCTTAGTTGATACAAAATACCCTGCACCCCCTGTCCCAAGTCCAGACGATCGCGCGTCAACCTGGTATTGTGTACAAAAGATGGCGCTAACAATAGGATGGACACGAGGCTAATTGTGACTTTCAGTGGAACGGGTACTGTACAGACGCCGGTGCAGCAGGAGGAGGAGGCATTTAGTTCGTTCTGTTGGTTACTGCTAGCTCGGTACAACAGTTGCTACCGTGGGGAAATCGAGGGGTATGTTTCGAGAGTAGACATGTTAAGGAGTTGTTTTGACTCGCCAACCCGCTCCGATATGTCTGCTCTCTAATCAACGACTCTTTGACAACCGAACACACGTCATTCGAGAAGCGCAGTTCAATCAGTGATGGCTCAGTGGTCGTGGTTCGAGTCTATATCAAGAAAGGTGATATTGAAACTCGCGTAATATCTCTCATATGGTTTGATTAGTTCTGGATTAAAGGAGTAGGATGCGTGATACGAAAGCTGTAGCGAACCAAACATAGGCTGAATTGAGATGCTCTGCAATTCTTCAACAAAACTCCTGGCGTTCTTTTATTAGCTTAAAACATTGTGCGTTTTGTCAGATGTTGTGGCGCCAATAGTTGTGTTGTGTTATTTGTATCTACTGCGCTATTCACCGTCCCGAAGGACGTCCAGAATTCGACTGAATGTACACATAACCACTGTCTACTTCCAAGTCAGATCCCCTGACTGTGCTCAGAAAGAATCCAATACTTACAATGGTGTGCAAACCATAATTTCGGATGATAGAGTCATCCGCTCAGCCACTTGGAGAGATGACGCCCCTTCCAGGCACGGTTCCTTCCTCTTTAAAGTCACGAATATCACTTTTTGAAATCCTAATTTCTCAGACCTTGCAACAGGTTACCAAATAATTTGTATCATCCATCTCGGCGACATGGACACAAAAACCATCAGAGTCAATACGTATGTTGACATTGCAACGACTCTCGCTCGACAGCCACGTCCCCACAGAGAGCCTCGAACCAACTCCAAAGATGTAATGGCAAGAGGCAATTTTACTGATATTTGGAGTATAAGATCAGATTGGGAGAAACGTATCAAACGATGGCAGGAAGAAGTCCACGGCAGACGAACCTCGATTAAATCCATAAATCTCAGAGATATGAGAATCGGCACCTTGTTCCTTCAGCACCCAATCCCTGGCGTGGCGGTTTGGAATATTTTTCAGGCATGCTATGAAATCGACCGTATTGTATGCTCACGTCCAAAACTTCGGCAAGTCATCACAGGATGGGAGGAGTTGCCTATGTTGCAATATTTGGACAACCCTGAAATTAAAGAATGCTGGAAAGAATCTCTTGGGGATATGCGGGCAGCAATCTCGGAAAACAAAAGTCATGCGGAACAACCAACCGAGAATGAATTCCTCAGATTCGAGAAGGATGGGGACAGGAAAAAGAACAGAAAAAGACCTGGGGTAGAGGAACATATTTCGGCGATAAGCTACGGCGTTGATAATTTGGAGGATCTATGGTATGAACTCAGTAAAAGCTTTCAGGTTTCACCAGACATGAAAGACGCCGTGCATACCAAGGAAATATTAGATGCAATTGTGACATCAATTGTACGAAAGTTCGCAATGATTAGTACCGCATTGAAAGATGAAAGCAGCAATGCTGTGACCACGGGCGATTCGATACAGAGTATATCCAAATTGTCTACTTCAATGTCCTTTTATTGAAATTGCCTTTTAGCTCAACCAGAACCAACCTCAGCACCCAGGTTGTTTGTTAATCAAAGAAGACCCCTCAAATAGTTTTCAAAAGATGATGCAGAAGCTGATATCTGAATGGGAGAAAATAGGTAAGTTTCTCAATTACTAGTGCTCTAAACATGGAGATTTTGAGACTAAATATGCAACATAGTTGTTGGAGCGGTGTTTGAGGAGAATAGAGAAGCGACAATGACGGCTATTGTACTGGTGGGTATTTTGGTTTGGGGATTGTTTTTTGCCCAAATATATTTGGAATAGTTTGCACAGTAGCGGTTAATAAATTCGGTCAACCACTAAACTACCCTCTAATTAAGCAAAAACGATAGAATTCCCCCTATGTATCCCCTCACTTGTTTATTATCAAAATTACTAGTGAAGTGATGCTCATATTATCAGTAGTAGCTTTGATGTAAAAGGTGCCATTTCTGTCACGAGAGAGGTAGCATTTCTATTGTAAAAGGGTTGAATCCTCTAAGTTTCGAAATATCATTTCTTTATAAGATACCATAAGTAAAGCATCTAAACGTAAAGGAAAAAATAAGGAATGTCTCGCAAGGCGGAGATGGATAGGGGTCTGAGTGCACGCGAGGAGTATATAAGGAGGTTCTGCCTCCCACCTTAACTCCTTCTACCTTTCGCACTTTTTGGACTCTCTTTTTCTTTTTCTCCACCCACCGTCCGTGATACAAGTCATGCGGTTCTTTATTTAGTTAGAACTGCCTGTTCAGTTAGCTGGTTTTTCCTATACAGTCCGTCCTGGTCTCCCATATAGCAAGGTCTGAGGACAGTCACAGGCTCTGGAGGTTTTCTTTTGAGCATGTTCGCCAGTCATTCAGCATAGACTCTGCTTCATAAACACTGTATACCCCTAAATGAGCTACTATATAGAGCCTGGTACCTGCCAAACATAAAAGATGTTTGAAAAAGCTCGTACCTAACAAGTGAAAACTTAAGTACAGAGATTAGACAGGTCTTATTGATTTTAGTAGCAGTGTAGATTAGTACTCCTTGTCCTTACGCTTAGGGTTCTATCTAGGTATTAGATAAGAGGCCCATAATACCTACTCTTAGTTAAGGAGTTAAGCTAGCCTTTTAACTATATTTAAAGCTAGTGGATAGAAACCATTTAATAGAATTACCCCCGTTTTACGGCAAAAAGACCACCTTTTTCGATAGCTATAGCTGTACCACTAGTTTTAATTCACTTAAATTTATGTAGAGAATACACGCAAAAGAATAAGGGGCATAGTAGTGGTAGTTCTGTTGCAAATAAAATAGTTAAGACGTAGTTAGTTCGATATCATTAATAGACTTGTAGCATCCAAATTTAATCATGTTTTGGGTTTCTAAAGTTCTCAGGTGTGTCTCTCTGACGAGTCTCACGATCCACGGAGTAAAAGATATATATTTTAACATGAAAGATACTCCATCGACGTATCACATGAGATGAGCTGCGGTCAATTTCAAATATGCTTGGAACTATCCCAATTCAAGCGTAATTGAATACCAGTAAAGACAAACTAGCGAGTAGGTACCATTCTGCAAAACAAAAACAACTCAACTGCGAAAAAGGTACTACGTTCAGCCTTCGGGATAGGTTCGAAAATGGAAGGAACGAGAATCGGGAATCAACAGCGTCTTCGGAAACCGTAGTGACGTATGAACCAGAGCCTGCTATTCAAAAATCTCCTATATCAGGGGAAGCGAGGCACAGGTATGAATGTGATTGGACCGGACTATCCTCGGCCTCTCTGCCAGGCAGCGGATGGGAATCTGGACGTTCTTTCTCAATAAATAATATTCACTTATTATTTTAGACAATAACTTGAGTTTGGGGAGCGTTGAGCGTTCACTTAACTTAAGTCAAGTGATCGGGTTGATGTAACAATAGCATGGAAGAAGCAATGTTCAGATGGCTGGATTGATGGAGAAAATCCCAACATCAAGGGTTCACCTTCTATTGTGCTGGAAAGTCTCAAGAAATTAAAGATTTCCATTCTCAAGAACTGACAATGCCAAAGAATTTGGTGTGAATGGTGCAGGTGAGTTGCTATTGTTGTGAATGAATGAAAGTGGTACTTCTCGATGTGATTGGACGAATCTCGGGAGTGGAGTCGGGGTTTATTTCCACCGACCCTGGTCCTACTGTGCTCCGTAGGTAATCAGTAGCGCACATCGTCACAAGGCCAGCCGCTTGAAGTGGAACTTGGTCTTGAGAGCAGTTCGCAGTTCGCATTTCCTTCAACTCCAGCATTTAATACTTCCCACAATCGATTACTGGTTTGCCGATGCAGCCTCTTTCGCCACAACCTGTGGAAGTCATCGTGTCTTTCCATCAACCTTGAATTTACAAAATCCAAGCTGTTCCCAGCAGAAAACAAAGCCGCTAAAAATACCTACTGGTACTGCGACAAATTCCTCCTCTCTCACACCTGCGAATACCGATTTGGACCTCCACCTCTGCTGGAACCCTACAATTCCTCTCATTATTCCTCCTCGTCGACCGCAGACATACATACATTACAGCTATGGCAATGAGCCAGTCCCCCCAACTATCCCCCATCATGGGCGGATCTCATAGAAACGACCACCAACAATCCAATTCCCCACCTCAACAACAGCTCTCAAAAAGGGATAAGAAACGCACTCTCCTAGCCGAACGTCTCGCAAGTATAACGTCACAATTTTCTGTCGATCGAGATTTGCATTATCGCGAGCAACTCCAAGCGCTTCAAATCGACACGAACCTCATTTTGGAGGCTGGCGCCCATGGCAATGAACAGCTGCGCAATCAACCACAGGATATCGATGACCTTGTCAAGGAAAACATATTTAAGACAATGAGGAAATCGGTTGGCTCGCCTATCCCTCCAAGAGCCGGCAAAATATACGCAGACTTCGCGAAAGAGGTCAATGACGCTATCGAGGAGAGGGATACTTCTTTAACCATGCACAAGGTATACGATTATCTAACAACTAATAGGAATTGTATGACTGACTACAAGTAGCGAGATTTTACCATCAAGTTGAGTGAGCTCGAAGCAGCGCATGCCTACAGGCTCAAACTCGCAGAGAACGAACACAAAAGCCTATCCGAAACCCTCCGCGATCGATTGCACAACAGTATCGCAAGCAAAAAGGCTCGACTTGCTAAGGAAAAAGAGACTCTGGAAGTTGGTGAAAGCAATGCGCTTCTGTTATACCCAAGCCAGTACGGAATCGCAAATCCCTCAAGTCCTGGGTGCATTCACAATAAACGTGCGACGAGACACCGTCGCGATGCAGAAGAAATGCCAACATTTGGAGAGAGTAACAAGCGGAAGCGCAAAGCTATAGATAGTGACGAGTCACCGGCTCCTACAAGACAACGCATCGATAATGGGACCACCACACCAATCTGGTTCGCTGAAAAGCATGCCATGCACAGCGCGCAAATCGAATCCCATCTATATAGTGTTGATAAACTCTTTACCGAAAAAGAATTAAGTATGAACTACAATGTAGCGGCTTTAGCTGCGCATACTCATATGCAACGTCACCCACCCTTCGCAGAAGAAGGCGAATCTCCTCCCAATGGCAAGCCCGAATCGAACTCGGAGCATGAGAAGGGTATCGCCGCAAATGAGCAAGGAAATGAAGAGGCAGAATCCCCAGCTGGGGGTGCCATGATGGAGAGGCAATATTCGCATGCCACTCGCAGTACCAGAGGCGCAAACTTCATTACTGGCATGGGCGTCGATGCCTTCTCCGATATCAATTACCCTGGAAATCTACAAGCTCTCACAAGACAAATACCGAAGCTACCTCCCCTTCTTGCAATTCAAAAGACAATTGGAAAAGGCGAGGCTGCAAACCAACCTGCCCCACTTGGGGCTGAAGATGCGGCTGCGGAGTTGGATTTGATCCGTCGCGCACGGTCGTACAACGACAAGGAGGGTTTTGGGAAGAATCTCGATGTCGACAACGGTGGAAGAACGTTGCTAGAAAATGTTGCGATTCCCCGTTTATTTAATTATTACGTCAAGACCGATGAGAAGAATCGTTACATAAGAACAAGCAACGAACGGGATGACGAGGATCGTATGAGTGGTGAGATAACGGAAAAGCAACTGAGCCAAGCAGCCAGCGATCTTGGAGGTGTTCCCATGAGTCGTCAAGCTACTGGTGAGGGTCAGAGTAGTCGAGGTCGAAGGATCAAACATAGGGGCGAATGAGTGCGTGAACTCTGTTCTGTCCGATTTGCCATTTTCAAGTGTAATTATGGATGGGCGTTTTCTTCGTTTAGGAATTTGTGGATAGGGGTAGGTGGATTGGTGGCGTTTGGGTGATGAATGGCTTACACACAAGTCGTTTCCCTTTTTTTCTTCTCGGTTTATCTGATGATTCCAGGGCACCGAGGTCCCTCTGATATACTCGCACAACGGCATTTTCAGTTTCTCTAGGGTGGCGATCTTTGTTTGGGGGAGTTTTGTGGGTCAGGTTTGTGTTTAAGGGTGATAGTACAGAATCACAAATAGAAATTTGAGTTTGTTATAATGAGTGTGTTTCGTATTTTGACTGTGATTGTAGTTTCTCGGAGTGGATGGACTTGATTTGCGAAGGGAGGTGTAGAGGTGTGTGGTTGTAGATTAAATCTAATCTAGCTGACCTCTTGAAATACAGCAATTATAATACAGTAATTGACTAAACCACCCCCTAATTAATTAAAAATTACTAAAACACCCCTTAGATAATTATCTAATAACTAAACTACCCTATAATTTCCACCCTACTTTTTAGGGGGTGGTTTAGTCGCTAAAGCTATAAATCAAAGGTGTTTCTATTAGTTAACCTTTACTAACCTTTATATATATCTATATCTATTCTCTAGTGAATTAAAGCTTCAACGTCGTAGTACTACGAGTAGTATAGATTTTTCTATAATAACACTATCTATTCTCTTATAATAACTATATTATACTAGAGAAAGTAAAGTACTACGATAGTACTTAACCGCGGCGTACTCTTAAAAATTAGCTTACGTAATAAGATAATACTAGTAAATTAAGGCCTAGGGACAAGGACTCGAGGATATTACTTAGGAAAAAGGAATAATAACTAATAATAAGCGTAAACGTAGGAACAAGGAGTACTAGACTTAACCTCTACTAAAATCAACCCGAAGTAGACTACGAAGTAAGAAGTAACAAGTAGTAAATTAATTTACTTTGTTTATTAATTTCCTAGTATATTTGTCAGAAGACGAATAGGACACAGTGTGGAATAGGATAAGCATAAGGAGGGAAGCTAGCTAAGGGGCAAGCAGGGAGTCTTTATAGGACTACCCTGACCGAATGGAAGCCTCTAGAGTGCTAGGCATCCTCCTAGGCAACCGAGACAGGGGTCAGACAGCAGAGACAGGAGTCTCGGCTGGACCATGTCGGAACAATATTCCTATATAATAACTAATAAAAAAATATAATCTTACAACTTTAATATAATTAGTCTTCGTAGACAAAAATACCCCTTATTTACAATATCTACTACTTTAGCGACTAAACCACCCCTTAAAAAGTAGGATATAAATCATAGGCAGCGTTCGAAAGAACTACTCAGAGACTCGAGTACTACTCAAAGTCACTCGAGTTGAGTTGAGTTGAGTATGAGTAGTAGATTTGGTTGAGTTGAGTTGAGTATTAGATTCGACTACTTGAGTAGTACTCAAATACTCAAATAGTATACTAACTTATAGGGGTTTAAGCCTATTATTGCCTTGCAAATATAGTATATAGGGGGGCGGGCTAAATCCGAACGGTCGGACCGATCGCCCGACACTCGGCCCGACACTCGGCCCGACCCACTCCGTACTACTTAAGTAGTACTCAACTCAACTCATTTCGAACGCTGATCATAGGGTGGTTTAGTCAGTAGACAATTATCTAAGGGGTATTTTAGTAATTTATAATTAATTAGGGGGTAGTTTAGTCAATTATCGATTATAATATACCTTCTTCCGTACAGTGGGTGAGTGTAATTGCATAGACTGGCTGCCTATAGGCAGGAAAACTGGCATAGGCTCCTCGCCTATTAGTGTAACTGAAGTCAACCCATGTCATTGTTCTAGTCATCCGGGTGTATAAAAACAGATAACCAATATCCCAGTGTCCCTCGATTAATCAGAGTTATTTTCCTGGAATCTTTAGAGTATTTAATTAATTTGAACCACGTCCACTGATAAGGATCTCTGCGACTATTCTTTTCTACCGAATGGTTAGGTAAATTAATATGTTCAAGTATATATAAAAGTTACCAAGTCATAGTAATTGATAAGGATGCTCACAAGTGTTTCCCTTGTATTTGAAGTTATGTGTGTATTTCCATACATACGCTATGCTAGGTGAGAGAACGCAATGCTTTCAGAAGTCAATCAATATTTAGTACTGTACAACAGTGATAGTGACTTCCTGGGGTAGAAGCTAATGCGCTAGCTTATGTTTCAAAACCCCTTCACTCACTACAATTCTCTCCTCTCTCTCCCGAGCCATCCCTCTTCTTTCCTTTCTGCTGTGCTCTCTCGCCTTAATGATCTGCTCCTGCAAAATCCCAATTTGGTTATCATGACGTTGGCGGAAGATCTCGTTTCTCGAAGTATCAGGAAGTTTCGCCTTCAGGTTTTCCGAAACTTCTAGTTCTGCGATGAGATTCGCTACCTCTAGTGGACTGATATTTTCTTCCGTCTCTGGAAATGGCGTAAAAGACGTAGACCCAAACTTTCTGGCACGCTCGGAGGTATAGCCTGTATACACAATTGGCTGGCAAGCACCACTCAAGTAACGCTCCAATTCCTCATCAATGGGTCGGCTTTTGACCGTCGTTCTCTTGACCTTTTTGGAGTTAGCGAATATAACTTCACTTTCTGAGGCAGATATTTCAAAATCAGGTTCGGGGGGTTGGCGGTAACGATGATAACGTTGCATTCGATCTTCGGCTCTCAACTTCATCGCAAGTCTTCGTTCTTGGATGTCCTCATACTCTCTTCTTTGCTCCGCTGTGAGATCCGCCAACTCAAAAGAGGACTTACCGCCTATGGAAGGAAGCAGACCCGCATCTCTCTCTTTGTTGCGAATGGTATCAGAACTGGACTGAGTTTTTGAATCGTATTTGTTTTCAGGCGGAAATATCATGCTTTTTGGTGCGTGGAAAGCAATGAGTAATGATTCTCCACGGTTGGCTGCCATGATCTTCTCTTGGACTGTAAGATCTTTTATCTCGTCCTTGAGGTTCTCAATACGTCGACAAGCACGGCGGAAATCCTCACGGCGTTTTTGAATGAGTTGCTTTTCGGCTTCGCTCCATTCTCGTGAGCCAAAGATGGTGGCAGCTTTTCGCGTGTCGAAAACCACATCCCAAAATATCTGTCGTAAATTCTCAACTGCCCCTTCCGCCTTTCTGCTTTCTTCTTCTGCCTTACGGAGGTTCTCGGTCCAGACTCTCAAGTTTTTCTGTGTCTCGGTGCCGTTTTCGATCCCTCGATGCGTGCTGGCCACCACTTCGACAAGTGTTTTCTCGGTTCGGTACGCGTGACTGCACACATCGAGTAGCACAACTTTATGGTTGCGATCCCATGAATTGTGTAAATCGAGCTCAAGAATGCCTTCAACGATCTCGAGTTTCTCGTTGAGCTCGATGATTTGAATGGTGGATGACAGACCGGCTATGGTTTCGTCCCAGGGTCTTGGTGACATCTCGCCTATGGGGCTGCCCTACTAAGGGTGTCACGATCTAGATGACGGATCGAGATTCTGAGGCGGTGGATTAAGCGTGTGGTCTGATTCTGGTTCGAGTTGTGCTCAGGGAATGGGTGCTCTTTAGTGATGGGTCTTGGTCAGATTATGATACTGTTCATTCTGGCTGATGCGTCGGCTTTCTTGCTCCTACTGGCGTATCTAAATGTGGGTGAATGAAAGACGATACTTTGTCATGTGGAGAACTCGAAATAAAAAGATCCAGCTAAGGTACAGTGAATGAGTGAGGTCTTTTGACTATAACGCGCTACATGGCAGTTTGAGAAAATGCTGCCAAACGAAAGTTTCTGGTCAGCAGAAGGCAAACATTGAAGGAATTGCAGTTCTGTTTTTTCTTAGTTTCTATAATATATCCTTCTTATCCTACCCGTAGGTGACCAAGGTTGTGCATCGAAGCGACACTCCCTGCCTTCGATTCAGGCTCTGATGCTTAACTTAAAGTTATTATTCCCATACGGCATCTTCCACGAACTTGGGTATCAATGAACCAGATGATATATAAAAGAGGTGATTGTCAATTTGTACACACCGTCCCTCGAACAATATTATTCTATAATCATTGCACACTAAAAATAATTATCAATGCTTTTGGACAATCATTGCTTTTCATTTTTTCATTATTGTAGTGATGCTAAGACAGTTGAGCGACTCGTGCAAGACGTTTAGGACAATGACTTATGAAAGTATGTACAAGGTAGTGGGTAGGTCTCTTGCAAAAGATTCGATTCTCGTCACATAGGAGATTCCTGCTCATTATAATCCATAAGTAGGCTCTCAATAGGTTTTGTGGTTTCTGATCTGTATTATAATTCTTCGCTACCTGCATAAGACTAAGATTACCAACTTTCATTAAGCCAGCGAGTATGCCTTATTCACCAGTTCTGCAATGCTTCTCTTAATGATTCACTGTATTAATTAGATATCTTTGAACCTCTTCCCATAATTCCATCCAAATGCGCCATGACGAGACAACCCTGCAGACATCAGCCACTATCCAAATCTCATCATACCCAAACTTACACTGCTCCTGTTTCCAAAGATTCCCGTAAGTCTCTCCCACCAAGGAGTATACCCTAGCATGAAATCGCGCTCCGTCAATCTCTCAGGCGGTTTCTTTCTCTTTTCCTTCTTCTCATTCTCCTTCCCCTTTCCCATCTTGAAGCTCTGTTCCTTCACACTCACCACATCCACAACAGGTTCAGGACAAAACCTCCTCCTAGTCGTCTCAGGAATCTCCCAGTTCTCCGCCTTTGTCACATCATTCTTCCTCACCATCCCATGGTGAAAAAGCGCCAAAGGAAGAACCTGATCTTTCCACGAGTACCTCTCAGCAAGTTGCAAAATCTCACGATGGAACTTCAAGACTTGGGATAAAAGTCCAGGATATGTCTGAGAGTAAAGCGAATGCAAGATCTCGACATAAGTCAAGAACACCGAGCACCAGATCTTACTATCATTGCCATATCTTTTCTTCGTCACCGGTTCGGATGAGGAGCCTAGTGGGTTCAGCAGATTGAGAAGATCGATTGTGGAATACGTTTCGCAAACCAGAATCGCCAGTTCTTTCGTCTTGATTTGCGGGAATTCCTGGGTGAGTTTTTGCAGAGAGGAACATTTGTTTTCGAAAGTCCCTGGGATTGAGGCTTTTATTGCTTCTAATTGGGCGGTAAGATCTTGGACTTGGGCTTTCAGTGTTTCGGTCTCGCGAATGTGTTCTTGGGTTTGGTGAATGCGTTTGGTTCTTTCGCGGTGCAGGTCTCGTTGGAGGAAGCCGATTTCCGTTTCGTGGTCTTCTTGGATGGCTAGGATATAGCATGCTAGTTCTTCCTCGACTGATTGAGGGGGTGTATCTTGAGGTTTTTGATTGGAAGCTTCGCCCTGTGAGGGCTTTGGGAGTCTCTCTGGCGCGGATTTTCGTTGAGTTGAGGACTTCTGTTCTGGTGGGGATTCTGGTTCTAGAATAGGCTCTGGATCTGGTGTGAGATCTGGTACTAAAGTGGACTCTGATCCTATTGCGAACTCTGATTCTGGTATGGGCTCTGGTTCTGTGACGATCTCCGTTATCGCTGTCGGTTTTCGTTGTAAAGAACGAGGTAGAATGGGTGGCGGAGGGAGATCGGGCAAATAGTCCATTATGAGTATCGTATATGCCTTTTTTGAGGAAAACACCCTCTGATATTGCGAGGTTCTTAACTCCAGGCCTCACTTTTGCTTTGAGTAGTGTTGCAAGAAGATAAGCAACCTGCTACCCGTCTTTGTATTGGGTTAATAACAGAGAGACTTGAAATACGGTACAAGTGGCGGGTTATGAAATAAAATTTGTGTAATGGGTGACTCACGTAGAAGAAACTCTGAATGGAAATCGAAGTTTGAGATGTGAAGGTGACTGACAACGAAGACTTGAGAAAACTGGTATTCACCTCTCAAGCAAACTCTATGTATGACTTTCACTATCAAAAGCACTGATACCTCACCGCATGAAGATATGCACTTATTCCAGAAACTAGCCACTGTCTGTATAATTAAATATTGAGAACTATAAGAAAAGTTGAAAAGACATCGTAGAAGGAACGTCATAAAATTCTTTGCTAAAACCCACAACCGCTAAATCGCAATTAAACATCCCAACAAAAACGATAACCAATTTATGGACCAAAAACCAAGGTTCTGACTTCAATGCTGTCTCTTCCAACGGCACCTTCAGGTGTGCGAGGATCGGTGAAAGCCGTGTGTGGCACTCTTCCACCCTTGACCTCAGAATTTGGCTTCAAAGCCTCGCTATCAAAGCATTCCAAGAAAAGGCTCTCGTTATTCTCCATTCCAGAAAGATAATACCATTTCTGGCCCTCATTGTATCTGATGCCAGCGATTTCTCCGGTGCGATCAGGATATCGATGCTCAATAGGGATGAGATCTTCATCTTCCATAGTGGCAGAAGAGGCAAACCCAAGAGGGCTTGATTGAACTGGACCGTTGAGAGGACGCCAGATATTGATAATTCGGTATCTTCCCTGAAGAAGCTTTTCTGCATCTTCAGGAGCGTGTCGGAAAACTCGTTGACGGGCAGAAGTCTTCGTTTGATCAATATGAACTCGGGTGACTGGACCTCGGTTGGCTCCAGGGCTAGAGCGGCGGATGGTATGATCGAAGAATACCACTCTGTTGCTGCCAGGGACGTGGTCTAAAATCAATTTCTCAAGCTCAGGATAATAGTTTTTCTCGATAGAGGCATCATCGACAAAATCCCTCTCTGCGGACTCGGGAACGTTGGAAACAACTTTGAAAGCGTCTTTATCTAGGTTGTACTCGTCTTCATGACCACGAATGTCTGTGACGGGAACTTGGATATCGACCATTCCGTAATTTTGCTTGGGCTGGCCCTCCGGGGGATCCTCGACATAGTTGAAAGGAACAGAGCCATCTTCTGGAGGCGTGAAGTAGTTCAAGATGACAACGGTGTCACCACGAGGAATATAACTTGACCGGTCGCTAGCCTTGGGAGCTGCCTCAACTTCTGGCTGATTCGATTGGGAGAGAAGATGTGCTGGGGTAGCTGAGAACTGTTCCGTGGTTGCCATTGTGTAGACTGATATTGTGTAGACTGATATTGTGTAGACTGATATTGTGTAGACTGATATGCCGGGAGGCCGAAGTTGAGAGTGTGCGGCTTGACAAGCTGAGGTATTTGTGGAATAAAGCTAAGACTGACTTGTGATGTTTGAGTAACTTGATGAAAGTGTGTGTGCGGATTGAAGAGGAAATAGATGCAGACAAAAAGGAAGAGGAATAGTAATATATAGAATAATAGATCTATAGATTTACAATTCAAGTCGACGATGATTGGTGAGGAATTGTAATTGTAAGCAGCTCGCACGTCATTTATTCTTAGAAATACAGGATGACAGATCCCGAAGAACCGGAGTCATAGTGTGCCCGCAGGAGAAAAGAGTTAGGCCGCTTAGGATTGGTGAAGGGCGTGCATTCCATTGCGCGTGTCGGATGTGATTAGTATTATGAGTAAATAGTTGAGTTAGTGATTTTAAATATGAAGCTATCGAGGCTATTTAACCCTACATAAAACTTAAAGCACGCCTTACACCCCTGATGATGTCAAATACCTGCGTACTCGAGTAACTCTGAGTGGCAAAGGCGCTATGGTGGCTGTCTTCCCCCGCACTCGGAAATGTTTCGGCTCAAGGTGGGAGGCGAGCTCGCGAGGCTGAGCTGACTTACTTTTAAGGTTATAATTCATCCGAGATTGAGCCTACTCGAGTCACGTGTAAATACTAAAACCAGGTTCCCCGTGCCCGTTGTCAAACGCCACCCTCACACCTAATTCGGCATATTGTCAACATTACTTCATAAACATTATACGGACGTGCCCATGCCCAATTTGCTAATGCCTGCCCACATTCCCCTCCACAAGTGCTGAAGCTATCGCAATCGCAATCGCCATCGCCATGCCGACTACGCGACGCGACTACATGGATGAGGAGATGGAGATGTCCTCTTCACCAGATCCTCTCAACGACACGCCTACATTCCATGGCTTTGCCTCTGTAAGACCGAAATCGCAGACGCGCCGATCCACTAGACCACGACAATCCCTCCCAATGAGCGGAAGTTCACCAAAGAAACAAATGTTTGAATTGGATGTGGGAGACACGCTCTCTCCACAGAAGATTAGAGTGACGGTGGAAGCCAGCGAGTCCGACGCCGAGGGATTCTACACAAACTATATCGGCGAAGAAGAGCAATCGCCCTTGAATTCTCACGCGCCTCGACGGGAGCGAACTTTTACAACCACTGTTCCTGTTAAAGGTTTGTCGGACACGGAAAGCGAAGCGCAAACAACTGCAACTCCAAAAAGGAAAGGAAGACCCAGGAAATCAATTGGCACTCCAATCCTATCAAAGAAGCGCTCGCGCGCTGCCACCCCATCTCGAAGGGCAACCCCAAGGAGAAAGTCGTTTGGAGAACCAGGATGGGAAGAACCAGAAGATAAGACTTTCTCGGTTGGCAAGAGCATAGAGGTGCCCCCGCGTAAACGGAGATCAGTGTCTCGAATAAGGAAAGGATCACAACAAAAGTCTTCCTCGCCAACGGCAACCAACCGTGCAGAGCAGACGCCATCTACTTCTGCAAACAAGAGAAGTCGAGGAAGAAGGAAGGCAGTCAATGCAGAGGATACTGCAAATTTTGACGATCATAGCAATATTTTCAATCCTCAACAAGAAACGGAGGATAACTTTGTCGTACCCAACCCTGTCTCTTCCCCAACACCATCGAAAGGCCTCCCCGCAGAAATAAATTTCTTAGAAATGGGCCAGGAAGATGTTGTAATTGCAAGATTTGATCCTGGCAATGAAACGCCTCAAAAGCCCGGATGGTCAAGCCTGGATACTTCGAGGCAGGCAGAAGAAGAGTTTGTCAACCACGCTTCGGTCTCTCCGGAGCCTGTATCTTCACGACGCTCCAAAGGGAAATCTATCGAGTCGTCGATTGCCCGGTCGTCTAGGTCACATTCTGTATCATCTGGTGGGAATATCCAATATGGTGGAGACGGCGATTCGGATGGGATGGTAGATGGACTGGATGAGGATGAAGACGAAAATGCAAATGATCGCGATCAGACGAGAGAATTTGATACAATAATGGAAAGCGAGGAATTTAGCATGATATCCATGGACTCACTAAATCACAGCACTCCTTGGAACCGAACGCAAACCCACGAAACACCAAATCCCCCTAGGACCAAGAGCCTTTTATCAATACAGCAATCCGCAGGAGATAACGATGTAGATGCTCAAAATCACGGGCGAGAAACAAATGAAGCTACGCCACAGCCATCTCACAGCCCCGGCTTAGTACCATCGAGTCCTAAAGATGCTTTACACGATTTTGATGTTTCTGTTCCTCAAGACTCACGACCCCTTATGTCAAAAGTACCACCAAATCATGAGCCTGAGACCCAATACGACGACGATTCCTTATCAACTATACCGCCAGAGATACTCGAGGCTGCATCTCCGGTCAAAGATCCCCCAATATCAACATTTGTAGCGGCAACCATCAAACACGACGAAGCGTACGAGGATTCTTTTTCGGAAATTCCTCAAGCGATTCTCGACGCAGCCGCACCAAGAACTGCTAAGACACAAACGCAAACGGTATTCAAGGTGGATAATTCATCGGTCGCGGCCTCGACATCAATCAATACCCCTGGCTCAAAATCAGGTCTGTTATCATCTCTCGCTATAAAGTCTACGAGTCCTCGTCTTCTCACCCCTGAGGAAACCCCGTCGCCTCCTTGCGAGTCACCCATGACGAAGGCTTCTACGGGAGGTGAAAATCGGCCCACTGAGCCTGTTGACGAGAAGCAGAGTGTAAATGAAGCGCCTACTACGTGTGCGCAGATACGTTCATCGCCCCCTCCTCGCAGATATACCTATACGGCGCATCTTCGTCAACATCATCAGCTACATGCAGATGCCGCCGAGACGCCGTCGATCAAATTCTCATCTCCGCAGTTGCCCCCGCCTGTTCCACAAACCCATGAGCAGGTCGGGTGCCCGGAAGAGTTTCCAGAAGGCAGAAGGCCAACTCTATCTCCTATTGCCAAAGCAGGACGTATACTCCAGGACGCTCTTGTACCTTCATCGTCATCAAGATCTCGGTCACAGAGTTTAGGAAGCCCTTTCAAAAGCCCATCTGCCAATAGAAACCCTTCAAGTGTTGCAAGAGAATTCCAATTTTCATCCTTGGAAGAACGTCATGAGAAGGCTTTACCTAAACTCTGTCTGACTGATAATTTCGCAGCATTTTCGAACATGGAACCTAGATGGAGTCCATCCGGTCGAGATGACCCATTCAACAGTGCTACACGTAGCCATCAATCGCCATCAATAGAGCAAAAGGAACAATACACCGTTGAACCGTCTCGGCGACCTGTTTTGTCTAACCCACGTTTTTCAAGCCTTCGATCGCAGATTGGCTCTGTAAGAAGCGAGGATGCCATGAGTTGGCAAGCTGAAGCCGAAATTGCTATTAGCGGTAACCAAGCATCAAACCCCAAGAGTGTTCCCGAAAATCCGAGAAGTGTTACACCAGAACCAACCAGAACCTCCCCCATTAGACAAATCTCAACTCCTCCGCGAGAGAAAGCTTGGGCAGCAGAGAGAGCCGCGATAAGCAAGCAAATTGAGTCCGCCGAAGATAACCAAGTTCTTGTCATTAATTCTGATGATGATTCCAAGTCACCTGAAAGCGACGATGAGGACTTTGGGCTATTGCTGGAAACGATGGGAACCGCCTCTTCGCCCTTCTTACAAGATCACTCAGACAACCCCAAGACGGTCACAGAAAAACCAAGACGAAGCAAACTACCAAGTCCATGGAGAAAAAATAGTAAGCGGCTAGTTTACAGCGATGAACTGTCACACATGTCATCACCTGTTGTTGAAAAACGACCACATATCCCAGGAAAAATCATCGGCGATATTGACGTTAAACCGCTGACGGCAAGACGCGTTTTAACAAGTCAAGTCAATAACGACTATAGTCAAGAAGACATGGATTTATCAGGATGGCAAATACCACAGAAGTCGAACTTCAGGCCTCAAACTCTTGAAAGGGGTAACTTGACTCTATCAACTTTATTAGCATCTCCTCCGAAGAGACTCCCCGTGCTCCCAACAAGCTCTGGTGGAGTGTCATTTCAGTCTTCTCAAAACACCACCACCAGCTCTCTATCGAATCGACGCGGCAGAGAAGAAACACCAGATCCTAGCAACGATTCCATCGAGGCAAGATTGTCCTTCACTCCTATCCCACAGAAGATGGGATTCACGCCGAGACCCCGAAGTAGGGCGGAGAACTCGCAAGAACCACCCGCCACACGGTTTGAGGTCGAAAAGTCTACCGATAGCAATGGAATATCAAACCCAGGCGTCCTTCGACTCAATCCCTTCGCCCGCCAAAAGACCAACCTTCCGATTTCAAGCACCCCAGCTTCGGACATTCCGTCTTCTCCTGATTACATGAACGACACAAATTCATCAGTAACATCGACATCTGAAAAAGAGAACCCTAGAGTTGAAAACAGAAATTTGAAATGGACCGAAGCTGTCGGTTTGGTAGCAAACTCTCTTCAAGCACCCCCCTCACCCACCAAATCTATCCTGAGATCACCACTCAAGGCGCCAGCACGTGGACCAGGTTCCATACAAAACAGTCCCTCTAAAGCAGTGGCATGGGTATCCTCTCCCGCGTCTTCCACCGGGTTACATTCCCCTTTTTATCGGCCCCTTTCAGCAACAGAATGGACTAGAGAACACTGGCAGGTTCTTGAGTACATTGTATTGAAATGGAAGCCTGAGAATCGACAAGCCTCTCCTGACGTTTATGGATCAGTGAGGAGAAGACATGATACGAGAGTGGTTAGTAGATTAGTGGGGAGAAGTGTTAGTTCCCTTGGAAAGAGGATGATATTGCAACAATGGCATTTGGACGCTGTGGATGAGTTTAGGTTTAAAGTTCCGGGGTGGCAGGAGAAGGCTATTGCACTGAGAGTCTTTTCGCTCATTGTCGCAGAAGAGAATAGGAGGGCGAGGACCTTGGTGGAAGAGACTATGGCGGCACAAAGAAGTACGGAAGTCTAGTTGAGATTTCGATGTGGGGTTTAAGAAAGCTTGTACACAGATTGGATGGTTTTTAATGTGATTAGGATTATTTCTTTTGTTTGGGCGGATTGCCTACGGGAATTTGTAAAGATTGGAGCTTTGCATTGGATGATTGGAGTATTGGTGTACTATAGGTCCATTGGATTCGTGGCATTTTTGGGTTTTTGGTTCTGATAGCGGATTGTTGAGTAGGAATATTATACTTAATGAATAATGAACCGCATTCAATTATTACCTGGCGACCCAGTACAATCGCTGCGTGGACAGCAAGCATGTTGTTTATGGTGAAATGAAGTGTGGGAAGTTGCAGGAATTATTTGAGGCTTGTAAGTCCTTCTAAGGTAGGTCGTCTTATATTAATAGTATTCAAGTATACGTTTCTGAATCCGAATATCTCTTAGGGCTACTATTGCGATAGGATGTATCCCGGTTAGCCACTATTCTACGGACACCACGAAAACCCCCTCCTCTCTTATAAAGTAGCAAGAAATAATCACAAGGTGATTTACTGCTCCTTTTTCTGGCTATGTTTAAATACGGCAGCATTCAGATGAGATTCAAATAGTTATTATAACAACGAATGACCTTCTGCATGGATATAATAGCGCAAGTTTCTCTTACGCTTCATGGAATCCGCATTTCTCGTTCTGTTCTCATCCACGTACAACACATTACTCCCCAGTATCAATCTCCAGATCAATCTGCACCCCATTGCTGACCCCGTAATCCTCCAAGGTCAACATATCCTTGAACGGTCTCTCCCCTTGCCTCTTCAGTAAAATCTCATGAGGTTGTCTCCCAATCTGCGCCGCTACCTGCATCTTAAACAGCTTGATATTATCGGAAGCCAGACAGGGGATTTGGGCTCGAGTACCAAGTCGATCATTGACAAAAACCGTGATCATTCTTTCAGTGGGCGCTGCCGACTGCTGCTGCTGTGGTGCCGGCGCAGGTTTGAAGGTCGAGGGAGCGGACGCAGAATTAGACGTAGAAGCAGTCCCAAACTTCGAGGCCAAATCCAGAGAATCCTCTTTTGTAGAATCAGCAGCTTCAACGATCCTCTCCCGTTTCTCCCGACGCGCGCGATCCTTTTGTCCTTCCCTTCTATCCCCTCCCTGTCTATCGTCTCTCCCACCATCTCTCCCTTCATCCCGATCATCTCTCCTCTCTCTCCGTGGCGATCGATTTCTATAGCCTCTCTCCAATCTCCTATCTCCTCCTTCGCGATCTCTATCATCGTCCCTCCGTTTCTCCTTCCATCTGAATCCTCCCCCTCCACCACCACGTCGCTCACGACGCGGTGATCTGGATCGATTGCGTTGCGAGGGACCTGTTGGGACGTCGCGCATTGAGAGCCGATTCGGGGACCGAGGCCGAGATTGTGATTTGTCGTCTGTCATTTTGGATGCTGGTTTTGTGGTTTGTTTTGGGCTTGAATTTTGTTGACGGTATGAGGGAAGAAGAGAAGGCAAGGCTGAGGAAAATAAGTACAGGGCTGAGACGAGTGGCTAGTCTGGCGAGTGTGGTTGGTGAGGGCCGGACTTGTACCGGGTGAATTTCACCTCCCTGGTGCTCCGTACAAGTACAGTATTAGAAGTCCTTTGGATGCCCTAATAGTTTACTTGAAATAGGCAGTATGATAGGCCTAGGTTAACTTTTGAGATAACAAGAATAAATATGGTTTTGCTGAGAAAGTTGCGACAAATCCACTAGTGTAAATTGGTGAGGTTCTCCTTTCTACTGCGAGGTTAGTTTGTATGCTTTCACAATGTTGGCGCCAGCACAATAAAAATACATAAACTATCCCATTCACTACCGCAAGTACCTACCTATAAGTAGTTTATACTTGAGTCCAACCAAGTATAGACTTTCGCCAATAATTCGCGGGGATAGAATGCCATGTTTGAAATTTAATGCAAGTCTCACATTTCACAACCAAGGAATGCAACCAAACACAGATATAAAGTCAATTGGTATATGCACCCAGTCGTTTTTATTTATTGCAAAGAACCAAGTACTGCCATTTTTCGTGACTCCAAAATCAAACTCGAATATACCCTGACAATGCCACCCCGGACGCCAACAGCAAGACCTCACACGCCGGAGAGAGAAACATCAAGCATTATGTTACAGAAATCAGAGAAGGCCATGTTCAGGCCTTGCTCTTCTTCTTTTTCTTCTTCTCGGACTTCTCAACATCTTCTTCCGACTTTCGCTTCTTGCTGCTCGCCTCTGTGGAATCGTTTGCTGCAGCAGCCGCCTTCTCTGCAGCCTTTCTTTGCTTTTTGAGCTCCTTCTTGCTAGTGACAATTGGTTTGCCGTCCTCACCAAGGGTGATTTGGCCTCTTTCAAGCTTACGCTTGTACTTTTCTAAACTGAGGCCAGCTAGTTCAGCATTTAGGGCATCTGAATCAACTTGGGCAGAAGCTGGTTTGGCTTCTGCTCTCTTCTCATCCTGTGCTGCCTTGGCCTCCCTTCGCTTCTCACGATCAGCGTTTTTAGCTTCCCTTTCCTTTTTCGCCTTTCTCTTCTCAGACTTCTTGTCAGCCTCGGCAAGGTTTCGTTCGTGTCGCTCCTTCTTTCGGGCCTTCTTAGCTTCTTTGGTGTTGCCAAGAATAGATGATACCCATTGGGGAGATGCTGGAGGTGATGGAGAGTCATCAGAAACTGTGGATATGGTGTCTGAAGCGGCGCCATTGGTAGTAGGAGCATCAACCATTTCCTCATCGGAATCCTCAGACTCTCCATCAGACTCGACTTCCTCAATCAACTTTTTGACCTCCTTCTTTGGTGCTTCTTCCTTCTTGGCTTTCTTCTCTTTCTTGGATTTCTTCTCAGATACTGGTTCAGCTGCAGCTGGTGCATCGCCAGTGAGTCCATCGACGTCGGCATTGTATTTCTTGGCCTCCTTGATCTCCCATTTTCCAGGAGCAGAAACAGCAGCTCCATTTGGTCCAACAGCGACTCCTCTTGGAAGCAATGGCTTGCCTTCCAATAATCGCAATTGGCGTTCAATCTTGGCGCGAGATGTGACACCAAGTATCGATCGCTCTTCTTCGTCGACATCATCGCCCTTTCCTTCACCTTGAGCACTCCAATCGGAAAGCGCGTCGACGCGAAGACCAATCGCTGCCTTTGCAGCCAACATACGGGCAATCTTTCCCTTGTTCTTGCCGGTCGCTTGTCCGACTAAGGAAGCGTGGTAAATCAGACCGTACTTGGGTGTGTCGTGCTTTGTCTTCAAAGCTCTGAAAAGTGCCTTTTCGGCACCAAGAATTTGAATAGTACTGGCAGGGCTCTTGGCCAAGTTCATGAGGGATCCAGAGTGTGCGATAAGTCTGGCTCCAACAAGGTCACCAACCAATTCTGTGAGATTTGGTGCAATTGCTTGCATACGAGCGCTCAAGTAACTCGACAATTGCTGTCGGTACTCGGTAAAACCAACAACTTGCTCCGCCAAAAGCTTAATGTTCTCCAAATCCTCCTCGGTGATTTCTGTGCCCATACTGACTTCAGCTGCAGCCTTGATAGCGGTTTCAATCTCCTCGGGTAGAATGTCGGCGAGATCAGTGTACGAGGTGTTCGTTCGCATACCAACCTTCAAGATGATTCGGGCATATGCCAAGTTATCATTTACAATCTTGCCCATTTCTGGGAAATGCCATCCATACCACTCCTTGACTCTCATAGCATAAGTATTGAGTTCTTTATCCAGGTCGTCGAGCAGGGCAATAGCTTGCACAATCATGGTATCGACCTTATCGGGCGAGAACTTCAGCTTGTGACGTGACAGCGAATGCGACAAACCAAGCGACATGGTCGAGATGCTTTCAGGAAGGAGGCCTGGGATGAGGGAGGGAAGGTGTTCGCGAATAGCACGGTAGACATCATTGGTCGTCGAATCGGAGACGGGCGTCAGGTTGAGACCGGGAAGCTTGTTGATAGCTTGTCCTAATTTGGGATCTGCTACTGCGAGTGATGCCTTCTTCTCGTCCTTGAGGGTGTCCAAAAGCTTTGCGAGCATGGGCGACACCTTCCCCTCCACCAACGACGCAACTTCTTCCAAAGCAGTCGCGGCGGAATCAAACTTCTCAAAATGCTTCAATTTAAGACTGTGTCGCATAGCGCATCATTAGATGTTGCTCCTAAAACATTGCCATTGCAATCGCAGCTCAATTGCACTTACAGTCCATTGATGCTCTCTGCAGATTCAACCTCTGCGGTATCATTCTTTTTCAGCACTTTCTTATCGGCCTTGAAAAGCGCAAAACCCGCACTGGTCTCGGTGAGAACGAAGAGACCCATTTTGAGTTCGGCGTAGATTCTCCTGGGTGGTCGTTCGGGTCGTTCTTGCTGATGGTGGAAATTCTCGACCTTGAGCTCTAGAAAAAAGATTCGAAGTTCCGAAGGTAAAAAAGAGGCACTAGTGGAAAATTATCAGGCTAGTGAAGCTTATCTTGGCGCTGGCGGTTAGGTCACGTGGCGAGACCGCTCCGCATGCCGGGAGCACCTGAGCTCGAAGGTAACCTACCTGTGTGGCAGCAGACCAGTGAACCTTGGAATATCACGATCAGAAATACTTGACGACATCTCCAACTAGTCTGCCAATATGGAAGGTCTTTTCTACAACGTTAACAATGGGTATGAAGCTCTAACCCAATCGGAAAGTCCAGTGTCTAACTATTTGGAAGCTACATTGAAGGCATCGTCAGAGGTTATCGCAATGGCCTCTTGACTGGGCAAAACTACGCCAATCTTACGCAGTGCGAAACGATCGATGGTACGTCTATTGCGGCTCTTTTGGGGCTGCATTTAATGGTTTTGCAGATTTAAAGCTTCAACTCGGCCCAGCATACGGCGATTTCCTTTCATCACTCCCTCCAAATCCCTCCACCTCCACCCTCGCCGCAAAAACAACCGACAAATTGATCTCAGAATTTCGATATGTGAGAGCAAACGCTGTTGGATCACTGGCAAAGTTTATGGACTACCTGACCTACGGATACATGATCGACAACGTAGCTCTTTTGATTACCGGCACTCTACACGAACGAGACACAAGAGAGTTGTTGGAGAGGTGTCATCCACTCGGATGGTTCGAAACGATGCCAGTGCTATGTGTAGCCACAAATATCGAGGAACTATACAACAGCGTTCTGATTGAAACCCCACTTGCACCATATTTCAAAGGAAGCTTGAGCCACCAAGATTTGGATGAGCTCAATATTGAGATTGTCCGAAATACCCTGTACAAGAACTACCTCGAGGATTTCCACAACTTCGTCAACACAGATTCGGAAATGGCTGGTACACCAACAGCAGAGGTTATGACGGAAATTCTAGAGTTTGAGGCGGATCGAAGAGCTATCAACATCACATTAAACTCTTTTGGTACGGAACTTTCCAAGGCGGATCGCAAGAAGTTGTACCCAGCATTTGGCAGACTGTATCCTGAAGGATCATTTATGCTTTCAAGAGCAGACGATGTTGAAGGTGTGAGATTAGCAGTAGAGGGTGTTAATGATTACAAGACCTACTTCGACCAGGCAGGTATGGGACAGAGCAGCGGTGCTGGAAATATGAGTGGGGGTGGTGGAGGTGATGGAAAGAGTCTTGAAGACTTGTTCTATCAAAAGGAAATGGAAATTTCCAAGGGAGCCTTCACAAGGCAATTCACATTCGCCATCGTATATGCATGGGTTAAATTGAGAGAACAGGTAAGAAAATCTTGGCGTATACAAGAATTTGGACGTACTAACCAATTACCAGGAGATCCGAAACATCACTTGGATTGCAGAGTGTATAGCACAAAACCAGAAGGAGAGGATCGGAAATTACATAAGTGTATTCTAGATGCCTCTTGATGATTCTTCTTGACTGTTAAAAATTTGTACCGTTATGTTGGGCTGGCGCAGGGAGATGGGACTTGACTTGCAAGTGGTATCCTATCTGGCTTTTCTAGTTTAGATCAGTTTCTTTTTAATGAGAACTGTATTGGCAATCGTGAATCTTCCAATTCCAAAATTCAGGCAGCCAGTCATGAGGCAGTAAATTGCTCTTACTGTTCAGACTCGTGCTTCACAGCCTGGTTCATTCCTGTAATCTAGCTACTCGAGTACTAGGAATAACCAGCAGAGTTATCCGAGTTATTCTAGATTCGAAGAGAATTGAGGTGATCATTTCAAAAAGTCTAGGTCAAGTAGCTAATTAATAGGTATGAAAAGCTAGAACAACGAATACATATATGATGCCACTCCAAATTTCCTGTGCTCTGAGAGGCGGAATGTGTTACTGTAGAGAACTGGTCGTTGTTCTCCACCTGTTTTTGAGATGGCTGCGCAAATGGTCTAGAGCAATAGGGTAATAGGGTGTGTTGTTCAGACACCATGAATGGAAGCCCAGAACTCGACCTACAAATCAACTCTCCCAGCTCTTTCATAATAGTATTTGTGATTATTGGGAATACTCTTCACACACAGAAAAGGGTAGTGTGGGAGAACAATAATCGTTCCTCTTACCTAGCTTTAAACTTGGTACTCGTGACCCCGCCATATTTGGCTATTTCGTACCATTAGGTATCCCAGAAATATTTTACAGAAGCTCATGTATCTTCACAAGTGATTTACAGTCAGCTACAAGCTGATTTCTCCCTTCCAGGTCCCCTCCGTCAGTCCAAGAGTGTCGATAACATTCTGCCATCGATCACTACCTCGTTCCTTCCTCCGTAAATAATTCAAATGCTTCTGTCTCTTGTGTACCATCACACGCAAATTCCTCTTGTTAATTTTGTCCTTATTTCCTCCCTTCTTCGTCAACTGATTCGCCAGAACTCTGATCTTGGCCGTCAAAATAGCAATCTGAACTTCCGAACTTCCAGTATCAGGTCCAGCTCGAGGCGTCTTCTTTGCTGGTTCCTTTCCTCCAAAGTTCTCTGGGTTGACGGGCGCTCGAGGTCTCAGAGTCCGATCTGTGTTATGTCTTCCGAATGTCCGTATACATCGATGGATGTTTGCCCTCGTCTTGTCTTTTTGACTTGAATTCGCCAGACTGACAATACGTGCAATGGCCATGGTCGCTCTCTCGTGATTCTGCTTATGTTCCTCATCATCCTTTGCGACCTGAATTGGGTCATTGGCATATCCTATCTTCCCCCGCGTAATTTCCGACAACTCGAACGAGCGATTTAAGGATATCTCGACTTCGGCGGCTGTTAGGAAGTGGTTGAGTACAACGTTATCTTCCATTCTAGCCTCAAGGCTCTCGTAGGAACCGTCCACGGCAGTTCTGGTTTTGAGAGCTGTTGATCCTCCCACTGTGTCGAATGATTCCACGAAAGGAGTCGGTATACCTCTAACTGGGTCTCCTAACGCCTGTTTTCTCTCTTCGCGGAGCACCTTCTGTCTTGCCACATTTACTGATTTTCTTTGTGCGGATTGTGCCAAGGCATATGGATCCTTCATGGCCCTTCTTTCTCTAAACGTTGCGACATTTGCGGTTGCGATGATGGGGAGCGGCCCGGTGATTGGTTTCGTTGCTGGGCGAAAACACACTGAAAATTGGTTAGATACGATATTTTGCTATCAATCTTTCCAAGAGATACTTACGGGTAGAAGTACCCAGGCGTGACGCCAGGTGTAATCGTAGAGGCATATTTGATTTGCTTCTGTGGACTCGGGCTCCCAATCCAGGCCCTCCAAAATAATATCCGCTGGAAATCTTTATTAGGACTAGCTTTTGATGGGAGAGCTGTAGATCACGTGTAAGAAACGAGTCCCCCGCCACGGCCCACTTGCAGTGACAGAGGGAAGTGGTTATTGCTGCCCTGGCGCCTCGCGATAAGCTCAGGCACCAAGCAATCCCTCGCCTATCGCGAACCCAACTTCCTTCGCGCACACTCAAATTTCGATCTCGAACTTTTTGACAACTTCCGTTCGACAACACCACAACGTCAAGTCGCAAAGATGGCACCTTCTCAACTCCCCCCAATTTTCAATGCCACCTCTCAAGACATTGAGATGCTCTTGAGCGCCCAGAGTCACTTGGGGTAGGAGCTTCTTTTTCTGGCTGGGACGAATTGTGCTAACGTCTGATATTTCACAGATCCAAGAACTTGCAAGTTCACATGGAGCCATATCTCTGGAAGACTCGCCCTGACGGAATCAACATCATTAACGTTGGCAAGACTTGGGAGAAGATTGTCCTCGCCGCCCGTATCATCGCAGCTGTGAGTTCTCCAATATTCAATTGTAGCAATTGAGAAATCTCCGGGGGGAATATATATTGATACCCTACAGATTGACAACCCAGCCGATATCTGTGTTATCTCCGCTCGTCCATACGGTCAACGTGCTGTCTTGAAGTTCGCCGCTCACACCGGTGCCGTCGCCATTGCTGGTCGATTTACCCCTGGTAACTTCACTAACTACATCACCCGATCCTTCAAGGAGCCTCGCCTCATCATTGTCACCGACCCCCGCACTGATGCCCAAGCTATCAAGGAGGCTTCATACGTCAACATTCCAGTCATCGCTCTCTGCGACACCGACTCCCCAACCGAGTTCGTCGATGTAGCCATCCCAGCCAACAACAAGGGTCGTCACTCCATTGGTTTGGTTTGGTGGATGTTGGCCCGTGAGGTCCTCCGTCTCCGTGGATCCATTGCCAACCGTGAGACTGAGTGGGATGTCATGGTTGATTTGTACTTCTACCGTGACCCAGAGGCTGAGGAGAACAAGGAGGCTATCGAGGACAAGATCCCAGGTTCTGAGGAGGCTGTTGCCCCAGCTGATGGTGGTTTCGGAGCTGCTGGCGGTGATTGGGAGGTTTCTGGCGCCAACACTGGCTTTGCTGGTGCTACTGCTGAGGCTCCTGCCGCCGCCGCTGCTGGTGGATGGGATGCTGCTGGGTGAGTCATTTTTGGCGTCCATTTTTATCTTACAGTTGCTAACATGATTTCAGAAATGATGAGTGGGCTGCTGCTCCTGCTGCTGGTGGTGAGTGGGGTGCCGCTGATCCAAAGACCGAGCAATGGTAAACAACCAAAATCAAACAAAAAGCAATAAATCTTCGCATATCTGTTCCGCATCCAAGGTCAAATTGATAGTGCTCATGAGGGAAAGATACCTTACATTTGTTCATTCTTTACAACTGTAAGGGGAAAGCCCTGTACTGTCAAGGCGAAGCGAGTTTTCTTGATCGTACTCCACCTTGTGCCGTTTCAGATTTTAGTGATGTTTCACAAAGAATAAAAAACTTTGCAAAAAAACACACACATTTTGAACCATTAGGTTGTATGTGATCATCTTGGCTTCTATTCTGTGCCCTGTGTGTCTCTATACTTGAACCTCCTAAAATTGTGAAATGCCTCCCAATCTATCCCATGAAATTGCGACTGTTCAAAGCGCCTCTTCCTTCGTCTTGACTGAAAAAACCCGCACATTTGGATTCAACTCTCCTCTTCCCCTCAACACCCAAAGCCATTCAAGAATCCTTTCAAATTCATACATGTCACAGAGTTCTGTGCCCCCACCAAAGTCCTTAGATACCAAACCCTAAGCGAACAAATGGACCCTCGCAATACAGGAAACGTAAGTTACGTAACGACAAATCCTTTTCATATTACTCCTCCTATTCTACTCTCTTGAGTGGAGCCAGGTAATTAACATTTTCGTGCCGTATGGGTGTTTATCCTGAATTTTCTCTAAACCTGGATTGGAAGGAATCCTTCTATCAATACAAGTGAGTTTCCGCGATGAGGCAGAGAGGGGTGTTTACTGCTATCTATGTCTCGTGGTGACGGTTTCTTGTGGGATATTCATAGAATGAATGAAGTTACCACGGGAGGATTTGAGGAAAATAACTAGAACCTTGCTTGCAAGTTATAGGGCGTGGTTCCTGACGGGTAAATATCTCGTTAGTACGTTTTCCATAGGTTTTTTTTCATGCTTTTCTTTCTGTACTCGGTACTGCCTGTGTCCCAGAGTGCGTATCTGGAAAGAGGGATTCAAAGGGATTCGTTGGATGATTTGGAGTCTGTGGTTGTACATGTTTTTTTCTTTTTTGGCGGTGGTTCGAGATAGCTTTTATAGGTTGTGAGTAGTCTGAGAACTGTAGATAGTTGGTAATGCCAGAGGGGTTGGAGAGGTGATTAGCACCTACTTATTTCTGATTCTAGAGAGGCATTTTGTTGGTGATTTGAAGGTATCGAAAGGAAGCCGAGGGACGATGTTAGTAATATGCCAACGTGTTGAAAAGGTAAGAAACTTAGTAGAGGCGTAGTCGTTATTCTATATATACCTCGTTAGCTTAAAATAGTCTTGAATAATTATTAACCCTTTACTTCTTAAAAATTAACCTAGGTACATCTACAAACATAGTCAACTAAGTTACTTGTACTAGGTGATTCATTTTAAATAAAATTCCTTTATACAATACACAAATCCCCAACCACGTCTCTTCCAACGCTCTTCCATCCTATCACCATTATCCGCCTTGGACAAGCTCAAATAATCTCAACAAAGTCCGTCAAAAAGCAGACAATATCCGAGTTTCAAAATCTACCCACCCAGGTAAAAGAGCTCACCACACCAAAGAAACATACAACCATCTCATCACACCACAACAACACCCATCAAAACACCAAGCAGAAACCCTTTCCTTACCCGGAATTATTTATTAAGTGAGAGCAACAATCATTTTATGCCCTTATTATATATATATATACACATCAAAAAAAGTATTAATAAACAGCCATCCCATCTCATATTTACAAGAAATCAGTGTCAACAACAAATACCCAGCTTAACCTCACACCAATACCCCGATATTCACCATTCATATTCATCATCCACGGCGTACCGCAATAAATCGATCCCAGAGGAAAGAAGCAGAACCCCCCTCCAAGATAACCACTTAGTCCATCTATAATATATCAGAACAAGAACAAGAACAAGATGACATCTCATCCCACGCCTCACCCAACAACCTCCACCAACCCACATTTCTTATATCCCATCCCCATCCCACAACAAATACCCCATCTACAGAACAAAAAACAACCAAACCACACCACGCTTATGTAACCCCTTCAAGAAACGTCACCTCATCCCATCCCATCAAAGCCCTGCCTCCCAACCACCTGCGCCCACCAGAAATCCCCAAACCACATGGCCAGGTCCGGACATCCATCAAAACTACTGTATGTCTCATACGGCCGGGTCACGCACACATCATGTCCCCGGACACTACTCCAAAACAGGCAGTACAGTATAATCAGAAAAATGGCCAGTCCAGAAACGGGGAAGTCATCATTTCTCATTTATATGTAATTTTGGTATAGGGATATCGCGTACAAACACACAGACCAAAGAAAATGAAAAAAGGCCGTAGTCCTAAAAAGGTATCAAAAAACACCCCTCCGCCCTCAGAAAAGAGAGAATCAAGACACTAGGAAAACTGCGCCATCCCCCTTTCAGATCATACGTTCGGCCCGTAGAACCCTATAGAAGGAAGAAAACCCACAACCGCCATATCCCGGAGACCAGCCAATCCCAAAAGTGAGCCAAGGAAAAGCATGCTCCCCAGACTCGAGAGTTTAGAAAGAAGGCGAGCAGGGCGAGGGGTCCTTTTTTACCCTCCCCATCTTCTCTACCCAGAAATCCTAGCTCAGCCTACCACACCACCCAAAGAACCCCTCACCATCGCCTGCAAGTCATGTCACACCCGTCGTATCTCACGCCCTGCAGCCCTCTTGACCCCATTTTATGAGGGGAAGCCCCAGGAGAACGCAGTGAGCAAAAAACAGGAGCAGGCCCAGGGATACTGCGGGCACTGCCGGGCGGACACTACTGCAGCCCTGGCGGTTGCATAGTGGTTCCGGTACCTAATTTCTGCATCCCGCCATTTTGGCGCCAAATCGCGCATCCCTGAAAGTGGAAAAATAAACGCCAGGAATAAAAGCAGCAGTGATTTTCTCACGGCGCGGCTAGAACAAACGCCTCAGACCCACACCAGAAATGAAATTCCTTTGTTGACATGCAAAGAAAAGGGCATAGTCGACAACGACAACAGACTGCCCGTTTTGGAAACTTTTTGGAAAATGAGAGAAAGGGAAAACTAGTATTCTGGTGATGGGTATCGCGCGCGGGCTTGCTTGTATTCTTTTGGGTGTTTGCGAGAAGCTTTGGTTTTCATTGTTCTAAGGATCTTGTTAGTTTATAGCTCACGTGATCTTGAGGACTTAAAACTGGAGCCGTCGGAGACGACGTCCCGGAAGTGGACGCTCGAGAAAGCGCAAATGCGGACTAACTAGGAAAATTGTGTACTTACGAAACGCGCTTTTGAGTCCATTCGAGATCTCGCTTGACCTCTTTGGCATCTTGATAGCCTTCAGCCATTCGAGCTCTCGATTTTGCAAGTCGCTGTTGAGCCAACGCTTGCAAATCGAGAATCTCCCGGTGCTTCGCATTCAATAAACCAGATCTAGACGATTGTCAGCGAGTCTGAAACTGCGAAATTGCGGAAGTAGTAGCGTGGTGTAAACTTACGTTTGCGCTTGGACAGCGAGTGTACGATCAAGAGGAAGAGGATCAAAAGCGCCGTTGAAGCGATCTTGAACATACTCTTGCATGTCTATGCCGTTGGCAGAACATGCGCTGTCATAATCGCTTGCGCTACCAGCATAAGTGCTGTTGGTTGCAGAATATGCAGAATTGCCATAGGCAGGAGTCATGCTGGACCCGGTGGTGACTGACTCGGCTACTTCAGGAGGTGAAATACCGTATCCGTGGTTTTGAGGAGTGTAGTATTGACCATGTTGTGACTTTGCTGGAACAGCCATGGGGAGGGAGTTGGTTTGGTAATAGCCTTGCTGGTACGCCATGATGTCGGTGTGTATGAGGTAAGGTCAAACGACGGGAAGGAGCCGGTGACAAAGAAGCGTTGCTTGGATGAAAGGGGTATAGTACGTGGTAGTGTCAAGGCAAACTTGAGAAAGGTATGTGCTTGAAGTTGATGGAGATGGAGTGAAATTGTTTGTAAGGTCAAACTTGGTATATGGGACTTGGGAGGAAGTTTTTGAGATGTTCAAACGGATGGAAAGAAAAGAAAAAGGAAAATGAGACCAACGGTAAACTGACCTCCCTTTTATAGCCGTTCAGAGGACGCTTCGGCTAGCTCCAAAGAAGATTATCGGGGGAATGATCTTGACCCCTTCTTGCCATTTGCCTTTCAACCCCGCTCGAGGAAGAGAGAACGGCATCAAGATAGGCTGATGGAGGCTTGCCATGGACCTGGTCTCAACGACTAGTCGGCCATGGACACCGCCACGCCCCTCATCTTGTGTTGCCGCCCTTGATGGGTTGGTTCTGGCTCCCTCGCAAGTGCAGAAGTATATATTAGATGGGGTGATCCCTGGAGGGAGGCAACGATGTCGGGGGCAGATTGGCCTGGTCCACACCATTTGAAAGCTGTCAAGGCCTTGGAAAAGCCGGTTCTTAATCACAATTGGCTGTCGGTAGAGGGAGCGGCGGAGAGGCAAGAGGAGGAAGGAGGTTCAGGGTTGCGTTGCGTTGCATTGCGTTGCGTTGCTTTGAGCAACGAGGCGAGGTTGCGATGGGCGCTCTTGTCGCTCGCGCAAACGAGCAAGCGCGATGGTGTCTTTGGCCGGCCGCTGCTTTTGCGCTTTTGACAAGCAGCGACGGCGAATGGAGCACGGCGGCCGGTCATGGTGGGCGATGGTAGGCATCAATTCGCTTTGGATGAATGTCAATGGAGGAGCAGAGGCGGATGTGGTAAGAAGTCAGGCTGCAACGCATGGTGATGTTCCTGTCGCGAAATGTATGTGTTGGCAATTTTCTGAAAATCAGCCCGAAGAAACTGAAAAGACCCCCTGGTGCCCCTCCACAGCCGAGTGAGACCCCTGTCCAGACTCGCCAAACTAACCCCCTTCGGCCCCCCTCCCCCCTTACGCCCTACACCAACGAGCTCCCTCGCTCCCTCACTCCCTCCATAACATTATATCCACCTCCCTAACTCCGTGCCCAGTTCTCCCCCAGTACGAGTACCCCCCCCCCACTCCTCATTCAACCTACTGCATTGGCCGTCATTCTATCAATTAATAATTGGCCCATCAGCGATCGATGACGAGAGGGGTTTCCGCGAAAAGAATAAAAAATACAACACAATTCGGAAATCCACTAACCCCTTCCATCCTTTTCCTGTTTGGTCAATGGCAGAAGACGCCAGATATCCCGCCATGAGAACCTTGAGCTAACTTCCAGCCAATGACCAATTACTCGTTTCAATTCTCCTCTCTCCACTTCTATACCCGACTAATCCTCTGGCCATTGATCACAGGATGCACTGGTGATGCGGCCATGCACGCCCACCTGGGACATCAAGGGACAGTAAGGGAGATCAAAACCGGTTGAGCAGGAAATCAGAGTTCATATCATACACATACTTCTCTCAAAGATCCAAGCTGAGCGACGTGGGAGACCAAGAGCCACCAACCGGCCACTTCCACCATCACGACCAGATATCAGACAATCCTCCGGAAAACTGTAAGATCTTACAGAGCACAAGGTACCCAATCGATACCACTTGCTACCAAGGTTCCATACCCAAGGTTACTTGCCGCACCCATGATACCCTCCTTCATCCCAAGAAACCGAACTTCGCCCCCCTATCTGCACTCTGCGCTCTGCATTCCAAGGCTCAAGGGCATTTCATATGTAAATTCATCCACCAGACCAGGCCGCAGGATCCCAGCCTTGACGTGCATCGTCTTACCACAGACCCGTTTCCACGCAATCAAAAGTGCAGCTAGCAGCCAGCACCTTCCAACGGTGCGACATGCACGCAAATGGATCCATCCGTCTTTGAAATGTGCGAGTGGAGGGGCACATACCAGCCAATGAGCCTCGCCCAAACGGAAAATGTACTTGCCGTTGGAGATTTTTCATCCTCATGCATCCACGACACTTCGCATCAATCTGATGCATGCCAGCGAAGCTCTGCAAGAATCATGTATATTGTAGATATTAACTAATCGATTTCCTCTAAATGGACCCTACGTAAAAGCCACCAATACGCCTATTTTGCCGTGACCATGATATACCGTCTACCCGAAAGCCTTAAGAAATCCCCACATACCAAGTCCGCTAAGTGCCGGAATCGTGAGATTATCATCCCAGCCAAAGACATCCACAACCTCGCTGGCGGATGCCACAAACCCCGTCCATAAACTCATTACTGCCAAAGCTAATCCTCCCCCGATGGTCGTTTGAGCTCCGGTCAATCCGATCACATCTCGAATAGCACCAGGAAGGGACAAGGTACCCGTAAACATAAACGGCCAGTTGATATCTTCTGGAAAGCTACCGTGTCGAGAGGCCAAGTATCCCCAGAATCCCACCGCGGTAAACACACCAACAACAAAAGCCGCCAGTGACCCGGCAAGAGATTTGCCGCGTCTGATGCGAGGTGTGTAACGGCCATATGCTCTTCCGACAGTGCTTGCGGCTGTATCACACCAGCTGAGAAGGAGTACACCCATCACTCCGATGTCCTTCGGAAAAAAACCAAGTACGATCCAGGCTCCAAGCAGATACCAGATGACACCGTTCCACCCTTCATATTCGGTTTCCCGCATAAGGGCGCCCATCACTCGGACATAAAATCTATTAAAAGGAGGATAGTTGTGACGTACGTAGTCGACGGAGGCAATCGGCACCAGGGCTCCCATCAGCCATGGAGTGATGTCGGAAGTTTGCAGTCCATGTATGTACGCCCAAATGACAAAAAATCCGATTGAGACGTGCAACACTTTTCGTGGGACCTCGTGGCGATGCACGAATGACCTCCACTGTCTGTGTATGGGAATCAGTCCTAAAGGGCTTGGACTTCGACTAAAATCTCTCCAACTCCAGCCCGCGTTCGCACTTGAAGGCGAAAGGTGGCCGTTGGGCTCTGGTCCAGCTCCCGCTCCATTCGCTACTAATGGCGTTGACTTTTGAACCGCACTTGAAGCTTTCTTTGACTTTGCTGGTGTAAGGCCAACTACCTTTCGAGCTCTCATCGGGCTCCGGCTTTTGGATCGTGCCCTTCGCAGGTCGTCGCTTTTATCTTCATCTTCGTCTAGATCTTCTTCTATACGTGCTTGCGCTTCCGATTTCTTCCTTGCAGATCTTGTAACGGGTCCAAAATAACTGTCTTGCGACGTCTCTCGGGCTTCGGATGGTGTAGGAGAAGGGGAGATAACCCTTGGAGTGGCCGGGATCGGATTCGATGATCGCGACATGGTGAAAGGAGGGAGCGAAGGCATTCGGATAACGCCTGTAATAAGACGCCCGAAATCTGCGACTCGGAAGAGCCACTTGTTGGTGGAGAGGAGATGTTTTTCTTTGCGTGAGGACCGTATATTTGCGACTGGGGATCGACAGCTGGACAAGGCCGGAGATGGCGGGGATAAGATTATTGACTCCAACGGATCGAAGGGTGCAGAGAACTGCGCTGCATGATTGAGGGAAGATATGGTGGCTCTGATGCGCCGTTCTCGTGGCACATGAAGCGAAAAGGTGGGTTAGGATGAACTGATGATCGATACTAGGAAGTTGTTGTCGCTGAAAGTTTGGCTGAGCAAGGTTGATTGGGTTAGCTGACAACGCGCTGTGACTGTGACAGCATGACTGTCCTTGCATGCACCACAAGCCAGCTTACTAAATCGGGAATAGCTGTTGTATGTCGTGAATTGAAGAAATATATTCGAAACGATGATAGAAGTTATCTACTGATATCAAATAAACAGAAGTATTGCTGTCGAAGAAGGTAACCATTTTGTTATTTCCTTTTACCAAGTTTTTAAAACAATGGAATTTAATATATCGTCTTCAGATACAAATATTCGTTGATAATTTCGAGTCAACTCATAAATAGCTTAACTCGGACGAACGTGCGATTGATAATACTACAGTAAACATTGGGAAAAACTGAGAGTAAAATTCGCTTTACCCCACTTCCCCTTCCTCCCTCCTCTTGCGCGCTCGCTTGTTGAAACCTTAAGTGAAATTGGCATGGTAAGCTTAAGAACGACTGGAAAAAGTAAAACCTTTAGAATCAAAGAATCAATGGAAAGACCAAAAACATTGACTCCATAGGGTTACGCACTCAAAGTGGTATTTCTACCCACGCTCAAATCTCAAGAATGAATAAAATGAGTGCTGGTTTATTCCAACTCGGGTATATTATCTGGATCTACTAATGTGTACCTTCTAGTTCCATTATCAACCCAGATTTCACACGCACATTAATGAGGGAGCCGCGAGCCTATGCCACCTTTCAAAGGGTTGTATCTAGAAATCGTAACTTTGCGCGTGAAAGGTGGCACTTTCCTCTCCAGCTTTCTACCAGATCCATTATGCTCATCCAAAAGGAACGTCTCAAGACGGTACTGCTGTGGTATGCGTGTCTGGCTCTTCGGATGGGGTGTCCGCTTCTCTTCTGAATCCACTATCTCTAGGAGCAGTTGGCAAGGAACTATACTTTCGCATCCTCGTTGTATACAACCATATTCCACACTACTTGTACGTTTATCTTACTTCTTCAAAGAATTATTCTCCGCAGTGTTCTCATAGATGTGATTGTAATAGGTCGTCGGCAATGCGCTACAAGAACCTCATGCTTCACTCAACTTTCTGAAAGCATCATGCTGAAGCTTGAGAGTGGTGGCTCTACCCCTAAGAGCCATAGAACGATCAAAAGACAACAGGCCGAAGATCTCGGAAACGACTTTCTCGAATTAGAGCTCCTGGCTTTTATCCTCGATAAATGGTGAACTGAAAGCAATATTGAAGCATTGGGAGTAAGAGCATATCAAATTTCAATGAATGGGAAATGTTTTTTGATTTGTTTCTCCTTCCGCTAATCTAACATGGACATTCACAACGAGACTTGGGTGGCGATGCCATCCCTTAGCTAAACTCAGCCTCCCCCCCCATGTCAGAAATCCCGAATTCAAGAACTTCCAGTAAATCCAGTCTTTCCGTCGTGTGTCAGTCCTGGCATTCTCGCGTCTTCGAAACTCAATATCGAAATTTTATATATAAGTAGCAAAGATTATGACCTCGGAATTTGAAACAATGTGAATGTTCTAGCCCAGCAAATAGTCAATTCATCGGCTTCAATTAAGGTATGGAGGCCGCGTAAGACTTATATTTACATATTCCGCAGCTCGTCATATTTCGCTTATTTTCTTTTAGTAGGAACGTCAGCCATTGTCTGTCATATACTCATTGATAACCTACATCAGGGAAGCCCGAAATAGGTCCACACTTAATGACACCTAGCTAGCTTCAAATAAATTCCTGTTTATCTGAATGAGAAAAGCAATTCTTGCATATGATAGATAGCAGAATATTTATTAGACACGTTTATCTCTGTCAAATGCGATGCAGCCATCGGCCGGTTTGATACTCAGCATGGACGTACCCAGAGATTCACAATGGGAATACAAGAATTTTCTGGAACATGTCAGTTCTTCCCGTCAGTCAGTCACCAGGGTTTACATCAGAGCTGTACTTGTGAAGAAATCGCCAAAGAAACGAGAATCTCTCGGCTACCCTCAAAAGAGAAAAAAAGCCGTTTCTCATTTACTATTAGGGCCCTTTAAGTCGGAAAAGAAAAGCCGTAGTAATGCATCCTACATATTAGCCATTCTTCCTCCTAATTACAAAAGTGCGGAAGAAAAGTACCTGTATTAAGCTTTCGCTCGATTATTAACTCGGTTATCCCTGTTATTTCCCCACGGAGCTAGGATACCTAGCCGTTTCTCAGACCGGAGATAGAGTTAGGGTAACCGCTAAGCTTTTCCCCATGATGTAAATTAGTTTATTAGAAAGTAGTACAGTATATTCAAGATAAATCGAATATTTTTAAAAAGAAGGGAGTAATAAGTCGAAATCTACTTTATAACAACCGAGATTAGAATATTTTTTCTAGTAGCTACATGTATAACGGATATAGTATTATAATAACTTTAAAATGATTATTATTTTTTTACTACCTAGGTATTTATTAACCGAGGTGTACTAGAATGGTGAGAATAGCTAAGTTGTATAAGCGAGAGCGCAGTGAGAAGACGCACCACTGACTGTTTGACATTTAAAATTATAGTTTTTCGTACTTGATAAGAAATTTGTTTATTACCATATATACGAGGAAAGATCATTATACTAAACGTCTAGTACAAGTGACTTAATTGTGTTCGTATAGCAAGGCTATCAAAAAGCAAAATATATAAATTTTTCTAAACCCTTCATTTTCTGTTATATAACATGTCAACCCCATTACTACGCTCCAAGATACATTAACTCGTCGCTCGTGTATTACGTGTGTGCGATAAAAAAGGAAAATCGTATATGCATCACACATCCTCCCTCTAACCCCTGATCCCTCAGCTTCCCCTTCGCTCAAAACTCGCTAAATTAACATTCTCAACCCCAACTCTCAACTCTCAACCCACCACCATTTCACCCACATCCCCTACACAACTCAGCGTCTTATTTAAATATATTGCCAAACAGGAGTACTCTCCACAATAGCAGTTCCCAACGAGATATTAATACACGCCTCCCCAGCAACATACCCCGAGTACCCAAGCGCAAAGACCTGGTAAACATCGGCATCCTCAGCAGAAGGACAAGCAGTAAACCCAGTGTTGTTGAACTGCACAATACCCACGCGGCCAGGGCCCGCTTGAGGGGTGTACTTAAAGGGAGTACGAGTACCGGTCCCGATGTTGCCGCTGTGAGCTTGGGTTGCGGAGAGAGAACCGTCCGAGGCGATGTAGGCTTGTTGACCGCCTGGGACGACGGTGTTGAGGGAGACGGTCTCGGAGGATGCGGAGAGGACGAGTTGGGTTGTGTTTCCGGCTGGATGAATTTGTTAGTACATTTTTTTGGTAGTTGGAAGAGGAGGAATTACTTGGACATTGCTCGACTACGACGGGGCAGTAGGTTGCGGTGTCTTTTCGGATCCAGAATTTGAGCCCGTTTTCTGAGACGCCTGAGAGGTGGATGGGGCTGGTGCTGTGGATGGCGATGATTCCGACGGTGTCGATGGTCTCCTGGCGGGCGACAAGTGGTGCAGCTGAAGCGAGGCCAGCGAGAGTGGCAGCGATGAGAGATTTGGTGTACATGATGAAGATATGAGGTTTTGAAGAAATCAAAAGTGTTGATTATTGGATTATCAAGGTGATATTCTGATATCTGAATGAGGAGATGATTGATGCTGAAGCTGATGATGATGAACAAAACAGAAGGGAATCCACGATATATATATACCTCCCCAAGGTCCCAAGCAATCACCATACAAATCTCATGACACGTGAACTAGTACTATGGCAAAGGTACTACGGAGTAGTCGCATCTCGTATTCTCCATCGCCTCCCCGTCCCATCTGCAGATCCGTACATAAACCACCACCCAAATGCGGCTAACCAAGTAAGCGCCTCCCACTCCTAACGGTTTCCTGGGAACGAAAGCCCCATCCGCCCCGATTGGCTGCGAAATGGAGAATATCCACTACTTTTTCTTCGTGATTGGGTACAAGAAACACTTTGGAAAGTACCCTTAACTTCCTAACTAAGTGTTTCCCCATTCGCCAGAAAGACCGGACGGAGAAAACGAAGCTATCGCGACCGACCTACTCGTACATTACTCGACTGAAGCCAAAAATACATTCGAAAAAAAACATAAAATGCTCAAGTGCTAGATACGTTACAACTGCGCGCGAAAAAAAAATAAGAAGATATCGGCACTCACTCGGTATCTCACCACCGCTCCATCGCCACCACCACCTCATAAATTAGCTGACCTAACCGAGGCATCGAGGTTTACCGTTTTCCTGTGTACTCTAGTCAAGCTTACCTCAAGTAACATAAGCTTAAGAGCCCGAACGCATACACAAGCAATCTCACCCAGATCTTGTTACAGTAGAGTACAAAGAAGCTTAGATAACTCCCCCTGCCATCTCCGTCATCACCCATACTACTACTCTACCCCATCCCATCCCATCCCGTCCCATCCCCATGAATATGCAGCGCAGCACAGAAAAAAAAACCGGAGAAAGGGAACCCCTGATCTCGTATCGGCACTTTAGCCGCATCTCATCACATCACGAGAAAAAAAAAAGACGAAGGTTGCTGCCCGCAACGCTGAGAATAGCTACAACGAGCGACAGGTACGAAGTAGTAGTAACAGGTAGAGTACCGGGCCGGTGCCCATCAATTTCACGGTGAGGTACCGTATGATACCGTACCATCGTGTCACAGAAACCCCTCCCAAAAAAGAATCCACTATCTACCTCCGTACTCGCTGGCAAGCTAAATTCCACCGCAACACGAGTTTTAACAAGAAAAAGTAAAAGATCACATCGAACAAACCAAAGAATATCGAACCTTATCCTCCCCCTTCCAGAACACGAGGAATACTATAGCACTACTGGGAAAGTAAAAAGATCAAGCAATCCGTACTCGAGTACAGCGGAAAAATAAAAAACAAATCATGGGGTAAAAACAAACATTACAAAATACGGATACCATATCGGGAGACACCCCGCTCCTCTCCAAGCGAGCGGCAGCCGATCCACTCCTCTTGGCCCGAACACGAAGTATATCCATAACCATATCCATCCCCATTATATCCCCCACTCCTGGGGCAAATCGCATGTCGCCGACGAACACGAGGCTCAGACGTCATCCACGATTTGACTGAGCATACTCGAGTATCATATTCTTCCGGTAGGGTGAGACTTTTGTTGTACAAATACCCGCTGAGGGGATTGTTGGGCCCATGGTGTAACGTAGGTTTGGTAGGTAGCAATGTACTGTACCTTGGATAATCAGGTACACAGGTACATGAGAAGAACGGAGAAAAAATGAGGAACATGCACATGCAAATGAGCCAATGATATAATGACACCTCACGTGAGGTCTATGTCTACGTTGTATTCTATTTATTTTTCTTCATGAGTTCTTGCTCCAAAGATCTATGGCTTCTCTATTGACAAAAACACGTACGCTATATCCAGCACTTGGGAAAGCGTTCATGGAAGCCATATATGGCTGGTCTATGTCTCTCGAGATCATGGAAGTCAGTACGATCCGCGGAGCGATTGATGGGTATAGCAATTGTATCTGGCACATGGTAAGGCAGGGCAAATCCCGAAGCTCAATACCACAGATAACCAATACCCATGAATTCCATTGAACGCCGAAAACGAATGAAACCTCCGCAGACAAACGAAACACCCCAGAAGCCTACAACCTATTGCCAGAAAAGGGAACTGATCGATTCACCGTGGTGGACACGGCGAATGGCTTCTGCAAAGACGCCGCCAATATCCAAAACCTCCAGCTTGGGGCATAAACGTGTGTGTTCCTCTTGAGGGACACTATTGGTCACAACAACCTTGTCAAGCGCAGAAGCATTGATTCGGGCGATGGCATCTCCACTGAATATGCCATGTGTGAGCAGAGCGTAGACTTGCGTAGCACCCTCTTTCTTCAACAGCTTCGCAGCTCGGGTAATGGTGTTGGAGGTATCGGCCAAATCATCAACAAGGATAGAAACTCTGTTTGCTACATCCCCAACGAGCATCATGGTAGCATTTTGGCGATCCGTAATGCGGGTGGGGCGACGTTCCTAGGGGGTATAAGTGTGCGCAAGTTTACAATCATGGGAAGTATTACCTTGTGAATCAGAGCAAACTCCATGTTTAGGTCATCCGCAATTGCAGTTGCTCTCTTCGCACCTCCAGCGTCGGGACTAACAATTACAGCACTTCTGAAGTCCGGAATCTGTTGTTGAATATATCTCTTCAAAATATTCTTTCCGTATAGATTGTCAACAGGAATGTCGAAAAATCCTTGATATTGTGGGTCGTGCAAATCCATGGTAATGATATGATCTGCTCCAGCACAAGTCAGAAGATCTGCTACAAGCGTACCGGCTTGTGCCACCCATTGTTTGTATCCTGGATTTGGGTTGAACAAGCTCTTGTTGAGTAAGGCCGTGTTTTCATAATCGTGAGTCGTGAAAGTGTGCTGACTGGCATGTGACTGGGAGCCCTTGCGCTCCCGGCCATTCGTCAATGACTGAAGCGAATCAGTGGCATCTGATCTTCGGGGGGTGATGCCGTTTGTGTATGTATTTCCGTTCTGCTGGTCAAGGGAAGTTTTTGCCAGCTTCTTGTGCAAAACGTCTGTGCCATTGGTCAAACCCTGACTTTGTGGTTGGAAGGGGCTTGGAGTGGGTGGCCGACTCTCAAAAGTAAAGTCTTTTCGATTCACGTCTGTAGGAGCTTTCGAGAGTGGAGCGCCCGCCTTGTTGTAAGGTACATCTGGTTGTCGAGAATAAGGAAACAAAGGAAGAACAGCGGTAACACGCTTTGCAGAGCCGGTTTTGCAAGCGGATATCATGATACACAGATCAACAAAATTATCGTTGACCTTGCCGCCTCCGGACTGGATGATATATACGTCCTTACCGCGGACAGAGTCTTGAATCTCAAGTCGACTTTCTCCGACCGAGAATTTTTTGAGAATGCGATTGCAGGCAGGTACCCCAAGGGTGCTAGTGATCTTCTCGACGAGTTGAGGATGGGAATTGCCCCCGAGGATAACAATGTTGCGAACCATATTGATGAGATTGAACTGAGCGCGCGTATGTGATTGTGGTTAAGTTGAGGAGAGCAAGAAACAAGTCGGTGGTTTATCGTCTCTCGCAAAAAAATTAAGTGGGAGGCTGGGGAAGAGGGTAAAGAGCCAGAGTTTGGTTCGAAGACTGAAACGGAGCGCGGGTCTACTGCCAGCAGGTTGGAGGAGGGAGAGGGGATAGTGGTGGGTGTTATGAGGATGAGAATGGGGATGGGGATGGAGGAAGAATAACAAGAGCGACTCGTGTTTGGTGAGCAAGATCCATCTAGGTAGAGTCTGGATGCTGCGACTTGATGGAGGGTGAGCAAGAAAAATGATGCAAAAAAAGGTTGCAGGCGCCGTCGCCCACTAAAAACGCTGCTCAAAGAGAAACGCGCTAATCACAAACGGTTAGCGTGGTGGGGCATGCTGCAAGGCTGACAGAAGCAGCAGCCACGGGCGGGCAGATGCTCCAGCTGGGCGCCGTGCTTGGGGGGAAAAAACTCACCCCGCCATCGCATCACTGCCAGTCTATTTGCGAGAACCGCGTCTCCTTGGCCAACCAACACATCACACCAAACCACATCACCACTTAATTACGAGGCACCCAATCCTCGAGCGTCAGCATGAAAATTCTAGAGGCTCAGTCCGCCACTCTGACTAATTATGAAGTCTACACGCATCTACTCGACCAAGAAGAGCGCTTTGCCTCGAGAACCAAGGCCAGAGGACCGAGAGCGCCCCCAGTCGAGCATAGACCTTCAAATCTAAAAACAGTCACCAAAGAGGTGAGGATTGACTGTCCAAGTCTATCATTTCAATACTAACAACTACCCTCCTAGCTGCTCAACTACCTGCGCGAAGCTCCTTCTCCTCTTGGCTCCAATCCTCTCCCATACAATGAAAACACAATCAAGAAGCTCTTGGAAGGCTTGCGACCATGGAACTTTACCAAAGGAGAGATACTCATGATCCTCAACTTACGGCCTTCCAAACCAGAGAACTTAAACACAATCATTGAAGAGATGGAATCGCGTTTTCCCGGGGACGAGGAGCAGGAGCAGATATTAAATGTCATTGGTGATGTTCTTGGGCGACCTGATGGCAAGGCTGAGAGTAAAGCCATGGCTGAAAATGCAAACAAGGCTAGATTACAGCGCGATCGAACAGTCGCTATTGTAGAGCAAGATTGAGTGCCGACTGTTCTAAGGAAAATGGAACATCATTGCGGGCGTTGGGGGTTTGAGCATTTGCGGCGTTGGTGGTAGAATGGGAATTTGAGCATTGTATGGATGGTTACACAAAAGTTATGAACTATCTACTCGGAAAGATATACCCTTTTTTTGACGTGTTACACTTTTCAGAATAGAATGATTTCTTTCGTTGAGTTTGAAGGGCGCAAGTATTTGTAGTTGGAGCTTCTCCATACAGTATCAAGCTAGGACTCTGTGTTGCTGTACCCGACCAATCTATTAGGGTTGAATGATGAAAGGCAAGCAACTCTTTAGTTGTTAGACCCTCTTACATTGACAAGAAAGAGTTCAACATAAAAATGCTCTGCAAGAAGGCACTGCATGATTTTTATACATTTATTCAACTTGGCAGACACAAAGAGGCTCTGTGATATTATTTTAAAGCACCACATTAGTTGGTGGCAGTATACAACAGTTTTGGACCTTTAAGGATACAAATTACCTTTATGCAAGTAACTTCAAGGGACTATTAAGTAAGACTATAGCGGTAAGATTACTTGAAGAGAACTATCTTCTTCTTGATGCCTGTAGTACGAAAAGGCATCTGTAGTAATTCCTCACAATCCATCCCGACACAGTTTATTAGAAAGTAGCGCCCAATACCAACCTAAACAAGCTTACTAATCCAACAGAAAAAGACAGAACAAGCAAAATCATTTACCAGATACGCTGCTTATCATTATAAGTCTTTACCGTGATCATTTAATCATTGCAAGCACCTGGGACTTCAAAGTTGGATGACTGCTGGTTATATTGGTCAGTAGTTGTTTTTCTGTTTACTAGCAACTTAACAAGTAGGATGTGACAAAGGGTTGCTCATGAGCATTCTACTAGAGCCTACCTATATACCACAACAAACCAACAGACCCCTTCCCAAAAACCAACAAAAAAGACCTCACAACCAACCACCACCACCACCTCCCCAAACCCACATCTTACCCCCCCTTCCTCACCCCAATCGGCCAAACTCCGACTCCTCCCCCACCAAGCACCCTACACCTCCTTTCCTTCCCCAAATATCCCAAAAACCCCAATAAACCCACCCCCAACCATCAAACAAAACAAAACATAAACAAAATCTCCCATAGCTCAACGGCCAGAGCGCCAACAGCTCCTTACTTAACGACTCAATACGTTAGGATGTTAAAGTTTCTCTTTCTCCCCCCACTGGGATGGGGCGGGCTCACCCAGTGGTGGGTGGGGTTTTGGATAAGGATGTTCTTTGTCTGGAGTATTTGTTGGAGGTGTGGGTTCGATTTCTTCTGAGGGTATGAGATTCTTTTTGTGGGGTTTTTTGGGGGGAGGGGGAAGAGGGGATGGGGGGAGTGGAAAGGGGAGGAGGGTTTAAGGTGTTTGAGGAGGGGGGCTCGCTTATTTTGTGGGTTGGTTGGTTGGTTGGTTTTTTTGGTTTTTAGGAGTGGGAGTGGGAGTGGAGATTTGGGCCGTGTGAGTGTTGTGTTGGTAGGGTGAATTTGGAGTAGATAGTAGGGTGAGATAGGATATAGTGAATGGAGGTTAAGACTTAACTTCCTAAGTGGTGTTAGAATACCTTGCAGTTGTAAACGTATTACATGTAAACACACGCTATATTACTAGTAGTATAGAACATATCTTTTATATAGGTATAAGTAAATATAACATCTGAGACTTTATCTAGAATGAACGACTATATAACTAGTAACGCCAAGATCGCTTGTTGCTAAGCGAAAATTTCATTCCGTATTTTGTTCGTGATTAGTACCTAGTTACACGTAAATCTATGGCAAATTTTGGTTTCTAAGTCATTGTTGTTTTAAAGGCGTCTTATAATCCGGGAAGAATATATATTATTAGAAGAGTATTAAAAAAACTAGTAGTAGAAAAGAATAGAAACTACCTCTTATATTAAAGTAGGAGAGAAAGAGTAAAATTTGCATTTTAACACGAGTTAGACTGAGATATTTATAGATTTAATAACTAATGTACTACATTCTTTTTGGTATTCCTCAAGTTCATCGTTCGCCGCCAACTCCTTGCAAATGCTACATTTATCTCCCAAAACTCCTTTTGTTTAGCATGTATGCCAAGTCAAGCCAAGCCAACTCCATCACTTTTCTGCAGCCAGAACCATTTTCTCCCTTTCGTTTCTTCGTTTCCTGAACTGTGCTTTGGTGTGCTTTCGTTCGTTCTCATTCTTTCTCTTGATTGCCTTGAGTTCCTCGGATTTGATTTCACCAGCCTTCTTGACCACCTTGGGGATATGTCTGTGACGTTTGATACGTCGGATTTCAGGCATATGAGCATATCGTTCTGATAGAGCCTCGTTATATTCGAGAGCTTGACGTTGTTTTGCAGACTTGATTCCTTCCCTCTTGGATGCGTTTGCTCGCCACAATCGAATATTGCCGTCGTCAGATCCGGAGAGGATATACTTGGAATCAGGGGTCCACTTGGCAGAGAATACTCTCTGCATTCGTTTGGTGTGATAGATATCTCTTGAGTGTCCCTTCATGCGACTCCATAGCCGAACAGTTCGATCGTATGAAGCACTCACAAGCTCCTCGCCAGTAGGGCTGAATTCCACGTCCATCACAGCAGCCACATGGTCCTTCAGTACATTTAGTGCTCGGTTCATTTTTCGCATATCAAAAACTAAATACGTTAGCGCCATACCTGCAAACACAATTGATCAAAACCTACTGTAAATATTGTGATCTTCATTTGCCACCGCAAAATTGAAGGCCTCCATAGGATTCCAAGCAATCGCGTTTGAAGCAAAATTTAGTATCGTTTTATTCAAGGGCATTGAAGTCCGTAGGTCGTATAACACAATGGATCGGTCTGTTGCAGCAGATGCTAATATCGAAGTTTCTGTCTGATTGAAAGAGACCGCAGTGATTGTATCCGTAGCAGATGGCCATTTTAAAACATCTGGTGGCGCCGAACCCTTTTCCAAATCATATATCGAAATTACCCCAGAGGCAGCAGCAAAAGCGTTACTTGATCGGTGATGTGACAAACTTGTAAATGCATTTGTTCCAAGCCAAGTCGCAGTTGGTGATGCTCCAGCGGTTGTATTGTACGGGTCGTATAGCTTAATTGCTCGATCACTGGCGCATGTCAAAAGTTTCTGATCGCGTGTCCAGCATATCCCCTTCACAATATTCTCGTGCGCGCTTGTATTCCAGATTTCTTCCCTTGTAGTTAAATCCCATACTTTGACAATCCCATCACCACTTCCACTTGCAAATCTCTGTAAAGAATTCGGATCCTTGGCCATGGTATAGACTCCGTCGACGTGACCTTTCCCTAATTGCGCAATGAATGGCGCCGCAAACATACGCTCCATCTTGGTAGCATTGAGTGCTCGAGTATATTCTCTCGCGCGTTCGAAAGGATGTAATGCTGGATCGAGGTTGCGGGGTTGTCTGGCGACATCAGACCCAGGAGCCTGCGCCGAAGCAACGGGGCGACTAAGAGCTTTTATTTTCTAACGATATTTGTGAGTTATTGCGACCACAAATTTGGGGGGTTTCACGTACCATAGTGTGCTCAGAAGTCGCATGGGAATCTAGTGATGGAGAAGTCCTGCGCAAGATTTCGGATCGTCAAAAAGTTGTCGGTCCGGAACAATTATTCGCCGTTAGCCTACTGTTGCGTATGTGAGCTCCAGCCTAGCTCCAGAGCCGCGAGCAAGCCAGCCCTCCATAAACACCACTTCCACCAACTAAACAACACCATCAACACTTAAAAAATGGCGCCAGCCGATTCAGCACGCATAGTTGAGGCACAGAAGTTGACCAAAACAAACCCAACCAAAGCCGAATCACAGTACAAGGAACTCATCTCGAAACCTCCTTCAGTCACCTCAGATGCTGCTGTGCGAGAGTATGAGACTGCGCTGGTGAGCTTGGGAGAATTATATCGGGACCAGAAGTAGGAACTCTTCAGAGCGCAAATTTATTGGCTATTTTCTGACGATACTAGGCGTGCAAATGATTTAGTAGAATTGATCACGAAGAGTCGGACGGTATTATCATCCTTTGCGAAAGCAAAGACCGCCAAACTTGGTATGTTGTAACACCCATGATATTGCCATTGGTGGTTCAATGGGATTTGAAGAAACACATACTGATAGTTTCCACTCTGTATAGTCCGACAACTCCTAGATCTCTTCAACCTTATCCCTAACACCACCGATATCCAAATCTCCGTCACGAAATCATGCATCGAATGGGCAACTTCAGAGCGTCGTGGTTTCCTACGACAAAACCTCGAGACCCGTCTCGTTGGTCTCTACATGATCAAGCAATCTTACTACGAAGCCTTGACCCTCATCAACAGCCTTCTCAAGGAGCTTAAGCGTCTGGACGACAAACTTGTCCTCGTGGAAGTACAACTTCTCGAATCCCGCGTCTACCATGCCTTGGGAAATGTGCCAAAGGGTCGATCGGCACTCACCAGTGCTCGCACAAGCGCAGCATCTGTTTATACACCACCTCTACTACAAGCTGGTTTGGACATGCAATCGGGGAAGCTTCATGCAGAGGACAAGGACTTCAGTACTGCGTTTTCCTATTTCATCGAAGCTCTGGATGGATACCACACGCAGGACGAGCCAGAAAAGGCAACCGCTGCGCTACAGTACATGTTACTTTGCAAGGTTATGCTCAACTTATCCGACGATGTCAACCAACTTATGACTTCCAAGCAAGCCCTCAAATATGCCGGCAAAAACCTGGAAGCCATGAAGGCTGTCGCACGCGCACATTCCAACCGCTCTTTGGAGGAGTATGAGAAAGCATTAGGTGATTACCGCCATGAACTCGGTAGCGACCCATTTATCCGAAATCATCTTCGGCGTCTTTACGATGCCATGTTGGAACAAAATCTCATTAAAGTCATAGAGCCCTTTTCACGTGTAGAAATCGACCACATTGCCAAGATGGTTGGTCTCGACACAGTCCAAGTTGAGCGCAAACTTTCGCAGATGATCCTCGATAAAGTAATTATTGGTGTTCTGGACCAAGGGGCTGGATGCTTGATAATCTTCGATGAGACGGAAAGAGATGTGGGATACGATGCTGCGTTGGCAACGATTGAGAAGCTGAGCAGTGTGGTGGATGTGTTGTACACGAACCAGGCTTCTATGCTTGAGTAGTGACGACGAGGAAAGGGTTAGAGGGTTGCTGGCATAAAACAACTGTACCATAGAGGCGCTTACAGTGGAGGAAAGGAAAGAAATCATGAAATTCAAACTGGAATCTATCTCATGAAATTTCAGTGAGAATAATACATACATACCTAATGTACCTCAGAGATCCATTTGCCATGGCGCCCCGAGTCTATATTCCCTCTCTTCACTTCCTAAAACGGCGCTTCACAGTAATTGCAATTGAACATATCATGGCCTCATCCCCCTGAACCCAGGGCTACTCCCACTATACTTTACTCCCACTGTAAGAGTCTACTTGGGGATTCGAAATAGAGTAGCTATCACAATGTCCTCAAGTTACCATGTTTACCAGCTCAGAGCTCCCTGTAAGTATTGAAGTATACCATACCATACCTATCTCTTGGGCCTAATCAAATACGTCCTCTCGTTCCTTTGCTCGTGGTACTTAGCAATAGTATAAAGAGAAGGTACCTGATTGAATACATATACTGTAGCAAGTCTCCTCTTTCCATATTCCATAATTTATCTTTTATCTTTTATCTCCTGTATATCTATAAAGAACCCCTTTCGTGTCTCCTGTTTCATACGTACTGTAAATCGGAAAATGAGGCTCTGGAGTACATAAATCGCGTATTTTCCTCCCTCCCTCTCATGGATGGATGGATAGATAATGGGAAATAACCTTGTGGTCGGAAGGTACTCGAAAGGGCTATGTATAGAGATTACCGCAAGGAACCCTGGATTCATGAAGAGAAGATCTATACATCTGAATCATCATCTATCTCAAAGGGTCCTACTAATCTTCAATTATTGATTCACAAAGGCCTTGGAGGACACTCACCTCTCAAGTAAACCTCCACACACTACCAATCACCTCATCAAAGCACAAGCACAATAATAAAAGAAAAGAAATCTCAATTTATTAGGTAGCTAACACGATCCCGCCCAAGAAGATTGCCTGGCCCATTCATATCAAGGGGGTCCATCGCATCATAGCTTTCTGAAAGAAAAAAGGCTCACGATGATTACGCCCAGTGGTATCAGTATTCCCCCAGATTCACCTAACGCCATCCATAGATGCTCAAAAGCTTCGACGATGTATGTCATGTACCACGCCCAGCTTACTCCCCTTTCTTCCCGCTCAATTTGATAAATCCACCTTGCCAGATCCATCCATTGAACGCCATTGCGAAAATGATTCCCATCGTCAAATCGTGAAACCTGCCACCGCAAATTTGTCATGTCATACTCCTGGATAGTAAGAGAAAGAAAATAAATAGAAAAGTCTCATTTTACCGGCCGAGGTCCTGATTCTAAAAGTCTGAAATCTTTAAGAGCCGCGGGAGGTACCATAGGCGGATGGAGTCAATGCAAATTGCCCAAAGTCACTAGGAATCTGCCAACCGTGTTGTAGACATGCGCGCTTATAAGCTTCGATAGCCTCGCCAACCTGGTAGTCATACTGTCGATTGATCGTACCCTTCCCTTCCAAACGAGCTGGTTTCGGTTCTAGGTTCATCATGGCCATGCGAACTTGAAGGAGGACACTTTCAATAGATGAGACCGCGCTCCACCCAGAATTTGTGAGAAGTTCCATGCACATAGCTCCGCCAGCCGTAACGTGTCCACCTCCTCCGACAGAGAATGGCAGGAATCGAGGTCTGATAACTCGGACGAAGGGTGGACTATGAGGATAATCCTTTCCAAATCGAATCTCGAGAACAATGCTAGTAACTTCAGAAGCCTTCATGTCCTTTGCGAGTGGTAGAGAAGGATCAAAGGAGTGTAATTCTACGATCCATTGATACATGTTGTTGACAAGTTTTTCATCAAGATACCAGCCAAGTTCATGAAGTGGGGTCTTCTTTTGAATAGCCAGGACTTCCTTCAAGTTTCGTTGTAAAGCTTTAGTCGCCATGGGCGTAGCGTATGATGGCTCATCTAGCATAGGCAAGGTTGAATGGTCAAGCGATCCGGGAACAAAATCTGTAAGCGGGGTTTGCAACCTGTTCTTATTAGCGGATGGATTACAGGATAATGCCAACTCAATTTGCTAGTGAAAATACTCACGACTTGCTTTGACTGCTACCGCCGGTCTCTGAATCAGACAGAAAGAAGGCAATATCATCCATTTCGTCACTATCGCTGACGTCCATCAGGGGTGCAGCCCCACTAGATTGGGAGTGCTTTCGCTTCAAAATATTTGGTAGCTTGGCGAGCTTGGTCTTGGCTTGAAGGACTTTATCTTTGTCGTCACGGAAACGCTTCGAGGTTGTGATAGCACAAGACGGTATGCCGATAGTCTTATTCAAAGTCGAAGTTGCCCGGTATTGAGGATCCTGAGAAATATCATCTTGGCGGTTCCTAGTTTAATGTCAGTCAAACAGACTCTCGGCAGACCGTCGAAGATTTCTCATACTCATTGACGCTTGCTGTCGTATCTCTGGCGTAGTCATTATCTCCTGTTCCTGCTGAAACTTGAACTAACAGGTATCTGCACTGGATCCAGTCGATATGCTGTACAACATAATAAGGAGTATAGCTAGCGAACTGTGTAGGACAATTCACAATCTCGTTCAGACTCATCGCGCTGGCAATCTTCAACGAAGAGCCTTGCCATATACCCTTTGATAATTAACTCCAATATTCATTCCGTGTACGGGTTTAATGCGGTCATTGAGAAACTTACAGAACCATGAGCGGAGTAGCCTAAGGACTGCAAAGAAAAGTCAGCTGAATACTTCAATTGAAGATGATTATACTCTAGAATACTTACCACATTTTGATCTCGTGCATGATACACACCATGACCATATGCTCGACCATTCAAAGTATCCTTATAATCCAATCCAGATCTGATGATGCTATGCCAATTTTCGAGTTTGCTACCATGCCAGGCGAAGATGGTTGGATACGCCGTATTCAAGTTTGCCTGCTGTGCCTTAAGCGCATTGAGAAATCGCTGTTCTTTATCTGGAGAGCCTTGGGCAAATCTGAACTGCACGTAACTTGACCCAATATGTGCTATTCTCTGATCTAGTCTGATTTTTGCCATAGTAGCATCTGTGTCATCTTGATCGGGACATTTGTCAACTTGAACAATGCACGATCGATTTGAAGCAACAATCCAACGCAGGATTCCAAGAGCTGCAGGAGAAATGCGATCATTCCAAGAACGTAGTCTGGGCTCAGCTGATCTACTCTGGCCTAGAAGATAAGTTCTCATCTCCTTCAAAGATGGTAGAGTTTTCAGAAGATCGACGATAATCTCGGCCTTGGATACTGGGTCCAAGTCATCAAAGTTTTCACTGTAGGACACGACGTAGGCCGGAATAGTATTCTGAGGAGGTGGAGTTGTTGCAGGGGTGTGGACGTTGGTGTTTGTGTCAGGATTCTGGAAAGCGGTTGCTTCTTTTGATAGCGTGACACATGGATATTGTATGGTATCCTCAACCCGATGGTGCGTTGGGGTGCGGTCTTCTTTGCTGTTAGTGTGTATTCAACAATTCGTACGTATGGAACCTACCAATGGTAGAAACAACTACCCAGTCTCCTTTCTTTACGGGCGACTTGTCGTACTTTCTGCCATCAAAGATAATCTCTTGGCGGCCAGCATCAAACTTAACTTCCATAGCTGATGTCAGAGTCTTCGGATGGACTGTTGAAGAAGTAGAATCCTGGGGATTTGGAGGATAATAGCGACCATTATTGCCATCTCTCGATGTCTTGATCGTTACTTGAGGTACCAGCAACGCCATACCCGTGGGGTACTCTCGGAGTCTCTGATTCTGCATATTTGTTTAGTTGATTACATTCTGTGGACTCGAGCTCAACTTACCATTGCACCGGCATAGCAGAAGCTGGTGAGTAAGTCGACCACATATGGCTGCGTGAGAATCTCTGGAATTACTGTCAGCGAACTGAAGCGAGGTGATGACAATACAGTGCTTACCGTGTTCTACCGATGGTCCAAATCCAAGGGACATATATTGATATAAGCAAAGAGGCTTATTGCACACATAAGGCTTCAATGCTTCAAAATCTCCCTCAATCCGATCATGGCATACTAAACAATATTCGGTACAACGGACCAAATATCGCAAAGTGAATTGAGCTGCGACAAGAGGAAATGAAACTTGTTCGTCTCCGTGATCCGTAAAGTGATCACAGGAGAGCATATCCGGAAGAGACTTTTGATTGTCGAGTGCGTCTTGGTTGCAGACGGATTCCGAAGGTGCAGCATCGGGACCGCCCATTCTAGACTGCTTTTCGTTATACCAGGATTTGGCCCCTGCCCAACCGACCCCTACGCTATTTCGGATCTTGACGAGTGTGATAAGTGATTGATTCACGAATTCGTTCAGGGAGCTGCTGATGAAGAGACTACTAAATCCGGCTTGGCTTTGTTTTCCAGAATCCTGAGCGTTGGAAAAGTTTGGGTCGTTTATCTTGGAATCAGTAAAAGCTGCCAGTGCTTCGGCAAGTGTCGGTTTGTACTTTTTGCCGACTCCAATTCGGTAATCAACGTTCAAATTTGCAGCAGCCTCGGAGATGATGTCCTCGAAAGATTGGTATCGTCCTCTATAACGAACTAGGAGTATGATATACTGTTGTGGCTCCAAATCCCAGGCCTGAATGGCTTCTTCTGAGAGACCGAGTTTGTCGACCTTGGTAGATATGCTGATAAGACTAGATACGGAATCCGCCTTTGCACCATCTAGTACCCCAACTCGGAGACCATTTCGCTTGATAGCTCGAAGGTCAGCTCTGATACGGCGGTTGAGTCTACCCGCAGCTTCTGGGCTCAGATCTTGTTTCGTTTCTCCATCACTTGACTCTTCGTTGCTAGTGTAGCCAGGATATCCAGGAAATATTTCATTCTCATCTTCGTTTTCTGAGTCTTCGCCCTCGCCCATCTCGATGTCAGTATCACTATCAAGGCCAACTGGGTTATCTCTAGTTCCCATGGAGAAATGACGGTCAAGATTCCCAGAAATCGCAGAGAGCAGTTCTTGAATGCGCGTTCCCATTGAAGACTGTTGGATCAATTCCAATGCGCCGTCAACGCCAGCAGGTAGGTCCACAGAGTCGTCTGTGCTGATATAATAGCCGTTTTCTGAGGGGTAGCTAAAGACATCTGCAAGGCGTCAGTTGATCTGAGAAGGAACATGAGGATGGGGACCTCATGGGATCGAGACACAATGACGTTTGTATGGTTTGGTAACGTACCTGTGGACATGATAGTAATATTGAAAGGATCTCTATCTGGAGGAGCATAACAAATATGTACTTCGCCATCCTCACCACCTTTCGCAACAGAAACGATGCTGGGGAGATTTTTGGAGGACACGTCAGCGACGTCTGCGATGTAGTCCTTTCGCCCCATGTCTGTCAGACAATGGGGAAGGCAAATGAAATGGGTCTTTGACTTGTGTTGTAATAGATCTTTGCGCGAACTGTTGATGTATTAACAAAAGGATGGCGTGAGAAATTAGTATTTGGTGGAAGGGAGGTGGAGGTGGAGGCGGAGATGGAGATGGAGATGGAAATACTATGAGGAAAGAAGGTGCGGTCGCTTGATGATTGTGGGGGAGGGGGGAGCAGAGAGCAAGGAGCAGATTATTTGTAGCTTGGAGATTTGACTTCTTGATACCACAGAAACAAGACTCCACATAGAACCAAGAAGTGGTGAATGGCAGAACGTTTGAGTTGGTTCCCAGTTGTGATTCTGGGGTGAAAACAAAAGATCATCCCACCTCAACCAGGTAAATTCTAGATGAGTCTAGAGACTAGTGTAGAACACGTAGAACAACGAGGAATACGAACTTACAATAGATCTGTGAATGGCAGTGGTGTGAGGAGGCTCCTGCAACTGTCACTGCCTACCTAATCTGGAATTCTGCCCATATGCTGAGATGCAGTATTTAAGTATTAGTGTTGCAGTTGTCCCTCTCACTTATTGCTTTCTGCAGCGTCGTGCTTGAGTTTGTTCATCAATTCAATGATGTAAAGAGCGATGATGTTGTCTCGGAGAGAGTCTTAAGGAGTAGTACCTAGCTAAGTGGGTAGGGGGGTAGTGGTGGTAGCATGGTCTCAGCCTCGTTGGTGCCTTGTGTAGGGCAGCTCTCTCTAGCTCCCTCCACCAATAAGAGCTCTTTCCCTGAAGCATGCAGCGAGGCAGCCTGGACTAGGGCGGGGCAAAGAGGGGCAGCCATCGTCAGGGGTCTATTCACGTGACTAGACTGAATCCATCCTGCCGTGCCTGGCCTGTCATGGCAGGTGCGGGTGTGTGCAAGTGCATTGGAAGTGCAGGTGTGCCTTGCTTTGCAGATGAACAGATGAGCAGAGTTCTGGATGCCCTCAGTCTGGTGCAGGGTGAAGGGTAGAAGGCCAGGATGGACCAAATGGGTCCATGAGCGACCTACCTACAGAGAGCTCAGACCTACAGAGACCTACAGAGGTAGTAGAATCCATGTGATGGATGAGTGCTGCACTCTAGGGTGTGAGTGAGAGTGAGAGTGAAGGTGAGGGTGAAAGTGGTTGTAATGTCTGGAAGTGTTGATGCTCTTTTGTCGTCAGTACTTGAGTACAATGTCTACATAAGCTTTTACTCCCGACACACCACCATTACCCCACCACCACTTCAACCTCCACTTCAAACCTACGAGTACCAAGGGACCTATAGCTACGAGGAGCTGCGAGTACAGCTACATCAAAGCTACAGCCACAGTCCATACATAACATCAATCCCTTCTTCCCCACTGGCCATGGCCTCAACGCGCAAAAGGGCTTCGAGCAATGCAGCCAGAGCCGCCTCCGCCTCCCACCAGAAAGCAGTCACAATCCCTACCTATGTGCCCAAGTCAACACACGTATCCGACTCGGCTCTCCAACCCTTTCTCAACCCCAACTTTGACCCCGCCGAATACCTCAACTCCACTCTTCCCTCTCTGCACACATCCAGTGTCTCTCAACCCTCAAAAGGCAGCGCGCCGCTTGGAGAACTTTACATCCAAACCCAGACCCTTCTGTCCCAGCTCAGTGCGAATACTACCAGACTCACCACCACCCTCACCCAATTGACCGATGAGATTCTTCGAAGTGGGAGTCGCCTGGCATACGAGGTCGAGGTTTTACGGGGGGAGACATTGGGGTTATCAGAGGCCTTGACCGAGGGCCTGCATGAAGATGTGGCCAAGTTTGTGCCTACTGGACTGGAGCAAGACCTGGTGCGCAAACAACCCAAGTCAATCGAAGTCAATGCCAGTGGGCACACCAGAAGGGCATCAACAGCGGCAGCCCCCAAGACCCCCGTCAAAGAAGATTTGCCTTCTCTCGTGGATCCGCCATACATCACACAACTACGCACTCTCACACTGGTACGCTCACGGCTCGATACGGTGATAAAGACGTTTGGCGAAGCCATGGCTTGGACATTCCCACCCTCAGAGGTTTCCGTAACTTCTTCCTTCTTGTCTGTCTCGGCTCCTGAGCCTGGCTCGGAAATTCATAGTACAGAGGAGAAAGGGCAACAAGTGTCGAAGAAGTTGCGGGAAGAGATTGCGGATCTGTTGATTGGAGGTGACCCGATTGATGGGACTGAGGCTGCTGCAAAAAGAGTTGAAGAGCTCAAAGATCTAGCCATCGTATGGAAGGGGACCGCGGAAGAAAGGGCAAGAGTAAAATTTGTAGAAAGTTTAGCAAAATTGGTCGAAGATAGGCACCGCGAATTATTAAGAGATGCCGAGCAGGGCTCACGCCTAAGTCAGCGAGTAGAATCGCTACAAGAGGAAGAGTCAGAAACCACCGAGGGCGAGACCATGTTCCAGGGCGGTTACGGATTCCTCAGTCAGTTGCAAAAGCTTAGAGGTGCTTGATAGTAGGTGAGCGCTATTGGGTAAAGCATAAGGAATTGATAGCTCTTGCTGCCCATTTAGTTTGGTGATATCTTCTCTCTGCTTTTTTTGCCCCAAATATGCCTACTTTTTTCTCTGAGATACATTATGAACGTTTTACCGAGCCCCCCAAATATAGACTGAACTTCCATAGAGAATCTGGACAGTTTGTGCTCGCCTGCCTTGTTAGATCTTTATCGAGGTCGTTTATGATTTTCTCCCTGAAGACAAGGAAAGAGCGAAGTTCCCTGGGTCAATAGAGGAAGCTTGGGACTTGATTTATAGGGAGGTTAAAACTGGGAATTTTCAAGTGAGATTTCGCACCTGCCTACTTCGTCACATTAAGCTCGTTCTTGCCTTGCGAATAAGAACTGGTCAAGACGATCAAAATTCCTCGACAGTTGGAGAACCTCACAGCACTACTCAAATCTTGGAATACCAACTAGCTGCATCAGAAACCCGTTCAGTCCAGCCCAGTCTTGCAACTTCTCTCTCTTTTGATACCACATTCGCTTGTCACCCCATTTTTCTGGATACACTCATGTAACTCCACCTAACATGTCCTCCGAGATCCTCCCAAGTCATGAGCCTCCTCCAAAAAGAGCCCAAACGCCGCCGCGAGCGAAGATAGCCACCCATTTCCTCGGACAATTGTTCAGACCTGGTCGGATTAGAAGACGGTTTCTTCTTTTGCTTTCTGCGATAGGGTTGTTGTTTCTTGGGAGGCGGAGCGCTGTGAGTGCTGTTCCTTATGTTTTATATGTGCCAAGATGATTTTGCATAAAGTCCTTGGGTTGTCTTGAAATTTGTACTTTTTGCTAATGTGTTTAGATTGAGTTGAAGAGTACGATATCTGCTATTAATTGGCATATGCATCATGTTTTTGGTGGGACAAGATCGAGATATCAATCAGGAATGAATCTTAATGATGTCTCTGATGGGACAATACCAGCATACCAACCAGAAATGATTGTCAATGATGAACTATTCGGGAATCCGACGAAACCCTCACCAAAACTAAACTTCCACCTCGTTGTCACGACTTCTGACGGCCCTGACGGTCTTCACACGCCTTACCGACGCAACCTTTGCAAGTGTCTCCTTTCTGCCGCTGTCCTAAATTATCCACCGCCAGTTGTGGTCAATTACGATAGAAACTTTACACAACGGAGAAACGTCACACAAGAAGGAAAATCGAGAAATGCACAGGATATATATGATTTTCTCTCTAGCAAAGAAGTTGGAGAATCTGATCTGGTTTTGATCGTCTCGGAGGGTATGGGACTCAATTGTTGCACTTATGCCCAGTACTGACAAGCGAGTAGAAACTTGGTTACAACTCCCACCCGACATCACAATCAAACGATTCCTTCGTGCAAACCAGGAGGCAAGTGCTAGGCTACAGGACGAATATGGCAAGCTTGGGAAAGGAAATTCCACATCAAAATACGTACAAAACGTTATCTTCGGCGCCACCAAAGTATGCGCCTATAGAGGCGAATGCGATCCGTGGACGACAGAGCTTGACCTGCCGCAATCCCCGCTGGCTTCTGATATTTACGGCGAGAAGACAGACTTCGATGTCTACAGCCAATCGACAGATCCTATCGATTACTCATTCAATCGACCTCGCTTCCTAGCTGCATCAACAGTTATGGGAAAAGCAAGTGATTTACTAACCATTTATGATACCGCTATGAAAATGCCGCATTACCTTCCATGGCCGGAATATGACACTCAAGCCCCTCTTGCGTATTTGTACATGTATCAAGAGATATTGCGTCAGTATTGTGATACAGACTGCTTTCGCCCGCACGGAATGGGCGTCGATTATTACTCGTCCTTGTTTCAAATGATGGATGAAGCCGAAAACGACATACGGTTCCTAAAATTCAATCAATCTATCATCGTTGCGTCGCCCTCAAAAATCGAAAAAGACAGTTTCAAAGACCCCATCACACTTCCATCTGATCTCGACAATTTCAAACAAGGACCCTTCGCCCTGCATTCGCCCAAACTCCACAACGCCCTTCGCAACATCGAGAAAAACGGAGAACTACCCGCCCTGGAAGACCTTTCTTGGTCCGAAATTCCCCTAGCGACAAACATCATCGTTCCCGGCACCGGCGTCCCTTCCATGCTGAACTTCCACCGTCTCGCCCGCGAGGAAAGGAGTCACCACCCCCCTGAGCGCTTGCTCGATAAATGGTGGTCCCAGATGTGGTTCCACGAGCACGCGAAGGCTTTGATGGAGAAGTACACTAGTACCTCGGGGGATGCGTGGGCGGCGGGTGAGGCGGAGAGGGGAGGGAGGGAGTGGTGGAATATGCGCGGTGGGAAGGGGGGTGTGTGGACGGGGAGGGGGGCGTGGTTTAGTTGGGAGGAGGTTTGTAGGGGTGTT